AGATATGCGTTTGGTGAATACGACCACTTGCAACAGGATCTTAGAAAGGAGAAAATGTTTCTCTTATTTCACAATTATTTTTTTTTGATTAAAGAAAACTGTTTTCAACATCTAAGTAATTCTCAGTGCAAGTGCGTTGCGTAAGAACCTCAGTGCAAATTATAGCACATCCCCCCCCCACGCATCGGCTTCTTTTGATAAGATGTTATCTCAAGTTAGCTCATGAGCTTGAAATTTTGTTTCCAAGCTCATGAGATAACGTGAGTTAACACGAGTTAATTTTCATGAGATAATTTTTAATGACCGTTTCCACTATGAGATAATTTTTAAACCATGTCAGATCACAAAATTATCTCAAATTAGCTCACGTTAACTCATAGTAGAAACCAAGCTTAAAGGCAATCTGTCACGACGTTGATTGGTTATAAGAACAATGGGATTTTTATTGTTTCCAGTCCCCTTTTAATTTATCGTATTGTAAAAAATATGGCGGAGCGCTGGAATCGTGTTTAGGCTATTGTTCCAGCTATTGTTCTCGTTAACCAATCCACAACGAGACAGATTGCCTTTAACAGCAGTGATAGTATTACATGACCAGTAAATAATATGATGTCTTTTTCGGCCTTATAGGCTCCTTCCCAAAGCATCATTCTGGCCAAATGTAATGAAAAAAGTATTTACAGCATCGTCTGCTGATTCCGTGAAAAACCCTGTACTGGGAATTGAAAGAGACAATGTTAATACAACAGAAAAGTGACAATTTTATACCTTTGACACACTTGAAGAAATGCAAGCCCGTCGGAACAAAGTATTTATCGTCAATGACATCATAACATAACTTCTGCACTCCTCTGCTTTTCATCTGATGTACGGCCATCCTACGGCAGAAGAAAACAAAACAAGAAATATTAGGAATTCGTCAATTTCATGATAATGACCGGGTACAGTTAATCAATTTTTCAAATAAGAAAGATTTTTTCTGAGAGTTTAAGAACCCAATTGCTTTTTAAATTTCAGCCATTAACGATACCAGTCGGTCTAAAACCTAACGAAACAACCCCCCCTCCCCCTAAAAAAGGCGCTGTAGAAAGGAAATAATTGTAGAATATCGTAGTTCAGTTGACTAGATTTAAAGGATATTCTAGATCTTATCTGTTTTTGAGGAATCTGATCTGACAAATTTACTTCGCCAAAATTTCATTTGAAAAAAACCAACAATCGAGTTGAAGAACTAATGAAAACATTTGATTGATAGTTTTATTTGTGTAAAAAAGATGACTATTTTCATAGAGAACGATATCAATTATTTACTGCGTATGAAAATTCAAGAATGCACCACCGTACCACGCCTTTGTATACCAAAGAGAACTGCATATATTGTAAACAAAACATAAGCTAATTATCAAATGTCAGAATGGCAGGTTGCAATATTGAACATACCGAAAGCACTTTCAATGAAAGGTGAAATCATGTTTTGTTACTGTTATTTTTTTGTTTGCAAGACATAATACTTTCTCAAGAGCATGCATGAAAAGGAAAGTGATTACAACTTGGGTAATGCATACCTTCAATGCCATTCCCTACTTCAGTAACCAAGGGTCAAAGGAAGGACAAGCCGCTATAATTGAAACAGTACACAGAGCAAAAAAAGAAACAGAGAAAGAACCAGATGGCGAATACTGTACATCCAAAGCAAGATCAGAAGGTGCATACGAAGCTTGCAACGAGGTTTAAGCAATTTTCAGAAGTTGCAACAGTGCATGGCGTACACAAAGTAGCAAATTCTACATCTCGGAGTCGAATGATAGCCTGGTCCGTTCTATGCTTGACTCTTGTTGGCCATGCTGTCTACTCTATTTCAAGTTCAGTAAAGGAATACATGTCGTACCCAACGCTAACATATATAAAAAAGGAAACAAGCAATAAAATGGATTTCCCAAGCATCACGATATGCAACGCGAATAATTATCGTCTGAGTGCTTTGCAATCGATGTCATCAAACGATACAGACATCGAGCAACTATTAGCTTCCTATTTACAGACAAGCTTACAAACCAAGAACGTTTTGCCATTATCAAGATCAGATGTCGCAATGAAATATTCCAGTGCCCTTTTAAACAGTACAACGATAAAAACCCTGAGCTCGTCAATCGAGTGGATGAAGTGGAACTTTAAGGACTGGTGCAAGTTTTCATTCAGTATCAAATGTGAGTCCCCCGAAGATTTCACAGACTATTTCTATCACTCAAACACAGGTGTTTGTCAGACATTCAACTATGATGGAAAATACAGGCAGATCGCACCGGGTGCTCCGTTTGGTTTAAAACTTAAACTGTTCACCAACGAGTGGGACAAAGTGCCACAATTCTCAGACGGTGGCGCTGGCATTCGTATTATGATACATCCCAAAGATATCTACCCTAACCCATTTGCTGATAGTATGTTGGTTCCAACGGGGCACTTGGCAGACATCCCCATACATAAAGTAATTACTAAGCGGCTAAAAAGTCCCTTCAAAACAAACTGCACAAACGGTGATGGAAAATTTCTGATTTTCCCAGGCAATTATACTGTTGGTAATTGCCAATACAGTTGTTTCTTCAAAAAAGCCCTCGAAGAATGTGGGCTTATAGAGCCCGCTTACAAGTTTCATAAGCCTCGTGAATTTCAAGAGAGTCTGAAACGTTTTCAAGAAAATAACAGAAGCAAAGCAGACCTGTCGTCTTGTTTCCATCATCTGAAAATAGACGAAGATGACTGCAAATGCCCCCCATCTTGTTACGAAGAGAAATACCGAACAAAAATCAGTTATTTGCAATGGCCAACTCCAGCCAACATTCCCTATTATCGCTCGCTCATGGCAAATTTTACTGGTCGAGAAAAAATCACAGACGCTGATGTACATGAAAATATCGTTTTTCTGAAAATATATTTTGATGAACTTAGTTATGACATCATAGCTGAACAGGCAGTCCATCTTTGGCCAAGGTTTTTTGGGACAGTGGGTGGTCAACTTGGTCTATGGATGGGAGCATCAGCGTTTTCGATAATAGAATTTTTCTTATTCATTGCTGACGCAGTGCTTGAAATGTGTAGAGGCAAAGTAAGGAATGATGACAGCAGCAACACAAGTGCCTAAACAATCGTTGTGGCGACAAAAAGCCTCCGCAGTAAGGACCATGCAACAGTTTAAGTAGCAGCAAATGTAGACTGCTTTTTCGAAAATGGTTTTTCAAAGTGGTACCCGGCAAATAATTCTAACCAAAGCTTTCAAAGCTATTCCGAGCTCCTTTAAAAGGGGCTACCAGACGCAGCCAGACGTTTTAAAAAGCATGAAGTATCGAAGAAAGATTTCAGCACAACGAAAAGCTATAAGCAAAAGAAAAGCATTATAATAATTTCAACTGATTATTGTCTACTACGTTCACAGAGCTATTCATTAGTTTTGGATTGCAAAGGCCAGAAAAGGCTTGACAGTTTAACGTTAGCAACATAGTTTAAGGATGAAAATATGACGCACTAAATGTACACTGGTGAAGGAACTTAGTTTAATTTTAAGCCAAGATGTCATTGCATACACTAAAAACCTTTTTATCAGACAATACGTACTAAAGAGGTGTGATTTTGGAAAATTATAATTTCATTCTATAAATAACTAATCAGATATACGTGAAAAACTTTCGCGAATTGACTCTGCTACATTTAATGGAGTATTAAATCAAAAATCTATAAGGGTATAATGCCATGAAAACCAATCACGTAGCTCTATAAGGCGGACACCACTACAAAGAAGATAGTGGATACTTTCCAAGCAGCGGCTACAAAAATCTTCTATAAAGTGGACACAGACTACTTTTTCAAAAATCTTCATGCAATAATTATACGGCGGAAAATACTTTCTTTATTCCCGTTTCATTAAAGGTGCTCTAATGATCTGACACATCTTTTGCAATGGTTCAACTTAGGTAACTTAGAGACGAGGATTCTGGCAGAAACATGGATATTGATTTTAAAAAAATTTCACACATTTTTATTACGTGTTTTTGGTAAATAATTATTGTTTCAAATCTGTTTTCATCTTTTTTCATCGCACTTTTCTTGTCATTCTTCGTTTGTAAAACTTTTAATTTTGTGTCAAACGCTGCCCTCGTATAATAAACGCCAAAGCCTAAAACTTGATTTTGTAATAAACGTCTTTAGAGGAAATAAGGAACGGCTCTATAAAGGCTGATTTCTAAAGAGAGATAGTATTTTGAAAGGGAGACACTGACATTTTACAGCAAGGTGCAAGCTTTCCTTCTCTCTTCCTCAAAATGCAAATCATCATCAACTCAAAGGACATTAAAATTAAAAATCAAAACAAAAGAGATTTCAGATCTTTTTGTAAACCTTGTGATTTATTGTAAGCGTTTTATTTGCTGATGTATCCGTCCAGTGTTTGGAATTATTTTCAAATGGACCGTCTGTTTACCCTCCTCCCCACAGAACACAGGCAGAACCGTGGTTACTATAACAGGAAGTGAAAAGAAACGACTAGGAAACAAGTAGAAACAAGAAGAAAAGACTAGGAGACAAGTAGAAACAAGCAGAAACAACTATCTGACGGCGAGAACTTAAGGGAGGGGAGTGTAATTAATTTGCTTCTGCTTCTTTACAACTGGTTTAAAAAGGTGCGAAAACTATTGTCTCATGATACCCTTTTCGGAAACTGCCCTGGGGAAATAGGTGGTAATCGATGTTCAAGATTATAAAAAAACAAGCAATTTGATTGTTTGGCCGCAAACTAAAAGAAATCCTTACAATTAAAAAAACTACCTACTTTTCTTGATTTAATCCCGTAGGTTTTACCTACAAACTTCTGAAAATCCCTAAAGTAGGTCGTTTCTGCTCGTTTGTACTAGTTTCTTGTTGTTTCCTGTTGTTCCCTGTTATAGTAAACGCGCAGGCAGAACACCTTCTTGAAGTGGATCCCCAGCCTGGACCCCAAGGGTAAAGGAAAGGAATATCGACAACCATCGTCATGGCAACAGACACATAATCTGTATGATCGATTTGCTTGTCAATTGATGTAGCATTGTAACAAAAAGCTGATTGTTTTTGCTGCATTGTATCGATTGGAAAAAGAGTGTCCTAATTACTGAGAATCTTGAATAAAAAATGAAAATTCCTAATTACAGATTATCATTAACTATCCACAGGGGGTTAAGATTTCAACAAGAGAATACAATTTTGGATCTATTTGTTATAGAACAATACTGCCTAACTCTTTTCCAGCCCGGATCAGATGACATTTGATAAAGAACAATAAATCGCGAAAGGAAGTCTTGATATTGAAAAGAATAGCATTAAATATTTTACTTAACACCACCAAGGAATGCTGCCTTTACACGAATGCAGGTCGTAGCGATGTGGTATGACAAAAAATTATATTTACGTAATCAATGAGAAGAAGAAATGGAAAGCACGAGGGATTAACGATAACAATGGGAAGGACAATCCTATAAAAACACGTTACCAGAAATGAAAACAAACATTATCAAAAATCAGGTGCGAACAACCGAATCAACTTAAAATGAGCGAAAATTTGTTGGGCGGTGGAGGTCGATACAGAGTAGTGAAGCAGACACAGGGAGATTTAGATAAGGTCTAGACTCTAGAAGACAAAGCATTAGACTGGCTGAGAAAAAACACGAGTAAAATCGCAGTGTTCTTGCATGTTTATTTGCAGTGGCATTTACATCAAAAGACGATGAATTGGCGGTGATACTTGCTACAGACATCAAATCCAACTACTTTGCTTAAAATGATAAGATAAACAAAAGGGAAATGAAACTATAAATGAAACAAATGGATGAAACAAAAGATCGTCGGTCTTTTTTTGAACGCTTTAAGCACTTCTCTGAAATAGCAACAATCCATGGCTTGTATCGCGTTGGCCACTCCACGGGGTGGATTCGCAGAGTTGGCTGGGGGCTGCTGTTTGTTTCCCTTCTTACCTTGGTAACCGTCTTAACAGCAAGTTCTTTAATGCAGCATTTCTCGTATCCGATTTTGACGGAGGTGAACAAAGAGACGACAAGCTCAATGAAGTTCCCGAGTGTAACAATATGCCACGCAAACAACTATCGACTTGGTGCTTTTCGGGTACTATCGGAAGGATTTGATAGCGACCTCTCACAGTTAATAACATCAACGATTGAAAAGAGTTTGAAAAATCAAAGTATAAAAGGGCTAGAAGAATCTGACGTAACATTTGCCCTCGACAGCGTTTACCTTAATAGCACAGTCATCAAAATGGTAAGCTCGACAGTAGATAGCATGAAGTGGAAGTTTGAAAAATGGTGCACTTTTTCAATGATAGATGAATGTAAATTTCCTCAAGATTTCACAGACTATTATTACCATTCGACGGTTGGCTTCTGTAAGACATTCAATTTCCATGGTAATTATACCCAGATTGCACCGGGCCTCCCATTTGGTTTAAGTATAAAACTGTTTATAGACCAATGGGACAAAGTGCCTCTATTACGTGACAGCGTGGCAGGCATTTTGCTTATGATACATCCACAAGATGTTTATCCAAACCCATTTGCAGAGGCAGTGCAGGTACCCACGGGCTATGAGACACATATTTCAATGCGTAAATTGCTATTCCATCGACAGAAAAAACCCTACAAGGCAAACTGCACCAATGGAGATGGGATATTTCTAATTTACCCTGGACGATATACTGTCATCAATTGTCAGTACAGCTGCTTCGTAAAAAATTTAATGGAAAAATGCGGCCTGGTAGAAAGCGCCTACCAGTTTCATAGCCCAAAAGAATTTGCAGAGAGCTTAAAAAGATTTTCGGCAAGAAATATGAGTGCGACTGAAGTGAAAAAATGTATACTAGAAACGGTGCAGAGCCTTAAAGGTCCGAAAGATGAGTGCATTTGCCCTGCCGCTTGCTTTGAAGAGAGTTTCAATACCAGAGTATCATATTCTCAATGGCCCAATCCTAGCAATATCCATTACTACCGTACCATGCTTGCTAACTTGACCAACCGAGAAAATGTGACGACAGATGACGTCTATAAAAGCGTCATTTCTTTGAAGGTCTATTTCGATGAGCTTGGACAGCAAGTGATACGCGAAACACCAGTAAGTAAGTGGACGGACTTATTCAGCAAAGTTGGTGGCCACTTCGGATTATGGCTGGGTGCGTCAATTTTTTCGCTTATGGAAATGATCGGTTTCACAATAAAGTCAATAATCTGCCTTTTTAAAAAGAAAGTTTATCCCGATCGCGAGAATCCGATAAAAATGAATGTGAAGATGAGGGAATGAGCATAACAGAATTCTAACATTCGTAGTTTCAGTTTTCACATGCTTACAACAAGAGAGAGTCAGTTATTGATTCTTGCTGCATGAAAATTAATGAGAGAAAATCATGCCTTCGAACAAAAGTCCAGTAGTCTTAAACTTTCATTGTTGTAGCAAGGATAGATAATAAACTGTCAGGTGCAACTTTGCTGTCTTTAAACCTTATCAAGTTTTTATAAATTTTACAACAATTTTGCTTTCCAAAAATTGTACCATCTTAGATAGCAATCATTTGCTATCAATGAAAAGTGAAGAAGAAAAACTCGGAAAACATGCTTTCCACTTAGCAAATTACCTTAAGCAAAAATCGATCGACAAGCGAATAAACATTCATATTTTTGATTAGTGGAAATTGCGGGTATCTATTTTAGAATAATATTTCATTTGTATTCTGTTTACTTTTTAATTATTTATTCTCAAGTGCAAGTAAAATCCGTAAACCCGGTGGCTCTGTTTATCTGAACATTTGATGTTATAGCAAGTATTGTGTTTCTTATAAAAACAAATACAAGCACTTTTAACAATTTATAAAAAGCATGTTAAATAAAATTTAAATTAGCAACGTAAATTTAAATTTCACGCTGGGATGAAAAGTGTATAGTAGCGTAGTTTTCTTAACAAGGTAACCAAGAGTTTACAATAATTGAATAAAAAAGACTGGAAGTCAAGAGATCTAAAGCTGACCAAGGGCTGTAAATCTCATCTAAACAAAACCGAATTTCAACATCGATGTAATTACATACAAACTTGACATACCTTCCAAATATTTGATACACATCATTCAAGCGATAAGCCTTCTTAAACCTACAAAAAACAGCTATCATAATACTAGTTCTATGTGAATATTATAGTTAATTTATCATTGGAACTTATTGCAGCTTTGGAACATTTCAAGTTACGAGACCATATTGTAGTAATGAATACCGTATTTCCTCTAATTAAGGCCCCCTCTGATAAACGCCGCCCTCTACCGAACGCCGCACCTTCAGCCAACCATTTGAAAAAAACGCCGCCCTCTATTGAACGCCGCATCTTGAAAAGCGGCGTTCATTAGAAAACACACCAAACAAGAAGTAAGGAATCGTTTATACGCTTACTATTTGAAAGCCATGAAAGCATTTATCTCATAGAGACATCTGATAAACGCCGCCCTCAATTGAACGCCGCATTCAAAATTTGGAGTTTGTAATAAACGCCGCAGCGTTCTTTAGAGGAAATACAGTAACAATTTTGAGAAACAACTCCTTCTTAGCGAAAAAATTATTGCATTTGCATTACTGTATTGCATTATGGCAAAAATATCGTGGTTATATGTCGTTCACAATAATATTACTTTTAAGTTAAAGATGTAACAATTTTTCGATCAATTGAGGAATTAACACTACTACATTTACATCTTTGAAATGGGTCTTACCTGACAGCAGTTAACCCAGGTCTGGATGGTTTATTGATGGCTTTGGTGAAAAGTTCAATCTGCTGGATTCTGATAAAAAAGTATTCAGAAAAAATAATTCTCAAAACATATTTGGAACGAGGACTTTTCTTGACTAAACTAGGAAGAGTATAAAATGGTCTTTAAAGCATGAAATTATAGCCAAAGTTTTTTTAACATAGAATTTTCTTGAAAAATTGAGGAAAAGCTTCCTTACGATAACAATTTAAGAGGAAGAGACATTCTCATGAACACTATCAATTTCAACACTACTAAAGTCTCTTTTAAAAACCCAACACCACACCCTTAGCATTTGCCGGAAACTAAAGGTCTCCCTCATAAAATTATGTAAATTATCGTGTAGTGTCAAAAACGAACTGTGTGAAACTTGCATATTTGTTTAGTATAAAGATCATAGGGAGAGAACTCTAAAGAAAAGATGCTCTAGCAATATCATATTCTGGGAACTAACAAGCTATTGATTTCATAGAACTAAAATACATCCGGACTGGACTGTTTAACAAATATTGGACTCGGACTCTTCCTTATTTGATATATTTGCAAATGTCAATTGAGACAACATACCTGTAAGTTAAAGGTTTATCCGCAATGTAATCGCCTCCGAGATATATAGCATCAATTATATGAACAGCCTGCAAACGCCTTTGTCCGCGCCCCTTAAAAGAAAGGTCATGCCAATGCAATACACTTATATTAACACTATGGCGCCATTTTACTGCAGATAGAGCCATCAAATAAACGAAAAACAACATTTTATAAAACAATGACAACCGAAACACACCATGGCTTGGTTAAGTATAGTTTTTCTAAGTATAGGCAAAACATCGAATGTCAGTCATTGGCAAAACAGAATAGGCATTTTTTGAACAAACCAACACTGTCTAAGCCTAGAACAGAAATCTGAACTTAGATAGGAAATAATTACAAAGGAAAATAAAAGCTAATGAGGAAAGATGGTTTTTTAAATTAATAAAATGAGATTTATGCATTGGGAGGTTATTAATAACGGATATGTAACACGTCGTAGGCAACTTATAATTGTTTAGAAGGCGGATGTGGCCTACTGGTCTGCTAACCTTGAGCCGGCCATCCCCGGCATATCCGCTGATCCATTCATTATTCTGAAAAAAGGTTTATTTTGCTTTGCGGAAGCAAAATATTAGCAAATTACTTCGTTCATCTTTGCGCATTTATCTATTATTGTTTAATTGTTTTAATTGACAATCAAAGCACGCGACAGCTAGATATTCTGGTACCTCTCCTTTGAATTCTGGTACTAGTTCCGCTTCAATGAGAGTGTCTCTTGGCAGCTCAAAATTTGGGTCATCGATTTTTATCCAACTAGGTCCGCTGTAGACATTTTTCGGTTCCCATTTGAATATGTGGAAGCGCTGGAAAAAGAAATTTCAAATTTATGAAAACACCATGCATTGTCACATAACTTGCATTTTAGTCCTCTGGAATAAGTTAGACTGGAAAGAAAAGTACTTTTGTCATTTGAAGCCCTAAGATCGAAGCTTAGCCTCCACATATCAAGATTATGCTGTTACTATTGCTCAAAGCACTTCAAAATCGATGTCATTTTATACCAATTGTACCTGTATTTTCAGTTGTACTATGTGTAAATTATAAAATGCATATTTATTTGTTCTCAAGTTTGGGAGCGACAATTGTAAAATAGTATATCAAAATTATGATATCTTGGTAAGGAAATTAAAAAAAAAACCAATTAATTCCTAGCACACAATCAAATAAATTTTTATTGGACCGCATTTCGTGATCAGATGTCCTTCATTAGTACCAAAGACCTATTGAATCGGAAATTCTCACTCTAAGTTTGGATTAAGTTAGAATGGGCTCCAAAAGCAGACAAAATATTGGCATGAAAAGTTAGAATATTACCCCCAAGCTTAACAAGAACATTCGAACACCTCCAGCGATAGCACATTTGTAGTCTAAAATATTTGTAAGCCTCTGCTTCATTACAGCCTCAGTTAGGATTTCAATGTCTGTCTTTATCCTTATATTCTAGAAAAATATAACAAATAATGAATTGAAGAATATTTACACATAGAAAACAGAAAATGATCATAGCTTAACTTAAAACGGAATGCAGGGTTCTCGTAAAATGTAGAGATTACTAGTGAATACAGAATATGCAACGGGAAAGTCTTTCCCCTAGTTTTACGAAAATAGGAGAAACAATGCAAAACAGTTTGACAAACAGTGTGTAAGATCACCTCTGAAGATGAAGGAACTTACAATGTTAAAACAGCTGACCTACAATGCCTGCCAAAGTCTTGAAACACCAGCAACATTGTTTTCATTCACATTGGCAGTTTCCCCTCCCCTGTGAAACAATACTGCATTTTTCTCTATAGAAATACACTATTTGAACGTAACTTGTAACTAAAAAACTAGAATGGGTGTGATGGCACGTCTTCTCTCCATTCAAGAAATGTTAGATTGTTCATTAAAGGAATACACTATTTGAACGTAACTTGTTATTTTGAAACAAGGGTTGCTGGCTGTGGTAAAACTGCTTCGCTGTCCTAAGCACTTTTGGCAAGCATTGTACCATTGTAGGATTAGTTTAGCAAAGAAACTCTGAGCTATCTCGTAAATGCCAGCAGATAATTTTCTTCAGAAAACATCGAACAAAGGGTTGTGTAGAAATTTCCAGGTCAATTAGTATTGTTTAAAATAAGAACTACAAAGAATACAAAAATTCCACGCAACATATAAGCGTCAAAATTGATTTTGGTATTCTGTCATCTGGCACGTGATTTCACACGAGCATTCCTGCGTTCCGACACAAATTCATACATGAATGAGATGATTAAAACGGCAATTAAATCAGGTATACCTTAATCAAAACGGCATATCTCTCATCGGCGTTATTTCTGTTCACTGCTGCCCTCAATTCATCTGGAACCTCAATAAAGCGGAAATTATCAATTACTTCTTTGATTTGAAAAAGCAGATGTGAATTTAGGAGCTTTGAAAATATTAAAAGTATTCTTAATTGTCGGCACTAGTTACTGCCCTTAACAGAACAAATATTCTTCTAAAAAACAAATCGTATATATATTTAGACTCATGAAATAATGAGAATGGTAATATCCGTTTTTAATCATGTTGACAGAGAAAAATAAACAAAGTATTAAATGTGATGAAAAAAAATGCAAAATTAAAAAGCATGCCTATTGGGAACTTTTTGAGAATTATAAGTACACATGGCAGTTTTAAATTGACAAGCAATCAAATGCTTCACTACAATTTGAATGTAAAGAGGAATTGTAATTTCTATGCAAAGAAGAGATTGCAGGTAAATACGCAGAATGCATCAAAATGATTTTCCATAACAAAACCACCCTTGATCTCACTAGCCTGTGATATTAGAGAGACATATTTCTATATTAATCAATGAACAGTACAGAAGAACTTTTCTCTGCCACAAGAAAACACTACATCGATCGTTCTTGAGAAAGTATAGTTTGTCGTAAATACCTTCCATCTTTTCAGACATTCTTTTCTTACATCGCCTTGGTTTGGATGCAGCAGAGCGCTACAAGAGAAGCAGCAAAATTGCAAAAAGCAGAAAAAATTATCAGCGTCCAACTTCAAACGGCACAAGATATAATAATTTAGATACTGAACAAATTTATCAAAGTACCTGAAGATTAAAAATAGCAGATGAAGCTTGTATTCAGCTCGTTTCAGCATTCAAAGATTGGTTGAATGGCTTTTTGGGGTGTGCCTAATGATCCACCCCAACTTAAAAGACATTCTAACATAAAGCTTGGCTTTTCATACGGGACATATGAAAATAGAGTTAACCATCAGAATGCCGTGAATGAGAGAGTTTAAAATAACAAGAAGCAATCAGGAAGGTCGAAAAGTACATCAAATATTTCTTTTCTTTCATTTCACGATCAGACTACCCATAAGAGTGTCCTAAACTTTTTTCTGATCTCTTTGTTGCTGAAGAATGTAATAAACTTTCTTTTGATCGGTTCATTTATAAAACACAATGCCAAAATAGCCAAGTCTATATGAGAACCCAGAGCACATCCCCAACAAGGTACACATCGATTCAGCTTATGCACCAAAAGAAGTGCATTATGTTGCAAAAAAACGTTTGGTCAGATAAACAAGTTCTCATGTAAAAAAATACAATATTCAAAGGACTTGAAAAAATTAGACTAAATATTTTTAATTCTAGTTTTTATTTCTATTCTTAAACATATATATTTTTATAGCCTTTATCCGTTCTTTTTTTTCATTAACTTTTAACCGGAATTTGAGGATAATAGTATAGACATAATTTTAAAATAGGAAAGATGTCATACTAAAGTAATTTTCGTATGACACTTGTCATTGGTATAAACGTCGGATAATATCCAAAGGTAAGCAGAAAATTTATATCCACATGCGAAACGGATGTAACGTGAAATGAGGAATAGCGCGTTTGATTGATTCTTTGTTTTTCGCCAATCGCATCGGCTGATTTCTCCCCTAGTTGAACTGAAGAGTCAGAGTGGGAAAATGAACTCTTTCTGTCTACACAAGTCGGGAACCTTTGTTTTGATGTAGACAGATTCCAAAATGCCTAATGGAAAAGGTATAGGCATTTTAGTTACCTGCCATGCAAGAGGAGTGCTACATAAACTTCTGTGTTGTGTTAGGTTTATAAATAAGTACTGTTGGTGATTTTGCAAGCTGGGATGACAAATGCACTCACGTGTTCTGTACAAAAGTCTTTAGCTTTAAAAGTGCTCTGCTTTGTCTTCTTCCAATTCTGTGAAGAAATATGACAATATCACTTCGATGAGAGGTTTAAAATATCTAGAGGTTTTGAACACAACTAGAAGTGCGAGCTAAAAAAAATCTGATAGTGCTTTTCAGGTCTTTTGGAGTACAGTCTCACTTAGAGTGAGAATGAAATTGTCTCAATTCCCAGGATGAGAAGAAATTTTTACAAGGTCTACTTTATAGCTTACATATATCTTCTAGAGCACGTTACAGAAGGACCGGGCATTTGCACAAACCTTGGCAGGGAACACTTGATGTTTTTATTGTTTGGAAGCTAGAATCTCCGAAACAAACACGGTAAGAGTTATTTATGTTTAGCCTTTGAATTTTTCAACTTTCAACAAAGCTTTTCGTCGAGACTTTTCTCATATCCCAATACAATAATTTGCTCAAATTTCCGGTAGTTTAATTTAACCCTATAACTAAAGCGGACTTAAACTTCTAAAGAAGCAACAAAGGAGACAGGAAGGAACAGGAACCAAAAAAGGTCAAGACTTGATTCTAAACCTTAGAACCAACACGGTATCAAACTCTATTACAAATGTTTACTTTCATAATTGTCATCCAAAAAGAATCGTTATCTGCATTAAAAACAATAAAAACACTAGCAAAGCTATTGAAAGCTATAAAGAAATATAATTTAGCAGAAAAACTGTAATAGGAGACGTTCAGCACTTTTAAAGCCTTAAATCTATTGCAAACTTCCATAATAACCCGAAAAAAATTACTGAATTCTCTAAATGAAAATACTTACTTGTTATTTGCATTGTATATGTACTCGAAAAAATTTTCATCGTCTTTTATGATACTAGCTGGTACAATCTAAAAATGCATATGAAATAGAGTAATCAAATATTTTCGAGTTATCAAGTAGGAGACAAAGTTTGTTCTCTGAAATAATACGGAAAAATTTAGTAAAAATAACTTTTAATCTTATATCATCAGTATTCAATGCCAAGCATTTACAAAATATTTTGATACATGTATGTATCAAGCATCCAAACACAATACTAGAATGGGAAAACCTAACTCCCTGCCAGAGAGAATAAGAAACTGTTCAAATTTTATCACTCTTTTATCCTTATCCAAAATACTCTAAGTAAATAAAGCTGAATGTTATTATTATTTTGTTATCATCATAATAAAAACAACTGTTAATGAGAATACTTATCGAAATTCGAAGATCTTGGGGCTCTAAAACAGTAACTGTTTTTATCTCAATATGATTTTTTCTTTTTTATGGCACACATACATTCATACAAATACTTAAACCTTTATGAAGCGTTTCTTTCTTATTCTTACGCCCTGGGGCTTTCTTTCTTGTTTCTTCAAAAGTTTAAGGTAATCTAAATACAACTATTTTCATTTTGCCCAAGTATCAATATACAATGGTTGATATCAATAACAAAATATTTTCTCGGTGATCCTTTTTAAAGTTTTTGAGAGGAGTGTTTAGCGATAGAAGAAATGAAAGATTTCTAACTGTGTTTAGAAGATGCAAAGGCCTAGTGGTGAGAAACAAATGTCTAAATTAGTACCATTCATGTGAGAAAAGCCGAGGCTGGCTCTGCTTGAAATGGCAACGTGTTTATTTTTTATTTTAAGCAAACTTCACAAGATTGTTTTTACCTCCACTTCTCGACCCTACATTTTCCCAATTTTTTCAATAGTTATTTTCATTCTGCACAATACCTGGTTGACATCCTGTTTGGTCCTCTTCATTCGGTTAATTTGCTGGTTGACATCAAACATGTAATCGTGTATAGCATCAGTGTCTGTGCGTCTACCTTTGCATACTATATATCTTTGAAATAAAAATCCATTTGAAGAAATTTGTGGGTGCAAATTAAGATACAATTATCAATCAATTTATCAATCATACAATTATCAGAATATTCCTAGAACAAAAACAGAGCATGTGAAAAAAAGTTTTAACTACTCTGCTCTTAAAGCCTAGAACGACGTTCCAATTGATATTAGAGAACTCCCGACTATTTGTCGCTTTAAAAAACAATTAAAGGAGTACTTGAAGAGCTGGCAGATTCGTCTATTCAAACACGACCCCTTGGCAGAACAACATTTTAGATTGAAATTATATATTTTTTAAATGAACAAATGTATTTATACTTAATTGATATTGTATTTGGGTAGCTGAAGGGTTGAATAGTGTAAAAAGAAATATTATTATTATGATATAATAGCAAAAACATCATAGTTATCATAGCAAAAACAACCACATCTATACCTATTACTTTGAAAAACGATCGAGATGTTCTAAATTTTTTTTATAAGACTTTGTTGGGGGTGGGGGGGGGTATTCGTTCGAGTGGATGTTTAAAGAAAGAGCATTATTCATTATCAACGTTTAAAAAATGTAATACCACGACTTACAGCAAGCAATTGCAGAGATATTAAACATTTTTTAAAGAATTGCCCCCTACTAAGACATTAAAACATGTAATACGGTAGCGATAATATCGTGTTTGTAACAAACTGAAATAGCTTAATAATTTTACTCTTTCGGTTTCTTCTCATTTTCAATTTATTCCCCGATTTACCTTTTTCAAAGAGAGGACACTCGTTATAGGTAGGGATTAAAAGAGGTTGTTTTCATATCCTATTAATATCAATGAATCATTCATTCAAACAGGGGGGGGGTCAAAAAAGACGTCTATTTGACATCCGGGCTGAAGTATTGATACACAATAAAGTGAAATTATTGGATTAAAAAATATTTAACAAAAAATTCTTCGTGAAGAACATTGAAAAATAAAATAAAAAAGAATTTGTGTAATTAACAACTGTTCACACTTTATTTAGCACCACAAAAAGTTATGTATAACAAAAATAAACCTTCAATTACCTTCAGTTAAAGGAACAGAATACATATACCCTTATGTTTCCTATTTTTAAATTTGTGTCTGCAATGATTTCAAATAGACTTTACGTTCTGCAGAGGTCTAGGGTGACACGGAAAACTAGGGCTAATTTGCTAGCATAGTGATAGGCTTTATTGTTTAACAACCATCAAAGAATAAAACTTTGGGTAAGACGTAACATTGGTAGAAGATTGTTTTAAAGATGAGTATTTACCTTTCAGAGTTTGCTGGTCGGCTTGTCACTGGTTTGAAAATACAGACATCTTCAAACGCTCGATACAAAAGATACATACAGCCCACACTGAAATGGGTGAAGGTATCAAACAGCTTGCAAACGAAATGCCCACCTGAACAAAGACATTCACTTCATTAATATTATATATTGAATCAATAACAACTTACTTAGAAAGAAACAGTTTGCAAAATAAGAAACAGAACAAATTCAAGGCTTATTATTCAAAACTGACGAAGACTGGCAAAGTTCGGGCTATAGTACAAGCACCATTGCCTTTACACAAATTTGATCAATGTTTTGCAAAATTTTTAGGCTCGTTGCAAGAAAGATCTAGACATGAAGTCTCCTTTGCTGCGAAAAATAATACTTATGGCATCCTTCGATATAATGAAAGAATCACACTCAGAATCACAGCTATAATGAAAGCTATCAATGTTTAGTTAATTAACCAAAAAATTTTGCTACCAAGCTGGACGATGATGATTGTAATGACAACAACAACACAACAACAGCAGCAACAAAAACAACAGAAAAATCTTGATAACCAGGCAAAATAATCGAACAAAACTTTTAAAACAATAACATGTTTACATCTTTCCAAAAAACGGTTGTTACAGATGGGGCGTTCAAATTCTGAACACAAAAAATTGCAATGTGTAACCGAATACCTGGACGTATTATTGACAATGCGCAAAGAAACTGGCATAGATAAAGTTGTTTTGAGAGAATTTCTTGGATATTTTCTTGACCTTCCACGGAGAATCCCTAGTAGAAAACCAGGAATTTGTAAACTATAGCGTCTAGAAGGCTCAACATCTAATAAACTGCGTGTATGGAAAACCATAAATATTATTTTTATATGAACCTTGCCTACTCTATTTTTGTAGTGGTTAAAGAGCTTTTGCTATGAAACCTCCGCTCATTAAATAACAAGCATAGGAAAAATATACATTAAGAAAAATATTTCGGTGTGACAAACTTCGGATAAATCTTAGTCCGAAAATTTTTTTGTACAAAATTTGGTGTTATCTGAAAGTTTGTCACGCTAAAAAATTTTCTATAAACCACGCATGCCCAATATTGACTGAAGCAAAGGCTAAAATTTTTAAACATGAGTGTCTGCAAAATTTTTGAAACAGTCCCTCTTCAAAGCTAATAGGAACACCAGTTGAAATGAATAACATCATATAATATCATCGTTCTCGTCGTCTATTAAAAAGTCATCCCCACTTTCTTTGTCTCCTTTCTCTGTCTCATCTGACAGTATCAATGCCTGTGAGGAATGACTGATCATGAATTCAGCCAGAAGCAGGCCCGAGGTCAAAGGGGGCTGGAGGATAAGCCTCCAAGTAAGTCCTCAAAAATGGGGGGGGGGGAAATATTAATGTTCGGTTTAGATACTTTGTTACAGTTTGTGGCTTTAGCAACCCCCAACCCCCTTTACCTTCCTTTTCTATGTATTTTAAAAACTTTGACTTCAGAAGAATATTTCGCTTGAGGTGGTTATCTTAAATAGAAATATTTTCTTAAAGAAACTAAGAATTTTAGCCAGTTTTTCCGTAGTTGATGTGAGCTGTGTACAGGTGAAAGCAGCAAGAGTTTTAAGAAAACAGGAAGTATGTCAGTAAAATCAAGCCTTATCCACATGACTCAAAAACATAGGTAAAACATACATGAATAACTTTATACAGTGACAATTAAAACAACATTAAGGTGTACTTACACCATCAGCCATTACAAAATGAACTCCAAGATTATTGGTATTCTCAAGAACAAATTTGCGAAATTCAATAAGGTTATCTTCTCTGAAAATATCGCCATCACCATCGTATCCACCGACACCTTGTGGAAGAAAAAACCGCATTTGTGACACAATTCATCGATCAGTGCATATAAGTTCGTGAGAAAACTCTCACAGTTAGGCAGACAGGAAAAAACAGAACTGGTCCATAGATATATCAGATAGACTGAATTTTTGCCCAGGCACTTATTTTCTGGTGACGCAAATGAAAAAAAAATCGACTGGGGTTACACTATTGTTTTTTATAAGAACCAGCAAATTTAAGTTGAGGCTGCATTGTTCTAAATTTGTTCTTGAATAAATAGGGTGTAAGGAGTGCGATTGTTGGCTTTTTCGCTCTAGGGAGGTTTTCAGGCCTCATTTGCCAACAAAGTGAGTAAGACAACCTTCATTTGCCGACAAGTTTGAAATTGTTTTAATTGCTTTAATAAACCTGACAGGCATTTTTACTTTCAGGACGTGATCGCAAGTGTCTAATTTCGGGATATAGTACAAGCGGCCTCTTCAGAAATTTTGCATCGATTAGCGAAACAATAAGTCTTCCGAACATACCGTAATACGGTTCAAACGTCACCGGACATCCAGCCAGGAAATCATTTAGTTTGAAATCATTTGCACCATCAGCTGCAAGAAAAATTTTTTGCTGCGTGAACTGATAAGCATGGTAAGAAAGGATAATAAACAAAACAATAAAAAATGATATTAAGATAAAGTATACCATGAAAGACTAGAGGCACAGGAGATTTACAAAGCGAAATATCCAGCTATTTGTCAAGTTATAAACAAAGCTCCTTTAAGAAAAAATATGAAGTTAGAGAGAAACATAAAATCATTTTGGATTACTTACTGTGATTGCGTAACAAAGATTCTAATTCTATCTTGCCTACAATGATGTTAATCAAACAAAGAAGGCATGAACAAAGCTTAAAATATAAGTCACAGCATTACAACAATGATAGCTTCTAACTGCTTTCACAAACACTTCTAAAAAATTTTCAAAGACCACCTATCATGAATATTTTACGCAGACTAAAGCAACGGTATTTCAAATGCTCGATTACACTGACCTTTCAATGTGAGCCCAAAACCTTTTGCGTGCCATTTCTTTTTCCATAGAACATACTCGGAAAACCCGCCTGGGCCAGCACAAATGTCAGCAAAATATAAAAGATCATTTGTCCCCAAAACGCTCTGTCCTTCATGGTTCCTTGGGTCTGTAAACATGAAATCAAATGATGCGTCTAGCTCGGCCATCTTCATTGCGGCTCTGTTTTGAAAAATTCCACCGCGAATGGTCTCATGAGGATTGGCCCTTGTTCGTGCTTTCAGAAACTCATCAGTGCCAAGCATGTCAAAAAGTTTCTGTAAAGACATTGAAATGTAACACGTTCGTTAAAAATATATGCATTAAATATACAGAAAGAACAAATCCAAAAATACAGCAAATGTAAGAATAGATGACGCGGAAAACTGGTTAAAAAGATATGTTTTATGGGACTTTTGTCAAAAGCAGGGATAAAATATGTTTGGACAGCTTTGATCGCCTGTAGAAGGCAAAAATTTCAAATTCAGAATTTTGAAAAAGGACATCAACGGAATTAGGTCTAAATTAGGAAAAGAACATGAAAAAGGTCCTAAAATTTTGTGGTCAACTCTTATTTACGCAAATAAACCAATAATTAATTCAAAAAAAACCTTTGAATCTAAAATGCCTTCCAGAACTTGTGGATCACAGAAATCAGTCTCATCTTCAATGGTTTCGTTCCTCTGAAAATTTAATACAGTTAAGATATGAACTTGGTATAATTACTTCAACATGGGTTGATGCAAAATGAATTAGATAGTGTAGAATAGATTCCTTAAGTGTAATGTGGCAAAAATTCATTTTTCGAATGATTGAATTTCCATTACATAATCTTAAAGAACACGATGAAGAAAAACCATGAAAATGCTAAATTGGCAAAGTATGTTAAACATTAGATGAGATATGACCAATGGAATGTCTGAAGTTCACTAATGGAATACTGTATTTTTGCTTGGTTCATAAAATTATGAACAGGGACCAATTTACAATATTTTGACAGGGAACAAACACATTGAGCTGAGGTTGCACTTATAGCATTATTTCATATTGCACTTTCAGGTTAATTGGGCCCGAGTTAAAAACTCTATAAATATTTCTGCAATCTTTTGCAATCATTATCTAGGAACTCCATTCCTTGGAAGTTTATATTAGCTAGAACACCCCTTGTTTTCAAATTACTATGAAGATAAATATCATTAGCAATTTTTAGCACTTTTAGCACCTATTTTTATAAAGAAATATTTGGAGCCTTAAATTGAGTCATTGCAATGGAGTTGATAAATTTGCAATCTTCTGCAGAATTGATCTTATTTAAATATATTTCAAAACTTTGACTGGATCATGTCATCAGTTTATTTAACAAAGAATTTCATATTTTGAAAACATAAAAGCATACTGTGTCATCAGGAATGGAAAATTCAGAAAAGGTTATCATTCAAAATATTGAGCAGGTATGAAGCAGGTATGAAGCATGAATAAAATCTTCATCTTTGTTAACCAATAAAGTGATTAAACAGAGGTCTATGACAAAGAGGCAAGTCTAAAATAAATCATATCAAATCAATATTGCATATAACAAAAAGATATTTGTATGACTACAAAAATAAATCAAATTCTACAAATATAGTAATTTCCATACTGGACTTATAGTAGGCCATTCTTCCATTTCATCAAGATTTGGTGGCAGCAGCTCACATGAAGGAATCCAATCAGGAACTGGAACTTCTTCCTAGAATTTTAACATACAGTGACTTCAAAATAAACAGCTGCAGTTAGAAAAGGCTAGTACTTAAAGGCTTTGATAAGTTTAGGTGCACTTGAATTTGCTCCATTTGAAGGCTTAACAAGCAGCAATGAATTAGTAGCGGCATAGCTAGTCATCATGCTTGTCATGCTAGGCATGGCCATCCATTTCCAGAGATAGCATTTTTCAAAAATATTTATTGATATGAGAATCTGGTCCTATTCTATTCTCCTATTCTCCTATCACGGTCATTCATGTTTGGAGCCCTATGATTCCACACAACAATATGGAGCCCTCTGAAGGTACTCTTCTATTGTGAGGCATGTCTAAAACAGAGGGTTTCCAATTTAATCACATAGTTCAAACTCACAACTCACATTGCTGGAGTGGGAGGGGGGGCATGCAAAAATACAAATTTTTAATCTCACTACCAATTTCTAATCATGAAATCTAGTCTTTCCTACTAGATGCAAATCCATTAACATTTCATCAAATGTTTGAAGGGTCCCAGGCTTGGAAATTTGGAAGAAGTGCTTGTTTAACTACTGTGTCATTTTAGCACACTCCAAATGGTAGTAATGAAAGAACATTTAATGTGAAATAAATGACAAAAAGTTCCTTTTTTGGAATTTTCATTGTCTACTTTTACTTTTCTCTCTATTATGATTTGCATCAATCATATAAAAACTTTGGAGCATTTGATCAGCTTCAAAGTAAATTAAGCACCTATAAGCTTCATAGAAAGCTTTAAACTTGTACAGAACAGTGAAATAAATCAAATGAATGTAAGGAAATTTGAGTTTTGAAAATGTGCTTAAAACCAATGATCAGCTGCTTTTCTTAAAAATGTTCAAAGAACCATTAGTTTTCATTGTTTCTGCCATTCATGAATGGTTTCTGCAACTGAAAAAAGATGGCAAAAAACCTTGTTCTGTTGTTTCCGCAGCCTACCAATCATGGTAACAATAGCTTGTTTCCCTTAAGGTGACAATTTCTAGGCCATAGCTCAAAACCAATGTTCCTTCCCTTTTGGATGTGTAAAAATTTATAGAAAAAGATACAGAAATTAATAGAAATTCTAACATTTTCCTACCTCTTCTTCCTCTATTGACCAGTCTGCCTTTTCATCTGCATCTAAACCAGTTAGCTGCAAACCAAGACCTCGTCTACCTCTCTGTTTTGAAGACTCAATAATATCAACACGCCCTTGAGCATATTTTCCCAATCCTTTGCCCTCCACATAGCCCATGTTTTCCTTTCAATGAAAAAGCATATGTAAGATTGAATGGTAGCTATCTCTAAATAAATGCATATGTAACAAGGCAATTGGTAATCTGGCTTAACCTCAAGGAGGAAACCAGATGTTGGTGAGCCACTGCATCAAAATTCTCAATATATATTGTGATATTAATATTATATCTGTATGTATAAACATGAATTTGTATCAAATAAATACATGCATTTCAATGCAAATTACTAATGCTAACAGCAGCAAGTAAACTTATTATAATTACAAATTAAGGTTTAGGAGTTATTGCATAAACTTCTGCATCACCAACCATAAGCTTTTGGGCCAAGCTGCTGTAGTTTCCACCAGACATTCCTGGCTTTTCATCAGTAAAGTTATCATCTTCTTCATCATCATCCTCAACAATGTTTTCAGATGCACGTTCGAAGCCTGGCAAAGAATTGAAATCTATAAATGAAAATACTCCAATGCAAAAACAAGCTTTGGGGATATATATTATAGGCACTCTGGCTTAACAGGCACTGTATTTAGAATAAATGGGCATTAGTTTTCAGGTCAAAATTGAATATATTGACATAGGAAAGACAAGAGAAAAGGCAACTCAAAAAGGTATGTAATTCAAATAGGCATCACAAATGCATCAGAAAGGTCAGAACATTTTCCCACCACACAAAAGATAAATTTCTGCTACTGACAACTTCCCAGACTACCTGCATCAAAACCAGAAAGTTTGTTGGCAAACTTTGAGGTAATAGAACCGCCCTCTTCCTAAAGTATTATTTGTAGCTTCACTACAGCGAGGCAAGGTGAATGAACATTCAGGCTCACTGTTTAATGCCAAATGTTTAGATTGCCAATTAATCTTAAATAGGCTTTTTTAGGAAAAATTCTCCAGATTTAGATAGGTATGTTTTGCAAATTTTGTGAAATATCTTAAATTGCCAATCTGACAAATTGAAGTAACTAGATCCACCCAGTTTCAACTGGATCTTTCTTTGTAACTAATTGAGGTGAAACCATAATTTTTTCAGGATTCATAGTTGCATCTAAATTGGTTACAAGAAAATATTCTGGTGGTATCTAGCATGCATGAGTAGAGAAAATAAAACGATTCTTAGTCCTAGTCCCTTTAATTAGTACCTTTTAAAAGCCTTCAACTAAATCTAAAAACATTCCATTTTGAAAAGGGTTATTAGATATTCCCTGTCTTACTCTTAACTTTGATTGATTCAAAGCATGGCTAACGCAATGTACTTTTCACTCAGGGTGCATTCCATGTACTTAGGCCCGAAGATCTTCGGCATGCACCCAGGTTTTTTCCCGCGATCGGCGTGCAAACAAATAGAAAAATTTGTTGGCATATACCTAAAATTTTTGTTAGTTGGCATGCTTAACATGAAGCCATGTACATAGTTAACAGAAAATAAAGACTCACACACCACAGTTTTCTCTAATAATCAGTTTTCTTTGTCTGGCACAATGATGCTCACAGTTTCACTAACTGCTTTTATATTTTCGGCGTACCTAAACAAATGCCCCGGTGGACCTTTGACGTACAGTTGACATGAAATGCATCCTGGCTTTTCACACAAGGTATTCGCTAAAATTATTGCCCTGATGCTTTGTTAACTATACCAAGGGGTGCTTTCTCTTTGATTAGTTATTCTAATTATTTAGGTGTTCCTCCTCAAAATAATTCCTACCATGCAATTTAGTTTGTTTCTATGTTCTTGTGTAGCATTTCCTGTATCAATCTTTTTTGAATTACTTGTTCAGTTATTCTCACTGAATTGTATGTAGTGAATTCAAAATTAAATGAACTGAACTGAACCATACAGACTAAAATATGCATTAACTTATCATCATGCCATAAACTTCAAATAAGCCTACAGTAACTTCGGCCAGTATCAAATCCGTATTTCAAGGTAAAATAATACTTTACGTCACTTTTGCAAGTTCTTTTGTTTTCTTACCATATCTAGCATATTTTCTCTCTGTACTTTTACTTGGGCTGATGTCACCATTCTCGTTATCACTGCTTTCTGTTGTGTCTGAAGACAAGGTCCGTTTACGCGCATTTGGAATGTTGAAAGCCATTATTCATTCAGAAATTTCAAGGACGCTGGCAAAGCTATCTATATCTCCAGTCAGATAAATGACATGTTGGTTATTTAGAAATGTGGACACATTTATCATTTCCACGAACCAGCGAACCCCTTACGCTTACAGTCTCGTATTGAAAACAACTTCGTGCCTCGTTTATCTCAACACAAAGGAGTTATTGTCTTTTGAATTCATGGCAACCAGCGTCATTTTGACAACGTAGAAGCAAGATGTTGAGATGTTTCAACGATGATAGAGCGGGATAGATATTGATATTAAGTCCTGTTTTATTTAACCATTGATAAGATAAAAGTAGTTAAAAACTTTGCAAGAAGAATCATCGACTGAAGTTTGGTTCAGTGGAGCTGGTATAAGAAAAGATGTCAGCTGGAATGGTTTCCGTGCCTACTATCGTTCCATTGAAAGCCCCTGGAACAGGTCGAAAATGGGAGATTGACACAAAAACACCCATCGAAATGTCAAGCAGCACCAAAGATACCATTATTTACTACACTGCCGACGGCAGCAAACCAGAGCCATTTAAGAAAATCGGCCAAAACTCGACATACAAATATACGAAGCCAATTTACCTTGGAGTAGGAAAAATCACACTAAAAGCCATGGCTGTGTTGAGTGACAGGTCGAAGGAAAGCAGCGTAAACACAAAAATGTTCCAGATTCGCGAAGCACAATACGAAATTGTAGAAGACGAAGATGACAATGATGATTTTGAAGTTGATGAGGATGAATATGAAAGTAGGGAACAGTATCAGTCATTAAGGCAATCGTTTGAAAACAGCAAAATAAATGAAAATGACTTTGGATGGGGAACTAAAACAAACTTTGGGTCTACATACGGAAATCGTGCATGGAAAAAAGATACCAAAGATTTTGCTGCAAAGGGTACGCATAATAATCTATTAGAACAAATATGCTTTTCTGGAGAGGATGATTTTAGGGCAATGAAATCTAAAGAGTTTTCAAAAGCAGAAGACAGTGGTGTGCGTAAAGTTTTAAATGGGCTTGAGTTGCAGAAAACACAGTTTTCTGTTAGAGATGAAGGAAAATTTGATTATGATATGATGGGATCCAATTTTGCTTACCCAAGGACAGCAATGCCTCCTAAGAGTGGTGTTACAGCAAAATATACTGATGATGAATTTAATCTGGCCAGATGCCTTTACTGTCATGCAGTTAGGCCTGCAGACCCATATGCAAGATTCTGCATTGAATGTGCAGCTGCATTGCCCCCAGTTCCAAATAGAAGATCTGTTCCTCAAGATGAGCAATCATCTGTGACCTGTCCACTCTGTTTTGCAAATGTCCCAACAAATTCTGCAACTTGTCCTGTTTGTCAGAAGAATTTTCAAGAAAAAATTCAAGAACATTCAGCATTGAATGTTGAAAAAGTAGTTTGCTTGCAATGTGGAACTTTGTCTCCATCTGGAAGTCGAAGATGTGTAGTTTGTGAGAGTTTGCTACCAGTTCAAAAAGTGTTTACCCAGCATGTTGTAAACAAACCACCACAGCCAAGCAGAGAATCCTTCTTGCAATGTTCAAAATGTGGACGAGTAAACAGCATTGATGCAAGATTTTGTGACTGGTGTGGGGCAAAGCCATTGCCATCCAGCTCTGTTGTTACTTGCATCACATGCAGAACTAACAATCAACCATATGCCAAATACTGTGCTGCATGTGGCCACAATATTGCTCCTCCAGCACGTCCAGATTATAGTTCCCTGTACCCAAACCAAAGAAGTGTTCCAAAGACATCAACTTTTGTGCCATATTCTGGAGACCACGCAAAATGGATTTCTCTTTCAGCACCATTGCCAAAAGCAGATCAAAAGACATATGGGACTCAAACAACTGGGATTTACTTTCCATCTTCAAGAACTATTGATGCACAATGTAAAGATGAAGAAGGCAGTAGTAAACCTAAAAGACCCTTGAGTGCAATGAGTCCTGGAAAAGGCTATTGGCGACAACAAATTGACCATGTGTCCCAGCATTTGAAAATCTTTACACAAAATAACATCGAATTCAGAGATTCTATAAGTCATTTAAAAATTGGTAAATTGTTGGGAGCAATCGCTCAGGAGGAACTTAATGGACAGGAGCTATGCATAACCTTGTCTTTCAGCTTGAGAAATAAAGATAAGCATACTCTTAATGCAACCGCTAAGGCTGTGCAGCATGGTGCTGCTTTTATTAATGCATTGAAAAATTCAAAGAACTCCAAAATAACTAGAGGCGATTCAGAAACTAAAAAGAAAAAGATAAAGAAGAAGGGAAAGAAACATATGATATCAAAGGATGCAAAACTGTCTGCAGAAACAGTAAAACTTTTCAAAATGTTGTCAGATGTTTCTGAAGTGGAAATTGATATGATAAATGAATTAATAGATTCTGGATGTGATGTGAATGCTGTGAATTCAGAAGGCTTTACACCTTTGAAACAAGCAGTTGAAAGTAAACACACTGGCTGTATTCAAGTCCTTGTTGATGCTGGTGCAAATGTTGATGCTAAGTCAGGCCCCAAAGGAAATACAGCACTTCATGAGGCAGTGAGATTAGGTTTGGATGGAACTGATGCTGTAGAAAAGCTTCTTGATGTTGGTGCAGATCAAGATACAGTTAATGATGCTGGGCAAACTCCTTATGACCTTGCATTGAAAAGTGGGATTGATAGCATTATTACCAAGTTTACTGCAAAACTAGGACAGGATTTACTGAGTCAAACTATTAGTTAACTAACATTTGTAATTCATGTCTCTGTGAGAACAGAGGATTTTTTCAAATTTCTAGCATTTTTCATATAATTGTGTAATCATAAATTGATATGCAAGTTAAAAGCTATTTTGCACAAATTTATATGCAAATTAAAAGCTATTTTGAAGATATTTAAACATTTGATAGACCAGTGGTGGTGCCAGGGGAGGGCTAGGGGGGCTACAGCCCCTCTGTCAGAAGCATCTAGCCCCCCCCCCCATCGGAGGAAATTTTAGGTTATTGTCGGAGCAAATTTGACAAAATAACGTACAAAAACTGCTTATTTTAGTCGTTTTAGCCCCCTGTCGGAAGCTCCAACCCCTCTGTCGGAAGATTTCTGGCACCACCTCTGTGATAGACAGCACAGAGTTAAATTGAGGCAGTATTGTTTGCAGATAGCACTAGTACTCTCACTTCTTCATTAATCACCGTCAAACTGCTATGTAATGTTCTTGCAAATATTATACCTTCTTCTTTATATTTAATCAAATATTATACCAGATCTTTATATTTAATGACATCAATAGCAAGGTCTCTTTTGGATGTACATGATATTCTATAATTTAATATTATATTTTTTCCAATTATAGAATAGTTGTATTTTTTCTGTACCTGTCTTTTGTGAATTATTTGGACATTGATTTTTAATTATTTACTTTTTAATTTACTGACCAGACTTGCTCTGTTCTACTCAAAAGAAAGGAATGTACTTCTCATGAAAAATAATTAACGGATTGTAATTATGTTATTGGACTCAAATTAGCCTGGTCTTTATAAAAATATCAAGAGTGCTAGTGCACATATGTTGCTAAAACAATAGCAAAAGCTGAAATTTGCTAATTTTCTGCATTAACAAGGTGCTCAGAAACTTGACAATGTTGCTAACCAGCTTTTCTGTTTTCAATTATCTGTGAAGGCTGAAGTGCCTTGTACACAGCTATTGGTTGAATCGGCCAGTTTTAGCAAACAATCGGTGCTTTTGGCCTGTTCTGCTTGACTCGATGTCCATATTGATACTGTAGAGACCTATCTGATGCAAAACCCTAATTAAAAGAATGACGTCGACTGACGTTGAATCAAGCCCGTAGCCAGGCCAGTGGAGTAGGGTTTACTCCCACCTAAGATTAAAGTGGAAATATTTGTAGGGTTGGGGGGAGGGGGCTAATGGAAGCATCTTTAGCAATTAAACAACTTTCTCGAAGACCTCTTCATTTCTATTCAGCTAGAAAACTTTCAAATTTTATGTCTTCCATCAAAATCTTATTATCAAACGCCAGGCATGCAAGATTGTATTCCCTCTCTGCTCACAAAGAATTTCGTTGAGGGGAATCTACCCTTGTTAATGTAGAAATCAAGCAATCCTTTCAGTCCTTATGTGTTGACGTAAAGCCAGTAGTAACTGCAATTATCGATTCTTGCCCCTGTTAGTTTGAATCCCCCCTTTCCCTCCAAATCAATGTTGGATTTCTAGTTCTATCATTCTGTTTCAAAATCATACACTCAACATACTGATTGATTCTTAAATACTTGAAGCTTTGAGCGTTTATGACTCACTGACGGAGTGTGCTCGGTACTGATAAAATCATCAAAGAGCTTGGGAAAAAATGCCCTTCTTCGCTGAACGATGCTGACTTCAGGGACTTTTTCGAAAATCAGCCACCATTTTCACGCATTGAACCTTAGTCAAATTTACACATCGTTCCTTAAGGTCCTTTCTCACTGCTGTACCCTAGACAGTGCTGTGACAACATTCTATCTGGAAGATTGAAGCTGCTTCAGAATTGTTTATTGGCTTTATAATGTCCACCAGCAGGCAATTTACAAAAACTAAAATCCCTTCGTCCACATCCTCTTCTAGCTGATGCAGCAATTCTTTGGCCAAGCCACTGCATTTGCCTTTTAGATTCCATTGTCTTGATTTTAAGATACTTTTCAGCGCTTGTTTTTGCAATATCCTATAGTTTCTGTAGGCTAACTCAAGAAGTACGTGTTTTTTTAAGATAGCAGAAAATAACATTCCTACTTTGACAACTCCTGATTTAACCAGTGCGTGTCTATATACCGTAATGACTCGAAAAAGCGCCCCCTCAAATAAGAGCCCCCCCCAAATAAGCGCCCATCCTTCAACCTTCAGAAATGGGCGCTTATTCGAATTTCCAACGAAAACATAATTGGAAAGCAATTCAACACGAAAGATTAATGAAGAACACAATTTGCACCAAATCTACCTTTTAAAATAAGCGCCCCTTGATTAAGCGCCTCCCTCGAATAAGCGCCCATCCTGGAGCCTCAAAAATTAAATAAGCGCCCGAGCGCTTATTCGAGGCATTACGGTACTACACTATTGTCCCCAAAATTGTTATTCGCATGATTTGTAATTTTAAAGTGCTCTGACCAACGTGTTCCAGGCAGACGTTCTGGCAATTTTTCTGCGGAGTGCCCAAGTAGTGTCAAGTTTTTGTTTAGCAGCGAACAGGTTTTTTGAGCGCAAGACACGATCTTGAGTCCTAAATTGGTAACAAGAGACCCCGTTAACCAATTTCCCTTTAGCCAGTATTAACTTCACTCAAATTGTCACGACAATCCAATGAAAACGACGAAGAATCCCATTAAAAAAATTTTGAGATAAAATTATCGGGGTGGCAAACAGCTAGTCTACAGTTGCTCCAGGGGTGGCCTTGCTCAAAATCAACCTGGTCTATCAGATAATCATTGATCATGCAAGCCCATAAAGCAAAGTTCTTGGACCTTTTCCAGCATAAAATAGAGCACAATTTTGGAAAACATAAGCTTATCAGCCGTAAGTAAAATCACACGACAGAATGAATGGGGAAAGATTTGATTTTATTGAACAACCTTTAAGACCAGTGACGTCATATTTCCCAGCGCCAATTTACGAGGCTTTCATAGTAAAGCTAAAAGCCTCCCTTTCTAAAGTCAAATACGCATACGCAGATGTGTTCATTCTGATTTAAAATTTATGTTGTTGATATCTCACGAGCATATCAGCAAAGCTGCGTCAGTAAGAACATCAGGATCGCGACTCTTTATCATGGATAGGGGTAATGCGGGATTTCAAGATCACTTTAATTTACCATTACCTCCTATCGAAAATTTTACATACAATGAGCAAAATGGCATCATGGAACAAGGGCAGATTCCTGGTCCACAACACTATAATTTTGAATATGGAAGATGCCAGTTTTACGGATATCGTAATATGCAGGATCACTTTTACCTGACTCAAGGACAGCATTATCAGGAATACCCCCAACAAATGGAACATCAAGTGATATGCAATACTATCTACCAACAACCCCATTCATGGAACCCGTATGACGGCAGCGCAATGATGCCAAACCTTGTTGAATTGGGGCATATCGATGTAGCTAGCAGAGCAAGGCATAAGCGATCGAGAATGTCACTGCAGAAACGATTGTTGGTTAATGCACGGGAAAGGGAGAGAATGCGGGTGTTGAACAAAGCTTTCGAGGCTTTAAGAGACGCGTTGCCTTGCTATATCGCTGATGGCCATATGGCGAAAATAACAACACTAAGGCTTGCGATAAATTATATCAAAGCATTAACCGAGGTTTTAGAAGAACAGAGAGATACTGAGGCACAACAGGAGAAGAGTGAGAGCGAAATGAAAGCTGAAGATCTGGATTGTGAAGATCTGTCCTTGCTTCAAACTGACAACATAGCAACATCAAACGAGCTTAAAACAGATATTTGCAAAAAGGAAGACGAAGATGGCATCCTTGGAAAGGATGTTGTTGACACAAGTTTACGAGATTTGGATGTAAAATAAGTTCGTGGATGATGTAGTTAAAAAGGTATTTAGGATTAATGTAGATTTCAAGCATCTCTATGAACCATTCTTACATACATATAAAGTTGCTACGGAAGATACATTTTCTTCACCAATGAGCAGATTTTTGAGTTGCTTAATGACGATCAATCGGGATAGTGTAAATAATTTTTTTTAACTTGGTGAGATTATGCTCTTTAATAGTTGTATAAATAGCCTGGAAATACCATCTTTGAATGACTATCAGAATCAACTCTATCTTAAAGATTTTGATACATTCTTGAACATTATTCCTATGATCGCACCAATATCACATTGAAAAAAGATTCCTTAATAGGGAACTTTTCAATCTATGCCTTTATGTGCTCACCTGAATCTATATGATCCAGATTCGAATCAGTTTTTCTGTACTATATTGTCCAATTACACATGAAAGACGCTGTAGAAATATTACTTGTAAATGAAGATAAAAACAATGCAATATGATTATCATACAGTGCTCTTACTTTGAAATATATCATACATGCTCAAGGTTAATCATATTGATAAAGTTTGTTCGAATACATGTATTCGGTTGAACAATAATCTACGCTCTGTTCGAGCAATATTACGGCCTCAATGACAATTATCAAAAGGTTAAATAGACTAGAAATTGTCTCCCGTTCTCTAAATTGAACAACTTGTATTTAGCATACAAAAGTGTGATATTTTTTTGTAAAACAACGATCAATATCCTCTAGCACATGCCTGTCAGCAAAGATATCAGTTCAATTTTCAGGATGGCTTTTACCACAGAAGACAAACAAAACTTATAGAGAAGGGCAAAAACGAAAATAATGCACATAGTATCGCTGTCATGTGTTAACCAAAAACACACATCGAATACTGCTGCTCATTATCAATTCTTGTATTACGATTCCAAATTCCGAATACTGTTTTTCGTATTGACATTCAGTCTCTCTGAACGCCGTTCACTTGACAGTTTATGTAGGAGATCAATGCGATATGGACAGATTATGTACTTTTAGCCAAAGGCCCGCATAAGAATCGATTTTGATCGATATTAATATTCCTTTGGCTCAGAAAAGAAAATAAAAGAATCCTAAAGTCTTGTGAAGGAAGAATTTCCGCTGTACTTTCTGAAAATTCTGCTTACAAACATTTCTTTGGTTATTTTATAATTGCAAACCCGTTGCTAACAACTGGTTAGTTATTTTGCAAGCATATTACTCCATTCTGATGTTGTAAGGTACATAGCAAAAACATAATCGATTTCTGCTATATCATACAGATGTCTCAAACCATTACCTTACCTAAAAATGCATGATGGTTCAAGCTTTTACTGCCAAAGATATTTTAGTGAATTCAGATCATAATGAGATCGTTACATCTTCGAGATATTCAAATGAAAGCACCAAATTATGAAATGTTTTTCTCAATACTTAAACGATCGCTGCAGCAAGACTTGGAATCCGATTCCCCAGGAAATAGAAAATTTTGTTACATTAGAGGAATTTAAGAAAAAGATTAAGATCAATATTTGTTCCTAGGTACCTCTTCAAACGTCCCAGAAACTTTGAATTAACGATATTAAATTTTAGTTCCCCTTCAGAGTTAATTCTTAAATGGTGCTGGAATTCTCAAACTTGTTGATCTCATTGGTTTTTTATCACTGGCAAGTAATTTTGAGTTAGATTAATTGACGCTGAGAGAATTTTAGACTCCGGTAGTACGTCTAGATCACGAACAACACATCCCCCATAATTTACGTGCAATGTCTATTAACCTTAGTACTCTATGATATTCGACAAAAAACATAAACTAATTTCCAGCATAAACTTCTAAATGTATTTGTACAGATTTCAGTTAGTGAAATATCCACAATATACCAGATTTCATTTGTAGAACTCTTGTTAACAAGATCACATTAGATTGTAATCCTCAGATCTCAGTTAACGATCAACTTATTGCTATAAAGTTTTGTTTTTGCTAATTTTCCTGACCAATTCAACTGAATATGCAACTGAACAATCCAATTTTGTTTAACAATTATCTATGTCTCCGCTCAAACATTCAGTGGTCTTCAAGGCCTTAAAGTGTGTAAATTCTATTCTATGCAAAAAGTCAATGTAAGATGCCAAATCAATCAAATCACAAAATTTAAAACATACTTCACAAGAGATGTTCAATGAATTGAATCTCAAACGAGTGGGCTGTCTCAAGAACTGACTTTTTTTGTTTCCATGTCACGAATGTGGGATGGGCAGATCAGCCGATTTGGTAAGGAGCTGATTTGGGCGGATCCTCCGGAGTGCCAGAAGTGATTTAACCTAAAAAGAGGTAAACGGTTTGTAGAAAGCCGGTAGAAAGCAGTTAGAAAGAAAAGGGTAGATTTGCATAAACTTCGTCTCGATCGCCTGGTTAATGATTTTCTAGATAAACTTTAGCCACCTTGAATCATAGCTTCAAAGAAACTTCCCCTTTGGGAGTTTTTTCTTTACAATTTTAACAATCTTTACAATTCAAATTGGGCAATCATTTATTGTTTCTATTATCATTGTCAACCCTTTTCTGAGTTCGGGAGTAAAAGGGACTCCTGTTCAATTTTTAAGATTTTATTATATTCTCACTTCTTAATTTAACATCCCTAAAAATCGACAAAAACGCTTACTAAAAATTTGAAATTTAGAGTTGTTTAGAAGAATGAGTTTATTAATAATCTAAAAACAGTATGGAAGAAGTAATGTTCAGTTATCATTGCCCATGTTTCCCGAGAATAGAGAGGTTGTAGTCGCAGAACTATTTTCCAGATTTCATCTCTTTCGCCCCCCTCACTAATAAGCAATGAGGTGTCCCCCACTTGTCTCTACCGTGAAACTCGCAAACGTTTTTAGACCGGAGGTTCTACAAATGTCGGCATGCACCTTCAAAGAATATGAAATGAGGGAAAGGTGTATGGTCTTTTCGAAATTTTGAGAGGTTACAAAACAATGTTGCATGTCTCAGACAAAAATTTTTCGGGGAAACTGCTCAAGTTTATTCGGTCTTTCTCGACGTCAGTACCAAAAGTTATCTTGTAGTTGGTCAAAGATTTATGTATCTGTGGTCTTAGCTATTTGAATATGCTATTCGGAGTGTAGGAGCTGCCCATCACTCTTGGGAAAAAGGTCTGCTTCAAAGTCAAAACTTTATTTTCATCAGCAAGTGACTTTTGTAGCAAGTGCATTTTTGATCATTTCAAATAGCCCCATTTAAAATATTTCCCTGGATAGTATAAAAAGAACAACTCACTATCCGTACTTTAGGTACTCATCCTAAATGTTTAAACTCTACTATGCCCACTGGCTGCCATTTTAAATAGCTACGTCCCTAGATACATTTTAAAGAATAATTAAAGAAGTTATACTTGATATTTCTCATTGACATAAACCCGGAGAAAATGTTCTTTTAAGATGTGCAGCTCTTAAATTGGCAAAACCATTTGCTAATTTTATAGGAGGAGTCATTGACCCACGAACGAAATTTCTTTGTCCAAGAGTAAAGGAACGAAGAAAAAAGAGAGGAAGTGTTACAATAAAAATCGTGTCGAAAAAGAAACTCCATCAAAATTCATATAATGTATGGAGGAAAACTGAAACGTGTATTTCCAGATGTTTTATGGATAAAAATTTGCATTTGGACGAATATTTGTTGTTTTGTTTTGCAAAGTTAAAAGGCTACAGCAGCTGTTCAACCAATTCTTGTGCTTTTTAAGGGTTATGCTCGAAGTCTTTTCTAGAGTTCGTTTATGATTATTCAAAGGCAAAGGCAGGACAAGCAGTTTGCCAAAGTATTTCTATCTTAAAAGGGAGATTTAATTGCATTTTAGAGAACGGCTGCTAAAGTCTATTGATGCTGAGTTAAGGCTTCCTTTTCCATCAAATTTTCTAGACTGCTAGCAGTATTTATCACGATAAGTTTTCAAAAGAAGCTGACAAGCGAGATTGTTTCTATCTATCGATTCTTTACGCCCTTTGAAGCTCGTATGACGTGACTGTTGCAAAGTCTTGCCATCACAGCGTGAGAATGTAACCTCATATCAAAGCTGCTTTTTTGTCATGTTGCTAAAGTGGCCGTAAAAACTTCTGAAATTGCTGGCGAGATATCAAAGAGGCTCCATGTGTGGTAAACAATCGAATCATACCATATGAAACGAAAAACTGCAGCCAATATATTTATTTTGTGAAAGATACTAAATATTCCCCTATGTCAGTCAGCGAAATGCTTCAAACCTTCAAACCATTCTTTGACACAATTCAAGATGCTTGGAACAAAAACAAGGGCAAAGCAACACTGGCGATTTAAAAAACGTGGTCGAGGCAGCCAGCCATTTCTTGATACAGTGCCTCAAAAGTTTAATCATTTATTGCAAACTAATTGCATGCTTTAGTGAAAGCTTTGGCGAAAATATGCAGAGCTCAACAAACCCAGAAACTGATGGTATCAAGGATGGTATCTTCAGATTCCACAACGTGAAAACAAATATTCCATGGTCTAGACAACGGATGCAGGACTGCAAGCGAAAACCATTAGAGGTTCGAAATAATAAAATATCAAGAGGCCACAAACAACAAGACAGTTTCTTTAAATGTCGCTTGAAGCAATGGAACCTTGGAATGAAAACATGGACTACGTTCTCTTTAAAACGAGGATACACAATTCTTCAACAAAAAATGTATATAGAAAGAAGCGCTTTCCGTGATGTCACATATTGTGACTCGCCTAAGTTAGCTGACAAAACAAAGATTTAATACCTCCTCATTTCTTGTGGGTGAAGTATTTCTTCGATTCATTTTTTCCGCATCAAGTACATGTTCGAATCAGCCATTTTGAAGTGTGATCTATCTTAAAACATCTAACAAAGTAAATTGTTATTCACATTCCATTCTATTGATCAAAACCTCCCTCGGTGGAGAAGCATTGATGGAAGCACGCTTTTAAGTGAATTATCAGTGAAGCTTTGCTCGCATCACGACAAAGCTCGAATGAGTGTGTACGAAATCAAGCTGGGAATTTCTGGTGCATGGAAATTTAGAAAGAGCCAAGGCTGGTCCCATCTTGATGTTTTTGGCAAGATGGCGAGAGTTGAAACGAGCGACTTATGGTGTGAGCACGCACAGGTTTAATCATCTGGTCGGCTTTAAGTAATGAATTCCACAGGATAGATACTTAAGAAATCAGTGTACATTTTACGCTCAGATTTTTTTCTGGACCTTAACGCTAGCCAAATTTTATTGAATCGCAGAAAACATAGATATGAGAAACTTATCCCAAAAGTGGTTGGAGTTGAGATAGCATCGCGAACTCAGTCTTCCAACGTTTTTCAAATCATTTTATATAGTTGCCCATTCTCAACTGCCATGTGAAGATTTTTCTAGAGGTTACGCTGAATACAATAGGGCTTTTTTGAGATACGAGGTTTCTACAGAGAGAAATCCCAGAAGAGATACAAAAAGTTTCCTATCGTCCTTAGAATTTGATTGAAACTTGGTCAGATTCATAGAAATTTCTTTTCTGGAGCATCCGTATTTATAGATTGACGACAAATTATCATATAGGGTCGCGTCGCCCTGATTGAGTATGTACCTGGAAACGTGACATTTACATCGCATCAACTATTGCGAAAAAATTGGGAGATTGGGGCTAAGCTGCGACCAAAAAAGCGCGAAATCATATGTATACGCCATTTATCAAAGTTAAGAAAACATTTTGCGTTCAATTACTCAATCGATGAACGAATAATGCAACAAACAAAATGGAGTCGGCTGGTCGGTTCATAAAGAACATACAGGTTAACTAATTTGTAAGAAGAGGACGATAAAGGTCCTGTTAAGGAGATTCGACTGGAAAGGGATCACAGACATGGGATAAATGGACTACCGAGGCATTCTGTGGCATTATTATACACTAATCTGAAGAATTAGCAACATCTGGGAAAGCTTTAAAAAGCACAGCGATGACTTGCATGAGTAACGAAGAAAGGATGAAAAGAAGAGATCCACTAAAGAACCTTATGGCATGTGGTCGAACAGCAGGTTAACATCTGTGCAGTTAACGAATTAAGCTCGCGATAATTGCAAAATAGAAGTTAATTGGATGGGAAAACTCTTCATTGCAAATTTGTATAGCGTTTTATGTGTCCTGACGAGTAATGGTTGATTAACTGCAAGTACATCAACAAAATAGCTCACCCCGGCAAATTAGCTGCGATTTCAAACAGATTTTTTCATGTTCTTCCTATCAAAGAATGCAAAGCTGGTCGACAATCAAACATATCATTGCGAAGTGTTTGTTTCTGCGCTTAAAGCTATCATCAACGTTGACAACAAAAACTGCATAAATGTCAATTTGATAATATGTAAAGATCTACGGTAAACAAAACAGCAAAATTCTACCGTAGTTATGCCATTCTAAAATTCTCTAAGCTAAACAGAAGATGCAATAAATTGTTTCTAAGACTGGCCTTGGTCAAAACTGAAACTGCGAAAAGTCCTTTTACTTTCACGTCCGTACAGTTTTAATGAACTTCCAAGAGCCAGATGTTCCCTAAAATCAATTTTAATTTATAAATCAAAGTTAAAAGCACAATTTTTGTCGTAAGAAACATGCCAAGGTTGTGGAAAATGTTTTAAAAATTTAAAACTTTTTAGTGTAACTAACTCTTATTTCTGATTGTAATTAATTTAAAATTAAGTTTATTCTACTTTGTTTGCTGCTACACTTCTTAACAGGGCCCCTATTGATAACAGCAGATTTACTGCTAAACAGCCAACCCCTGTATAAAGAACTGTTTTATTTTTATCATTATATAAATCGCAATTTTCGCATCAATAGCAAATATCAAAATGGAGAGTAAATCGACTGGCCTAGTTAAAGAAGATCTTCAGCCCAGACTCATCAGGGTCAGGGAGGCCAATTTCACATTAAAGCTGCTTTCGAAGTAAACTTTAAAACTAGATGACTTTATAGATGAGCAAAACTATTGGGGTGTAGAAAGGGGGGGTTATGGGTTATTGATACGAATTGTAATGCAGGAGAGTCGGCCCTGATCCCCACTATTGGTAGAATTTATTTTTCTGCTACAATCCTTGCCAAAACACTTGAAAAAACCCTAAACGTCCTACTTGCAAAAACACATCAAAGTCTTTTATTCTTCCCCCCCCCCTGTAGTTAATTAGCGTTTCCATAGACTCTCGAACTGTATACTTGGCGCATGTGAATTGAATCATTGGCGTATGCGAACTATATGTTTTGCGCTTAATTTTCTAAAAAAAACATATTATCAACGTACCGGTCAGATGCACCCTGGCAGAAAAAACACATAAGTTGCAATGAATAAACTTAGACACACTTGGGTTAAAATTCTCCGAATTCAGGGGCATCTATGTTAAAGCTGCAAAAATTAAACCATAAAACGCCACAAATTATGGTGGTCCTTAATACAGATTCTTCTTGGCAAAACAACTTAATTCCTGTCCATATCTACACGGTAAGAAGAGACTCCGACTTTACAGGTAAAGTGCTCTTTTGTACTGCAAAAGCGAGGTGCCATGGCTCCGATACCCTCTCCCATCTTTTGATGTAAAAGACTTCAACTTCGTCATCGCTTCATACGTAATACCCTGGTCCCATCGCCACTAGTTTTTGCTTTAACGCAGCCGGCTGGCGTGACAAAATTAAGTGCTTATTTTCAAGGAGCAAAAACCATAAGATCAACAGTTAATTATAAAACTGCTACATATTCAGGGAAAGTTTAAAGTCTGGTTGCTATTTTTCGGTAAATTTTACCAGCACTGATCTATCACCGGTGTTAAAAATGGGTTAGCATTAAAACTACTGTCGTTTTAATTTGGACAGCCCTTTCCAAGATCGATAATGTAATAAACTGATCTAATTTTCTTCCATTTATACTGGTTCATAAATCATCTGTACAAGTTGATATTCGATTCGAGAAATTGCTACAAAAATCTAATTTTTCTCCAACAATTCCTCCCAATCAACGTTGTTTTTGAAAATTTCTCTGTCGAGCCATTTCTCGTAATCCTTCTTGAATTTCTTTGTAAGAGTAACTGTCTGACTCAAGCAGCTATGGAGATCGTTATCAACCGGCTGAAAATCGGACGGGTAATGCGAGCCACCGGCATCGTAATGGTGGTAGTTGAACAAGTCAACATTCTGGCGCAACGCGCATTCCTCAGTCTGGAAATCCCACGGTCGAGCGTCAAGATCTAGAAGATTAGAAAAAAAGCGTTTCTGGACATCGGACAAGCCTCATTAAGACAGCATGAAAAGCAAAACCAAATATCTCTTGATAAACTTCAAAAGTTACAAAACCGTGTAGTCAGAACAGTTGTAGGATGTCGATATGATAATCAGCCTTGTCAATGGGACTCTTAGGTGGCCCACGGTCAGGGAGTTACTTGATCTTTAAACCCTCAAGATGGTTTTCAAATCCCCAAATGGCGTGGGGCCGTCCTATACGAGTGACATGTTCAGTAGGGTTGACGAAACAACCTCTCGCGTACTGCGGAAGTATATTAACTTCCGCAGTTAAGGACATCAGCTAGTCAAATATGTTTCTCGTTCAGAGGGGCTAGTCTCTGGAACGGGTTGAACGATAAAGAAAAAAGTCAACCAACTAGAAAGAAATTAAAGGAAGGGCTGATAAAATTCCGCATTGTATAAGTCGCAGTATTTTTGTTCTAAGTCAAAATCTTTTTAATCTTATTTACTTCAATCTCATTGTATCATATTGAATGAATTATTTTAATTTCAACTTTTATGGTATTTAAATGCATGGCCCTTGGAAATCAGCTTTTTCCTAACTGAGGGGCTACCATGCCTAAAAAATTAAAAATTGAAAAAAAATGAAATTTTGGGGTGTCCAAGGAAAGGGAGCCGGGTGATCCGGTAACAAAATTAGCTGATATCGGGTTGCTAAAGCTAAATTTCTACACGCTTTGAGAGCTGCAGAAAAGAGTTGAATACATATACAGAGGTCAACAAAAAAAGAAATTGCAGGAAAAAGTACAAGAAATATTTTTGCTCAGAAAAGTGCTTAGAAATAAGAAAGAACTTTAACTTCATTATGTAAAAATGACCTTACATAAAACTGAACCTATTATACAAATCGAAACAGCTGACCACAGGCACTATTATAGGAAGCATAAATGCTTGTATTATATTCCATGGGAAAACTTTGCAAATTTTCTGCAAAGACGTTTTGGCAAAAATTTGAAAAATTATCAATGCTGTGAAAATCATTATTCTGGCCCGCTTCGATTTGACTCACAAAATTTCCAAAACGAGGCTTACCATTTCCGAAGGCCCAGTCATCGTTCAATCGGTGTCTGACTTTATGATAAATCATGGACATGATTTTCATGTTGCTTTTTCTCCAGTTTCTACCAAGATATTTTATTTGTGTTTTCAGTAACTAAAACCCAAAAGAAAAAGTCGTAAAAAGGTAAATTGTCAAAGAAATATCTGCAGCAAATAGTTATGAATTTTCTAAATCAGTGAGTGCTACATACTATGTTAGCAGTTTTTTACTTGGTCCACGAGGCAGCTTAAAATCAATTTTAAATGTAGAAAAATGATAAAAAGCCTCATATATTGCCAAATTTATAGCAAATATTTTCTTTTACTTGCATAAAATCTTCATACATTTAACTTTCTGCTTAAAAAATATCAATAGCCTTTGAATCAAGTTAGCTACCATTCGCTGCAAAAATGCAACCTTTAACACTAGTTTGGTAAGAATTATTTTAGACCATTGTCTTTTAATGGTATTTATATATTCATACAAATATGATTAATTTATAAAGGTGTCACCACAATTTCGAAAATGTTACGGATTCTTGCGAAAATCTTTTTGAATAGCTTTATTGCAAATTGTTACCTTTATTACTGCAGAGAAATTTAAAAATTTTGACTTTTATTTTGACATTCAGCAATAAATTGCAAAACACATTTGTTAGACATACCTTCAAAACGTAAAGCTGTAAGTTTTCTTCATTTATTTTCAAAGCTCTTTTAAGAATTGGAGCCGATTTGAAAACCACTAACATCTGAAAAAAGACAAATCTACTTTATTAAGATTATTTCATTGAGATAATATATAATATGCATATCGGATTACAGAGAGGATTTTTACCTTTCTAAAGGGCCGACAGATGAGTTTGGAGGGGTCTGGTGGTAAGGTATCTAGACATGCGTTGAATCACCTTATACAAACAGCCATAAACCCAGACAAAGTTAAACTCTCACCATTGTTCTTGAGTGCTTCCACTTGGTCAGTTTTTGCAGGATTCTTAAAAGGTTGATACAGGAAAACAAATTTCTCCAGCAAAACTCGTTACCATTTCCAGATTCCTTTAAAAGGGGAAAAAATTGATTGATAAGAATTCCTTGGCAAACGATAGGCATGTCAAAAGATACGAGCATTATTTCTTTGATACCACTCAAGTATGTGTGATACCACTGATAAACATTTATTTGATACCACTGATAAACATTTACAAATTCATGCTTCTTCGTGGAAATTATTTTTATAACATTATTTTTTAGAATGATCAGTGCTTCCACTTTGATGGAAATTCTATTCTGAAAGAATATTTCAGCTTTTGAAAGGAAAAAAAAGGAAACGAAAATTGGAAAAAAAGTTATTTTAAGAAGAAAGAAAGTTAAGAAAAGGGTCAAAATTTTCTAAACTTCCCTTGCATATATATCTAGACATGAGAATAGAGCTGTTATGTATTATGTATAGGCAGAATCACTGACATTGATTTGAATTTTGACAACGAAACTTACTAAATTCAACAGAGGATACTCTATATGAAAATGTGGAGGCTATGAAAGCACCTGCAACTGATCAAGAGTCGAATAATTTGAAAAGAGTGTTTTTAATGAAATGATAGAGTTCACTTGATGACTGTAGGCGATAGCAGTGTTTTGTTTTATTTCCTCGAATTACATGGTCTTTTGTTAAATACATTACCCCAATATATACAAAAGGAACTGAGTGGACATGGCAGCCCTCGGAGGTGCCCTTTTTTCCTTCAGGTGCCCCCCAACAACTTTTAAGCTACTTCTAGGCTCTCATGAAATCAATATATTGTTTCTGTTTCTGTGTGTTGCTGTGAAATTGAGCTGTAGGCGCAATTTATTGTAAAAGTTTTGTCAAACAGGTTGGTTTGGCGCTATGTCATTGTAGAATGATGTAACTAGGCTAGCTAGCAGGTTGAATCATATTGAGTTTAAAAACTCAAATATAGGGAGACCTAAATAGGATAACTCACAAGACTTTCAGCAGTTACTTCGTGTTTTTCCTCAAGGACACAGGCAGGAAAATCCAGGACAGGAACACTGATGGAGAGAAAAACGATTAAATTTGGGAGAAAAACTCTAATAATCAAATCTTTTTAAAGTTAAAATATCAGAGGAGAAATTTAAAGAAGCCGAGCTATCAGTCAAATTTTCTAAAGATTTTAATTTTGCAAAACGAAGGACTATCGAGAGATTAAAAGAAACTTTTCCGAGGTGACTATGTCTAAAAAGCTTGATTTGTATTGCAGAAACAAGGCATAACAATATCCATTCTGATGCTTTGTAGCTGTGATTTTCTTATTTTAGGTTTGTCAGCCTCTTGAACGAGATCAACTATTTGAACAAGATACAGCATTATTTTTGAAGGAACGCATCGATCGAGCCTTTATCGATAAATTTGTTTTCTTGAAGGATATGCTTCAATGTAAAAAATGCTCTTAACATCTGCTTATAGACAATATTTTTATATTTCTACCTGTTTTTTGCTGCAACGTATGCTGATGTGTTTTGGTTGAAGAATTTAAGAACCAATGGGATGCAATTAGCAAAAACCAAATGTTGGCTAACAAACTCAAACTGCGAATAAAAAACAGGGTTTCAAGAGATACAACCTATGAAGACTTCAGATCAAGTCGCATTGTTGATTAAGGTCAACTCAATCATAATTTTCATAAAAATAACGTAATTGCAAACAATGACATCAATGGATAAAGAAATATTTTTCCGCCAAGAGCATCCAGAGAATATGCTGCTCATGGAAAGTATCGAATCAAACATGATTTAGAGAAGTTAAGCAATTAACGCAAATACCTAAGATAATATTTTCATATTTCATAATCTATTAGTTATTGATCATATGAGTTAGTGTATAACATTTTCGTTGCAATTACTACATACTTTGGCACATTTTTAATTAAAGTCCTAAAAAACAGTAGAACTTGTTCACAACTGAAAGCAGTTGAACGAAATATGAATTGGCGCTCACCTGATAAATGTGATTCACTTTGAAGTGCTTCAAGAACAGGAGAATCAATGCAGATATTGACTTCACGAGAATTTCCTGCAGGGATGAATAAACAGCAATAAGACATATTTGCTTACGCAAGCAAGCAACTAAGCAGTATTCATTCTTAACTGTATTCCAATAATTTTTGGATGTATACATTAGATCTTCCCTTTTAGAAAAACCTTTGTTGAGCTGCCTGTTCAGCAGACATTCAACGAAGGTTTATGTACCTTTCTGTCAAGGAAGATAAAAAGAACGCAGTTGGATGCCTTAATTTGAACCACTTCAAAAAATGATTACTTTAAAACAAATTAATTACGTTGGATCTCGAAAATTATTTACTGTTATCAAAACCTTACACAGGTAGCCCCAAGGCAACGGATACCTCCCAACAAATATACTCCTGTCCTTTGGATGTCTCGTTATGGGGGCTCTATTGTATGATTCAGTTAGTATGAAAAGTCTCCTTTACAAAAATAGACGTACCTTATGTCTGTTAACATCAATAGCCAATTGCATCGACTTCAAAACAGTAGTACTGTAGTGAAAACAATATCAGTTTTACTGTTGCAGATATTCGATGCAGCATCGACAGCGTTTTATGGCATCTGATGCGTAAAGCGTGGCGTGTTCTGTTACGTGAATACCAAAGACAAGGGATCGTACTCAAAAGGTATCTTTATGAAAACAATTAGCACCAGGAAGTATTTGGATGGAGAAAATTTTTCATATACCCTAGAAATATTTACGACGTCTGCACACTTGGCAATTTTTTCAAAAGAAATTTGATAAAGTAATTTTACATGACTCTGAAAAGTATTGTACCTAAACTACCATAATTGTTTCGATAATTGTAAAGCTATAACAAGAAACCAAAGTTCCATGTACACTTTTTCTTATTTTCTTTGAAAACCATGATGTGCAGTTGAAAAATAATCTTAGTTCATCCGGTATAAAAAATCTTATTTGTTGTTCCTGCATGTTTGTGACACGCGCTATTTTCTAATATTAAAAATGAGGTTGCAGACATTACCACTGTATCTTTTGAAAGCAAAAGGATATTTCTATGCAAAAATTGGCTTCCGAAAACTAGAGTGATTTGCTCTCCCTCCCCTCAAAGCAGAACCCTTTTAGCAACTTGGGAGTAGTACTTACGATCCAAAACTGAAGTAGAAATATATATAAACGTTGCGCAAATAAATTTTACCACTCATATGTTAGTTATATCTCTAGGAGAACTTAAGAGCAGGAAGCCGTAAAAATATTAGGAAGGTTAAAACAGGTGCATCTACGGCTATCCAAGTTCATTGCTGGGCGAATTCAAACTTGCCTGCCACAGCATGAAAAAGGCCTAAAACTGCTAACAAAAACATAAATCAAATATCTAGACATACGGCATTTCTGGCGGTAAAACATCAGTGAGTATATTAATGGAATCGGTTTTTGCTTTTGCTGTTGGTGCTGATGCAAGAAGAATCTTCAGCAAGGTAATCTGAAAATAGAATCACATTCCTTCAAGCAAAATTTCGTACTTTTTGCATCTGTATTTGTATTTTGCTACATGGCTACCGAAAGTAGTGTAAGGACACTGAGAGGCTATGCTTGTCGAGCAGTGTCCTCGTCTTTCCTTTCGATGTGACCACACCTCGTGATTCCTACGCCTGGAATTACAGAGAGCTGGCGACTCTCCCCACTCCGGGTGAAAGTTTGGTCCTGTCAGGGACTCTAATCACAGACCTTGGATCTGTAGTCAGTGACCCTAACAAGTAAGCCATCCTCGCACTATTACTTTGACAGACTCAGTGGTGCATTCTAGGGTAGTCATTCCTCAAGAGATACAACTGACAATATCAATAATTACAGAGTATAGCTGCATGATGTATGCAGAAAGGAATACAAATTGCCAGTAGAAATACCCTTTTAATGGTGTCAATAAAAACACATTGTTCAACACAGATTGAAAAACAGTAGCTGAAGACTGCCAACTCCAGAAAGTCTATTTTGAATTTAAAGAGAACTCAGTATTCACTCACCATATACTGAGGTAAAACAGGCAGCAACGCTTTGTAAAGAAGTTCAGCTCGCGTTTGAGGGAGCTCTGTCTTTCCCTGAAAATGAAAGTAGAAACAGTATGAAGCAATAACTTTGCGAATATAGGCGGCCAGCCATCATTTTACCTGGGATGCCTATACTGAGGGAAGAGGGCCAATGAATTAATTAACATAATTAATAGACTTGGAATAGGATAAAGAGCCCCTGATTTCTAGTTGAAGGGTAGACCCAGAAGGCGATCGCCTATCAGCACCCTTGCAAGTTCGCCGTTGGTGCAGAAATCATACAGTGGACTCCTATTTATTTGAATTGGCTTTTATTCGAAGTTTCTGGTTATTCGAACAAATTTTCATTCGCCTTCAGTTATTCATAGGTCTACTTTAAGTTATAAGAATATAAATTGAATCGAATCACCTCTCTATTCTCATGAGAGCTTTCAATAAGTAAGAGCCCACTGTTAACGATTAGAATCAGTAATTTTCTAGTGCTATATTTTCCAGTGATACTGATATATTGTCAATGTTGTTTGGGTAGATTTTTTCAGATGGTTAGGCATCTAATAAACTTTTGGTGAATAAGATTGGCAAAAGTGTAGCGATCTAATGTCATTCTCCAATAGTGAATAAAAAATCAATCTACGAAAACCTCATGAAAAAAGATAGAAAATGACTAGAAAAGGACAAGTATGTGATACTTCGGCAACAAGAATTCCCTTCGATCCTGACACACCGTGTGCTCAGGAAATGAGAAGGATTGAACTCTGCATGAAGCCATTCTTAGTCGAGCACTTTACCAACTGTGATACGGGCTGCTCAGGGTGCTTTATAGATGGAGGGGTTTATTTAGCTTTTGCATTGGTAGGGTAGGCATTCATTAGAGTAAATTTGATGCTGCTATTACAGCAACAATATCAAGAGAAATACCTTGCTGAAGGGGCGGTTTGTCGTGTCCTCTTCTCTTTTGATGTGGATTTCCGCCAATGATACATAGACATGCTACAACAAAAAAGTCACCTACAGAATTCTGTCTTAATTAATCGTGTAGCGCAATATTCCTATACTAATACTCGACCACATGGAAATCTTGAATATTTTACAATTTTTGGTACAGAAAATCACTGAGGTAAAAAAACTAATAATGAGTAGGCCCAAGGCTCTCAAAATTTTGCCGAATTTCTGCTTTTAAAAACATTAGGGAAATAGTGATCGCATCTAATGTTCATACAATCGTAAAGACAAGCTTTTGCTAAAGGGCGATACTTTCAAAAAGAGGTTCTGCTGATAAGAGGCTAAATAATGTATAAATCAACCAAAGAAAAGATTCTTCAAATATTTAGAAAATTTTGGTCAGATAGTTGGAATTTGACATCTGTCTCTGAAAACAATGCAATTCACTTTTTATTTACAAAATGCTATGATCCTCAAAAAAGTTGTTGAACCATTTACACCTATGTCAACAAGTTTACAAAGGTGTCCACTCCCCACTATTATGTTGTTGAATTCTAATTTTCACGACATTGCTGGTGAAAAGCTGACGGGAATAGGTTGTGTAAACGCCTCACTTTTGACATCAACATTTTATAAGTATGGGGAAGGGGAAGAACACAACAGAGTTACGGTGTAGGTTAGGGGAAATCAGGGCCTTATGTTGCTAACGTTCAAACGTAAATATTTGATATCATAAATGTTTTGCTGTGTTTTGATATCATAAATTTTTCATGTCACACTTCATGTTTTCGTTTAATAAAACGACATTCATATCAATTTTAGTTGTTGTTCGTTGAAAAAAGACAAAGCTGCAAAAATTAAAAATTTATCAACATGAATTTTATACACGAATTCGTGAAAAAAACACAGGTTCTGTCAGCAAAGTTGATGAAACATGCGCATAATCTCAAATGAATTCATAAAGTTGCTATGACATTGATTCAAATATATAGCAATGTTGCAATGAGTTGTTGTTGTTGTTGTAAATTTATTTCAAATCGATAAAAAAACAATAGCTGACAATATATACATAAATATACAATGTTAACTAATCAAAATCGAGCATAGCTACCAATTAGTACATTAAAGTAATTATAGATACTAAGTTAAAGATTAACTTGCATTTACTGGCAGAAGCTGACAGGCACTACATTTGCAATTAGGTCCGTACCATTGTTCAATTTGATTTTTAAAACTTTTCAAATCTTCTGCGGATTTCAGATCGTTGGGTAGCCAATTCCAAATCTGTGGCCCGATTGACATAAGACTTTTGGATCCAAATGTTGTTTGATCAGGTCTAACATGGGCTTTCTTTGGATTTCTTAATAAAAAATTTGGACTTCCTTATGAATTTTAAAAAAATCTGTTTTACTGTTTTACTGTTTTGAATATTTCAATGCACAAAATTCTTTGACGAGCAAAGAGCTTCGTGCAATTGTTTGACTTCACAAGCAGATCGTTATACGAACTTGTATGATCATTATAGAAAAATCTTAGGGCGCGTTCTTGTATCCGTTCAATTTTCTGTAATGATTTAGAGGATGAAAAATGCCAGACCAAGGGCCAATAACTGAAATTGGAATATACAAAGCTCTGAACAAGAATCTAAAAACTTTCGTATTAACAGAAACTGGTGTCTACAGTAACTGGTAAAGGGCACATTCTAAATAAAACTCATTCTATAACTTTTCCACGAATGAATGTCCGGTCGTCTGTCCATCTAGCAGTTTTGGATTGGATCTACATACAAACGAAAAAGCCGCCATTGTGAAAACAAGAGGAGTTCATTTTTTCTCTTAGACTCCAGTGGCGATTTTCCAATATGGTCGCACTTTTCTGATTGGCCTATTTCGATCCAAAACTAGATACATATCTTCCATCCTCTTGTTTTGGACCCTTATTCTGACGTTTTATATTCTGAGGAGTGTCGAACGAAAAAGCTTTCAAAGCAAAAATGAAGTAAAAAGGCTGTAAAATATTGGCTTTTTTCAAAGCCATTTTCATATTTTAACACAAGGCCAGTCAACTGCAAGCTTTCTTGTAAAAAAACACAGGGAATATTTTGGTTAGTATGTAATGAAATGGAAACTTACGCTTTTTAAAACTTGAAAACCTTCTAAAATGGGGCGAGGAAGTCCAGCCGTTGAAGTAATATCACTAAAAAAAAGGAACAAAATTCATAAAGTAATAAACATCCTTTGGACAAAAAATCAAACGCAATGTGTTTCTAACAAACAGTCAGGCAAGACCGTCATTCAGTGCTTTGAAATCTGACTTTATAGAGACAAGACATCTCATTGTTTGATAGCATTTGACAGCAATGAGACAAGACATCATATTGTTTGTAAATCTGAAGTATTCAAACAACCAGCTCAATATCACCGATTGGTCAGAATAATGAAAATCAGGCACAATTTTTGCTACTCTATTGACTTCAGAATGACAAAAGCCTTTACGTTCGCAGGAAGATCATTTCACTAATCCTTGCTATCTTACAAAAATATTTACAATAATGTATAATAAGAATAATAAGCATTGTTTAAAGTGAAAGCAGTGTATGATCACAGGCCAAGTCTATGTAATAAATGGATAGTTACTTTCTAACTACAGAGGGTAATTGCTTGATGAACGATCATAACGAAACCGAAGCCTCAAATTTAACACAAAAACGTATCTTTACTACAATGCTACTGACTTTGTGAGTTGATAGCCAACGAATTTCGCTCTGCACGTCTGAAGAAACGCCTGCACATCCTTTTGTCTGCAAAAATAAAAATCAACTGAATTTAGCATCGATTTTGCTACAAGAAAGTGCCTATAAAGTGTTTTTTACGATACCTTACGGTTTAAAATTCCAAATCTCATGCTTTTGCTGTTTATAAGCACTCAACAGTAATTGACCAAGTGACTTCAATTTAACAATAAACACGGCAGCCTAGCGCCGTATCTAGATGCCTGCTTGAGTGTAGGGATGGCTAATTGTTAGGATGGCCCAGTTGTTGGCTCGCAGAATATACATATAAAGGTCTGGGGTTCAAGTCCCGGCCAGGACCAACTGCCAACTAGAATGAGGAGAGAATCACTAGAGGTATGGTCACATCGAGTGGACGGACCAGGACACTGCTCTATAAACATAGATTCTCAGTGTACCTAAAAATTACCTTCCGAATTCTTTGATTCATATTTACCATGAATTATTGCTTTTAAAAGGAATAATCGTATGGCTGACATACAACATAAGGCTGAAATCTCGAAAACCTTTCTATGCCTATTGCTATACTGAAAATTTTTTAGCGTGACCATAGCTGCAAATTTCTAACAATAAACTTTTTAATTCTGTTAAAAACCTACCTAACTTTCGGCCTAAGTAGTAATTCATTTCTTATAAAACTTTTCGCATCATCTTCTAGAATTGATTCTTGTTCCAAATCTTCATCCTTGTCCATGGCAGTGGATATTTCATTTCTTCTTTTCCTTTCTTCCTTCTCCCTCTGCGGAGAAGATGCTCTCAAGTAATACTCTGGCGGATGACCAAAATTCTCGAAATTTTGTTCTTCAAAGCTCGGAGACAACCCAGCTTGAACTCGACCTTGTTTCTTCTCTTCAAGAAGTTCATCAAACCCTCCAAGAGTAAACTGAAATAATAACATAATATATAAATAAAATCCATATCTAATTATATGAGATAATATTACACACTTCAATATAAGATGACATAATGTAAAATCATTTAAACACTGTGAATATAAAAAGAATATGAAATAAGTCAATTAAATGCAATATATAACAGGAAAACGTAACAAATTATCTTAAACAGAAATAAAAAACACACTTAAACACGATATAATATAATATGTCATAGCATTGGAAAACATAATAAGCTCCATTATCCAAAATTTCATGAAATGAGATACAAACTATTTTAGCGTGTGTAAAGTGGAAGGCTTTAATAACTTGAAAATTGTAAAGATGTAACAAAAATTATGGACATCAAACAATTTAATTAAATTGGTCTTTTTCGATACTTCTCAAGCCCTGTAGGACAATCTATTCTCTTTTGCTTAATCTCAGGGTTCTCTAGGTTTCTTTTTTCCCATATGCTTAATCTCAAAAATTTTGCTCCCCCCGTTCTCTTATAGTATAGTATTGCTATATTGTTTATCATGGCTCATTACGAGGCCTTTGAGAGGGTGGCCCAGTTGTTAGGGTCACAGAATATACATACAAAGGTCTGGGGTTCGAGTTCCAGCCATGACCTTTTGTCACATAAATTGAGGAGAGAATGACTGGAGGTGTGGTCATATTGAGAAGAATGACCTAAAAAACCACCTTTGGAAGCCGGAAGTAAATAGGCTGACATTCACACACTTACCAATATTACTTTCCATAATAATAAAAGGAGCTTCTTGATTGGGTAATGCGGAGCACTTCCAGCACAGAATTTGAGAATCATCTCAAAAATGTGATAAGCAAAAGGCCCTCCATCTTCCTCTTCTTTGCTGCCGTCTGCAAATGAAAAAAATGTCATCTACAGGGAGACCTTTGTAACCGTAACCCAAAGTGACTTGCATAAGGAAATTAGAAGTCAGAGGCTTCTCCCTAGAAAATTAGCTCAAGTTATAAGAGAGTCTCATTTGTTTATTCAGAATTTTTGAAAAAAACAATAAAAAATATTATCATTCTTAAGCTTTATTGACTTTGCCATCCTTTTCCTGCGTTATTGGCAGAGCTAGAAAACAGCTAGACAAGATAGCAACAGAATTAATCTGCTATTAACTACCTTCGCATGTGTACTGATAGCAAAATACGTCTGCATTGACAGTGCGCATCGACCAATATATAACAGACCGGTTAAGGGAATTTTCATTAAACTGACACATGATAAAACACTAACAGCTGTTTCTCACCCAAGTCAAGTCTCAGGCCCTCTGCAGCCTTGCTCATTTCCTCAGACTTTGATTGATTTATTCGGATCACTTCCACCACAGTGTACAGTATGTTTATGCATATTCTAAGTGCAACAACAAAGCATACAAAAAATGCACATAAAAAGTATAAATATAGCATAGAGATGGAAAAAAACTACATGTTTTAGCTCTACAAGCTTGTTTCGTGAATAACTCACTCTTCGTGAATAACTCACTTTTCTTGTTTTATTTTCTCAAACTCTATGCTATATTATGCTCTACGTGCAAATGTATTGAGCACTGTGCTACGGAAATATCAAGAGACAAATTTCTAAAAAGTATAAATATATTTAATATATCAAGAAAGTGTTTCCTTTAGTCTATATACTATCGTTTCAACATTGATGGTGTTGTTATGAAAGTCTTAATATTCAAATATATTAAAGCAATTTCTTTCAATTTTTCAAAGTTTCAAAAAGTTGATCAAAGGCCCTTGACCAAAATACAAAAACAAAATACAAAAAAATACAAAAATTGGTGAAAAATACCTCAAATCAATGCTATCAGCAATGGATATTGAAGGTTTCTGCAAAGCTGCTTGAACTGAGTCGATATTTCTAGAAGAAAGTCACGTAACTTCTAGAAACACAAATGGTCAAAAACATACAATACAAGGAGAGACATCTGAATGTCGTTGCTTGAAGAAACGAGAATAGATCCAGGTATAAAATATACAAACGTTTCACTATGATTGATAAAGATGCAAATACAAACAGGTATAAAATAGCTGCATAAATTACTCTGAAGATGCAGTTCCACTTACTCAGCTTCCATCAACAACAGTTGTTGTACAACAGCAAAAACTCCAGAACGGTAAATCAACAGAACATTTTGTGAAATCTAGAATTTAAACATAAAAGATTTATGTTCATTTACGAAATTGAAACTTCCTCTTCGAAATTATTGTTAATATCTGGCTCTCGTTATACTAAACGTTATGCTAATGACAGACTTCTATGGATTTTAGGATTCGTGGTTCTTCTCCTTAAAAAATATCATACAAGGCCTCTCAAATTGCAGAGAAAGTTAACCCATTGAATGCTAGAATCAATTCTTTATACTACTGCTTGCCTGGATCAAGGAAACAGATCTGTAGTGTCAGCCTCAAAGAATCCCGATGTAGGGAATGAAACGAACCTTCAAGGATTGCGCTTTTTCCGAAAATCAAGTCCCCGCAGACTAGAGATGACCTGCTATGAATGAACATAGCACGGTGACTTTATTGCCAACCATCAGATGACCAAAAACTTTTTAGCATATGCTTATTTAGATTTTGCAGTTTGGATTTGAAATTTTTCTATAGCTTTTTAGGCTTTTTAAGAAAATTTATGGCTCAATTCAGAGCTAAATAATTCAGAGCTAAAGAATTTAGTCAACGACCAATGTGTAACAAATTTATGCAGATCATAATCATAATAATATGAACTGATCTAAATTATGCCCAAGATGAAAATGTCAGCGTTAATAGGATAAAAACTCCATACAGGCAAGAGGTCCACTTTTATGCAGGGAAGTGGTGTTGTAAACATATGGCTTATCGCTATTTGAAGCCTGTTTGCATTTCGTCAACAGAATGTTATACTTCATCAAATATGACCAACAACAGATTTGACGAGGCTTAAGTTAACTAGGCGCTTAATTAATCGAGCTCCTAGGACTTTCTAGACCTCCCCTGTCTAAGTGCCTCAGCATATCTATATGTTTCTGGGGACGTATGGGGGCGCGTGATCGGCCTCGAGTGCCTCTCATCACAAATCCACCTGCATTTGAAGATTTTAAGCAAATTTAATATAATCTTTTCGTACATCTTGTATATAGTCAAACATAGCTTTTTCATACTTTGAGCAGGCTTTTTTAATTCTCTTTTGTTGATACTACCGCAATTGCCGTCGCTTTGCAGTATTCAAGAACAGCTTGTTGTACTGTAGTCAAACAAAGCACTATTAAGGTCCCTATCCTTGCCTCGTTTAGGTTAGCAATGTTTTCAGATTTATAAGAAGATTAGTGCGCTCAGCATACATTACGACCGTGGAGTTTTGGAGAGCTTGTGGTAGATCAATAACATTGACAAGAAACAGCAAAGGCCCTAAACATGACTCCCGAGGAATCTTGATAATAATGTCTCTAAGTTTTAATTATGCAGCGAAACTGTTTGCCATTGAAAAATTAAGATTTTAAAAATGATAGTTCAACACATTCTCTCGAAAACTGTAGTGATATGATTTTGACAAAGAGTCTTGCGAGCCAAAGTAATAAATGCATTACTTAACCTAAAATTCAATCAATGCAAAGCCAACAAGCTGCCCATTGTCAGGCTATAAGGTTGACAAGCAAGCCATACCAGTCATCGATGTTTTTTTCAAAAAAGATATATCGGCAAAAAGTGCAGCGCACAAAAGTGAGACTGCTCAGGAACAAGCAAAAGATTTGTATTCAAATGTGACGGGGATGTGGTTGAGTAGAGATAGTTCAGTACATTAATATAGGAAGGTACTACCTCTACCTAACCCTATCCCCGACACATTAGAATACAAATATTTTGCGGCACTACGAAACACTATTTAGTTTGCGCTAAAAGACAAAAAATATGTAAGGTCTCTCTTATTTAAGGAAATTTGAGCTATCATTACCAAAAACATTTCATTCAAAACATTATATTCATTCGATTCAAAACACGTCATGCCATGAACACAAAAAGATTGAAGTACCACTGACCCACTTTCCCCATAGCGTGCACCACCTTCTCTTTGCAAAACTTAATTTGATTTCTAGTACTACTGATTGAAGAAGTCTTACCGTTGGAAGCAGGTCTTCCTCACAATTTGACTCTTTAAACATCCCTTTAAACAAGAAAAGCAAAAAATCAATTTAGGGTTATATAAAGGAAGAAACATTTCAGGATGGCATTGCTCAAGTTTTGTACAAAGGTCATCCAGTGCTTTACTTTGAACAAATGGGTGTTTCAAACATAGACATGAGTTGCTAAGGTTGTTGCAAAGGCAATGATCATCCAAAAAAGACTAGCAATAACTGTATGAAAATGTTTTGAGAAGGAGAAAACAGAAGTGGAGTCAATTCTTCAATTCTTGTAAACAAAACTCATGAAAAGTAAAGCAACAACAATTTGCAGTTCATCTGTAAAAGCACAGGGACAGTCAAACAATTTTTGTACAGCTTAGACATGCAGGTTTAGACTTTAGACAATTACGGGTTTAGAAATGCCTTCGCTAAGTCACAATGCTTTATATTGTTCAGAACAATTCTTGCATCTGATACACTTCAAACTTTGTATGGCAAGGGAGTTTCTACTTTCTCTTTGATCCCATACAAAGGCTTACCACTCAATTCATAAGAGATGTCAAACTTAGTTTCAAAATACAGCTGAATTTTATTACAACCATGCTTTACACTGATGTGGGGACTCTACCCTGGTCATTTCTCTGCAAGCAATCGTCTATCCTTCAAATGGACAAGTTATGATTTAATTCTTTTTTTGCTTACCTTGGCATAAATACAGTACAGATCTGGCAGCATTTCTTCTTTCTTCCACTGAAACTGTTTCAAGACGATCTAAAAGTCTCATCATGTACTGATTTTTCTGCTTTGGTGATATTTCTTTCCATGGTTGGCTCTCTAGCATAATAAAAAAATACATGTTTAACAAAAGTTAGTATGCAATGATGGAAGTAGAAGGCAAAATATAAAATGATTCTTGAATCATATTTCAATTTTCCTTATCGACGCTCACTAAATATTTTGCAAAATAAAAACAAGCCAGGCAGAGAAAAATCATTCTTGAAGCCTGACTTGTCACAAATGTGAGCAGAGTCAAATGCCAGGAGGATCAAAAAGGTAAATTAACTTTTCTTTTTTATCTTTTGAAAACAAACCAAATACTGTGACCAACTAAGGTTAGAAAGAAATTTGTTTCGAAATAAACTAGCATCAAACCAATAAGGAGATTACAGGTGAAAAAGGTGAGCACAATTTTTTATTTTTGTTTTATATCAAGAAAGAAAGTAAACAAGAATCATGTTAAAAGATTTGGAACTAATTAGTCACTAAAATAGAAATTCTGTAAAAGCTAAGACATAGAAACTGTTATTGCACTGCTTAATTCATGCAAAATTATGTTTTATTGTAACACTGTTACATGGAAGCTTCAAAAGTTCTCCTTTCAGCATTTTGTTCTAAACAATGTCATGTCAATAATCTACCAGTAAGCATCTACTGACATTTATCATTTGATAAACATTTTCAGCATTTTGCTTGCCTGATTTCCATTTTTGGAATCAAGCAAAACCATCACAAAAATGTACTTCTACTATTTGGTCGATTTATTGGCTGCAACTTACTTTACTGTAACATGTTTTTTTTACAGAAAGAGGCATAAAAGGGTGATATGTTTTAATAAGAAGAAATAATGTTGGTAGAGGAAGAAGGGATAGCTTAGCCTACTGTTGTGTTTATAATGTTGTAACACTTTACCGACCCTCTACAAAAAAAATAAATAAACATAAAGGAAGGCCAAAGATGAGCTGTTTTTTAAAATGTCCCATTCATTAGCAATTTCATGGCACTTGATGAAGTACATGAAGATTTGTACAAGCATGGCTTGGAACAGTTGTTTGAAATATCTAAACCCCATTATCTCCATTGGGTACAGCTCTGAGCACTCTGTGGCGGAACGTTTGACAGTAATCTTAATTCTGCATAACTAATCATGGTTATTCCTAGACAATCTTATCTAGGAAATATTATCAATCTTATCAGACAATCTTATCAAGGAAACAAATGTAGTATGAAGCTATTGTCGAGTAATTGAGCTTTTATATCTCTAGCAGTTTTTTTCAGGACAAAACATGCAATAGATTCAACAAACATTCTTCAATATAAGTTTTTCAAAATTTATATACTTGGGTCAGTGGGCATGGCACTAAGCCCTGTCCTTATGGTAGCCAGAAGGGGCCAAGCATCTAAGAAAAGAGTAAAAATTGTAAAGAACAAGGGCCTCACAGATGTTTATGTCCCCAAAACCCAAACTAACTTGGATTGGTGGCAATGGAAACCTAGAAAAGAATGGCTTACCAATTTTTTTAAAATCTTCATAAAACTGCTCAGCATTTAGTTCAAATTCCTCTTGTTCTGTGTAGCTGTAGAGTTCTGATGAAAACAAGAACTGAATATTTCAATGCAGCTGCACGTTTGATTGATTCACAATCCAGAAATTTTTAGCAAATCTGTAACTATATATAATAATAATAATAAAACGAATATTTTATACAAACAAACTTTAAAGCAATAAACCAGACTGTCTCTGTGGCATTTTAATTTCAAATATTTTAGCTATAATAATGTTTACTGGCATGATTAGAACAAAAAATGTTAGTTTAGATTTGTTCCTACAATTTTCTCAGGTAAAGCTTGATCAGAATTTTGTGTTTAAAGTCCCTGCAGCTAGTATAAGTGCCTGCAATAGACGTAATAGACCAGACTTTTGACATCTACTATTGACCAACTATAACAAAACTGGACATAAAAAAGAATAAGAAATATTTGTCTGCTAATTTATCATCTCTTATTTCTGAAAATATCTTGTTCCCCTTCATTCCTCTTTATAATAATATTTACATAAAAAATAACAATAAACAAACCAGCCAGCTCATTCATCAGTGAATCTGTGTCAGTATAAATAAAATCCAAGGATGGTGCTTCATTCTGACCCTGAAAGAAAAAACTAGGTTTGTAGACAATAAAACCAAGCAGTATCTGCTTGCCTCTTGCTTATAACAAATGTAAAGACATTTTCTTTGAATTCTCCAACACTTGCCATCCCCTCCTAGATTTACTGAGAAGGGCAATCAATTGCCCAATTCTCCATCAATTTCTAAGCTAGTCACTGTCTTGGTTCTTGTTGGTAGTTAACGTTTAATGCATATCTTGACCTAGGCAGTAAAACATGGCAAGAACTCTATTCAAAAAGGATCATTGAATCGGGATCATAGAGAAAATTTTCAGAATTAGTGTAAACAGAAACTGAATCAAGTAATGAACTTTATGATGTCAAAGAACAGTAGATGGAACTTGTTATTCATTTGATTTAGTTACTGCAAATATATTACAGTAAACTCCCAAAAACTTGAGCCACTGATAAGTTGAACATTTGCCATGTCAAACAAATATAGACTCCTCTTGCCCAAACTTTCTTTTGGAAATACGATGATAACTCCAACATTTGCTATCTCAAACCACTTCATTGATCCCATGGATATTCAAGTTATTGGGATGTATAATTCCGGTTTTTTTGGAACCTTTTATGTGTCTTTAATATTTTGTTTGAACTTGTATGATTTTTATAAATGCTTTCAAAGCATTTTTCTTAAGCAACTTTGCACAGTGTAAAAAAATTACCTGGCCAAATACAAAAAAGATGATTTATTGCTCACTAACCAAAATTCTTATGGCCCCCTTTTCTCTTATGGTCCTTTTTCTCTTGTCTTACATATTAGATGAAAGCTTGAGAGTCATTTTTCTCAATTTCAATACAAAAACAAAATTGTGATGGAAGTAAATTGAATATAAATTATATTTGCTATAACTCTGTTGTTGTCACCAGGCAGGTGAAAACATTACTGTGTCTAAAAGATCACCTCTGTTAGAAAAAGATCTGAAAAAGCATCTCAAAAGAGAGGCAAAGCCTGCTTCTTGCTATAATTTGTTTTGGAAAAATCAATGGTATTTCCTGGTTTAGTTTTCAACTTTTAATAATCTGCTAGATAACTGCAATCTCATCTTTTGTAAAGATATCCTTGCCAGCTCATTCTCAAAAGTTTTAAGATTGACTCAAAAACTTTCTAAACTTGTCTCCTTTGATTTAATGATTTAGAATCATGTTCATGTCAAGGTTTTTTGACAAATTTTCCGGCATCAATGTGGTTCTTATTAGATTAGCACACAGACCACACCATGCCAGGCCAAATGCTTCAGTGCTAGCAAAAAGCATACTTGGGCATAAAGGTGACATGAAGAAGACTAGGAAAAGTGTGTTAAGAAAAAGTTACTCCTGACCTCTAGTAATACACTAGGGTATAAAAAGTATTGCACCACCTCAAAGGAGCAGAAATAGCGCATGAAAGATTGAAAGCTATTGTTATGCAAGTTTATTCTGTTTTTAAGTAGCGAATGGCAATTGATCGAAAGCAAAACAACCATCAATCAAAACTTCAATATATTTAGAGCATTTGTTTGAAAAATAACAGTAGCAAACATCTTTCAACAGTTTAAAATTTCAATATTTTGATTGGAAAGCCACAAACTTTTGAAACTACAAGCAGCCTCCTTGAAATGGATCCATACATTTTGGCAATGTATTCTTGTGGAAATTTGTATTACGCCGGGAAACCTCTTACAATTAATGATTCTCTGGTTTTTGGACAACCATTAGGATCATGGTTTGTAACGTTTTTCATTTGAAATCAAATTCTTTTAGCAATGTTAAAAATTGGACTTGATGCTGGCTGTGCCAAAACTTTAATTTCTTTTGTATGGAAATAAATCATTGTAAAAACGGTTCCTGTTTACTCAGGTAACTTTTTCTTTTGTATTTGTGCAAAACACTCATTATCTTTTTTGGACAAATTTTGAGCTGCAAAATCTTGCTCAGAGTCGAGATTCGTGTCTTTTCCTGTCCCTTGGTGTAAACGCAGTGGAATAAAACAGAAATTTTTTTGCTCGCTCTAATTTTCTTTACTACTGTAACACTCTCAAGAGGTCTTTTTTTATTTCCAGCAGCTGTTGTGTGGCTGCATCTATCTTTTGGTCAATATTTTTTTAAAATTAAAGACCACTTTTCTAGTAAATATTTTATAGCAACTCGCCTCTCATTTGAAAATTTTGTTCCCTTAGGTCTACATTTTTTCAAATAAAAATGTTTTTGCGTAATTTCTACATTTCTAACAAAGTTTTCTATGGCGTTAGCAAAATTTGCAAACTTTCTCCGCCGAAATTTGCTATAAAATGCGCCTATTTTATCCAATTCATGCATTCAAATGTTCTGTATTCTCAAGAAATTGAAAAAAGTGCCGCCAGCTTAAACAAGGTGGTGCAATACTTTTGATACCCTATTGTATGAATATCTTGGTAAAAAAGGAGGGACACATTGGGGATAAATATTTGGGGTGTCAACATTTAAATGTTGCTGACATACACCCCCAAAAGGCAGGCAAATTTTAGTATAAGATTCGATATGGCTTTAAAAGCAGTAGGATTTACTTGAAGGAAGTCGCTTGATTAATGAAGAACTAACTCAACAAAAATCCATGAAAGTTTCTTGGTAAAAATATATTTATTTTATTTTATTGGAAGTGAGAGTAAGCAGGCTGCAAGATGTCTTATAGAAAGTATTTGTCATTTCTAAAAATGAGACTGTACTCAAAAGTATACTTATATCTTAGAGAAAGATACCTCTGAGTCTCTTCGTTGTCTTCTTAACAGCTCTTTCAATTTTGGCACATTCTTTCGCCCTTCACCAGTTCCAGCAGCTTGATTATCCGCCATTTCTGATATTTCTCTCTCCTCCTTTTCAAAACGAGATTAAGGTCTCAAAACAACAACTGCCAGGTGCATTCTTGACATCTTTTTTTTGAGATCTTGATTTTTTTATTTCTGAAATGGAGACCGTTACTCGTCGTAAGTCCAATTATTACCCTATAATAACTATGAATGGGACTTTTCATGTCCACCAATCAGCAAATAATCCTGCCAAATCCCCCTGAAAAAAACATTTACAAGCACGAAGCACTTATGATAGACCGGTAAACAGCTATTTTCATTTCAATTACGGGCACAATTATTTGTTCATTGAACCTGGTTGCAACTTTATTGAAAAAATTCAGGGCAGAAACGAAAATATATGTTTCTATTTCATGACTAGCTCATAACAATCAAGTAGATCGTTGATAGAAAACCATACTTTTGTCCTACTCTTTAGCTTTTGCAAATGATTTAATTTGGTTTTTGATGGGTTAATCAGGATTTAATATTGCTTTCAATTTGTGGCCCTTGAACTAAGATATGAGTCGCTGTAACTTCCTCCATGCATTTTACTTTCCCCTTTTACTTTCCCTTTCAATACTTCGCATCGGGATTTCAATTAAATTTGCCGTCTATGGTCATACCTAAGCATTTCGATGTACTTGCCCTTTTATATTTTATTGGCTAATTTTTAAAAGAGAATCATTAATATGTGCTTCATTTTGTCTTCTTTGGCATGTCAGCATACAATCACATATGGTAACATTCAGACCGAGCCTATTTGCCTTAGCTAGTCAACAACTCCTAACGATGTGATTTCCTAACTATTGATTCCTAACGATGTGATTTCAAATAGTTTCTCTACATCTTTAGAAGACATTGGGATGCTCTTAATATCAGCGTTAATGTAGCCTGCGCGCAGACCCAGTATTCTGAAGAAGAAAGTATCCAGTATTCAGGCTACGTTAATGTTGCCTTCCCAGTGCAGTTCTCAAAATCAGTTGAATACAGTATCAAAAGCAACGGTTAAAAGTTGGACACAAAAAGAAACATAGAAGAGATGAGCACTGTCGAAAACAAGTAAACAATCCCTTTAAGCAATATTTTAAACTCGTTAGAAGCATTGTGATAAGCAAATAAAGGTCAGCTCCTGACTGAATAGGAGGCAGGCCTTCTGCCTTTGTGTATGCCTACATTTCATTTAGTTAACATTTGGAAGATTTTGAAGATTCTTAAAAACACAAAGTTAAAAACAATACAAACAACTGAAAATTCGTGTGTAACGACAGCCTGATTTACTACATAATTTAAGCAAGAGTTTGAATGAGCATGAGACATCTACATAAAAAAATTTGTTAAAAACTGGAGATATCATGAAAGCAGACTGACATTTATGAATCCAAGGTGCCTGCCAAAACTCAAAATTTTTCCCTTTAGAAAAGTATAATCTTAGGGATTAGTTTGCAGAGTAGGTCTCGATTGGTAAAGTTTAGAATGAGCATCAAATGGAATTATCTAAAATATCATTGGATATTTGAATTTATGCCAATTCACTAATAGAAACTTAGGAATCATGAAGGACAATTAAAATTTCTTGCAAACAATTTTTCGTAGCAATGCATTTCAAACGTAATAGATATAATGGCAAAAACATTTAAAATTCGTATTCTTAAGGAAACAAAAAACAAATAAATGAAAATGAGTAAATCGTTTGGCCACTTTGATTGAGACGTATATGACCCTTAGGAGTCGCTTAAGTTCAAAATATACAACACTACAATTGTTCAAATCAATAACGAGTTTAAGAAAAGATAGTGCATTTTATCCCGAGATATCATCACTCGAGCCGAGGGTACATACCACTGGAGATGGATTCATTTATCTCACTTGAGCAAGGTAACTTGTATTCTTTAAAAAAAATGGTACGATTGCTACATTGATTGATCGACAAAAAGTTTCCAAACAAAATTTAGGCTGGGTATTGCTAATATTTTAAAAAGTTGGGAATCATTTTTGGAGGTTTCAGCGGTCTGTAGACCAGAATGTGTGGATTTCGTGCACCCTAAAGGCACCCCTGCCGGAATTAGATGTCGCATACTCCCTGGGACCTCGAAAGAACATAGCATTCATGGGTTGAATCATAAATCCAACACCTGCATGTAAAAACGTTTTTTACTTCTGTTCATTAACTACACAAAGATACAAAAAGCAGCTAAATAAATAAAATTGCAACGTTCATTTCTTTCATAACACAAATCAAAAGTAGTAAGGCTGGATAATGTGTGTATCCTTTCTGCCTTGTGCTTACAAAAGTGGATCGTATGATTGACAGCGAGCTATTTGTAATTAATTGCCATCTTAATTGGCTGACAGACGTTTAACTGCATAAGAATTGTCCATACAAGTGTTTTTTCGGAATTTTGCAATGGCAGCAAGAATATGTCTTGCTCCTTTCACAAATGAAAGTATGACCAACTTTACTTTTCAGATCGATTTTTAATTAAACGGCGACATTATTGCATCCACATCCGTACTTTGTTTAGATCTCAAAACAAAGACCCGATTTGGCGAAGTTAACAGCAAAGGTGTTTTTGAGTTTCTAGGCATTTCTTCGTTTCATACTAGTGGTACGAGAAAAAGGGCCTACAATGTGGACAGTCCATCAGAATGAAATATTTTGACCCGCTGAAAGCTAAACCAGCACAAAAGTAGATGTACGGACACTAATTTTGTAAAGATGAATGGCTAGCCTTTATCCAAACTACTGTGGCCGAATGGAATAAAGAGCAGGCCTTTCAGGGTGCGGCAGAATTAGCCCCGTTATAAGATAAGAGCTTACAGTGACCATTGACTGTGTGACCTCATTTCCTTAACACCCTATTCAATTAAAGCCAGTTTCATGTTGTAAGGGGGCTGGGAACAATAATACTGTGGTCGAAAACTGTCATGAAAATCTACAAATGGGATAGCTACTCATATTTCAAAGAAAAATAATACGTTTGTTTTACTACAGTGGAATAAAACATCTAAAGACGAGCTTAACTAGGATAAAACTGCAATACTTCGCCTCTTGCGCCTTAAATCGTCCATACTACTTGATCTGTTGAGCGCTTTCATCGATACATCTTGTAATTTGTCTTCACAAATTCTCGTTATTGCCTGAAAAAGTATTATTTACAAATCTCGTCAAGAAGAGGAAGATTATGAAATTCTCTTAATATCTTTCACGATGCTTTTGTACTGAGTTGGGCCTTCAAGGTAGTAAACAGGATTAAACAGAAACTAACAAAAGGATTTTCACTGAGAGCAATGACTCCAAATAACGTTGCAGAAAGAATGTATCCAAAAAATTTACAGAAAGAATGAATGTATTTATTGGATACAGAAAGAATGTATCCAATAAATGCTTTAGAAGCTAACTTTATGATCACATGAAATATGTTACAGACCAAATTAATGGAAATTTTAATCACTACTTCAAGCCACAATGTCTCATAAAATATTGTTTTGTGCCTGTCAATTAAATTCCAACGGACATTATAATGATTTTAAGTATTAAATCTAAAGAATAGTCGTGTATTGAATGAATTGTCATGTAATTTGTGCAGAGCAATAAAGGATCGTTACCTCCAACTTTTTTGCTCTCTCTTTATCCAAAGGTTCCGTAGGTAAGATCAAATCGTTTTGCTCTGCCAAAGCTCGGAGGTCGAAGTAATATTTGGCGTACACACTCGAGGGGACATTGATATTAAACTCTAAATGTTCCAAGAAAGATCTTTCAAGCTCGTTCCTAGAAATGATGAGCACATTAGAAAGGTGGAAGGCTACAAACAGACTATCTATTTCATACAGGCTTCGTGTGGTAAATAAAGGCGAAGAGATTCGAAGCATGTGTCTGGAGACACGTAAATCTAACGCCAGTGAAAGAGAGTGGCACTAAATTTCATATTTTGAAAAATCTAGCTAAATAATCGAAGTGAATTATCTTCCAGTATTTGTGAAAATGCTCTCTTTCTAGAAAATGTAGCGGGAAATGGCTTCAAACAAAAAGTAAGATGCTTCCAGAAAATATCTTTCTTGTTCTGCATGATTTTGCAACGTGCTGAATAAATCATGGTTCATAACATAATTTCCAGCTTTTGAAAGGCTAAAATGGTTTTTTGTTATGAACTGATAAAGCAGACAGATTTCAAATCTCTGTTATTATATTTGAGATCCTAACGTATAAACATGGAAAAAGACTGTAGTAGATAAAAAGATCTGAGACAAAATGAAATGGATTTGGTGGCAAATGAAGTAAATCGACTTACATGGCCTCAACTTTTATGTCACGTAAAATCTGACAGTAATCAACATTCCAAACTGAAAACAAGAATTGCATTTACAATCATTGCAAAACACCTAAAATATATCAAGATATAACTGTTGTTGCTATAAACAAGTTCTGCAAATGCCAGTCAATAAGAGCTCACACAGTAACTAGAAAGAAATAACTGTTGTCAAATAGCCCTTCCCTTGATTGTATTACACTATTTTATCTCGTGTAGGAACTATTCTGTATTGAGAACAACAACGGTGTGTATGACGGCATCCGTAGTCGTAACCGTAACCGTAATAAAACTACGCGCAATCGCAAAGACAACTTTCAACATAGACAACCGATAACAATTTACATAAATATACCTGCTTGGTCGTCCCAGACTTTCGATGACAACAAAATTGCCCCAAGTAATATCCTTTTCCAGTTGCTCGGGTGGATATCGATCTCAGCATAAGTTAAAAGTCGTTCCAGGTAAACCTGCGAATATTCGATTGATCTCAAACTTAATTCAGGGACCTGGCAGTATCATACTATAAAAACAGATCTTATCTACATTATCAAGATCAAATGACGAGAAACTGATTAACTTCTGCCATCTGCTTGCTTTGTGATTGAGTGATGCGAAAAATGAAGGGCAGATCATCAAATTCGAAGCTTGGAATCTTTGACAATATCGCCTGTAAATGGGCCACACATCAAAAGGGTGGAACAGCATAAATCAATTATCACTTTATTAGAGGCGTCAGTAAGTTTTCTGTGCCGATAGATCCTTCAAGCAAAAATAAATACTTTGTTTCGTAAAAAGGAAGAAAATAGATTGGAAATAAGCGTTCTTTAATAAAACTTGGATCAAAAAGTAAGCTTTTCTGCTTAGCAAATATATCCTCCTTCTAAACAGTATCGCAAGTAAATGCCTTTATCTCTTTGTCTTCCTCTTAATTAACCTTGGCCTTGTCTAAATATGATGAAATCAGTGAGTATACACATAGAATGCAATGCAAGCACCTTAGCCTCGATCAGCCTGTAAGATTCTTACAAAGACTAGACTCGTGATAAAGGCCCAGTGAAGCAAGAGTAACTAAGATAAACAATGAAAACTCACCAGTGTAATGATAGCACACTCGGCAGTCAGCTGAGCAGCGTTGAACAGTGTTTTCATGAACCTGTAAATATGTCTGTACTCTGGCTTAATCTTCGAGTAGTTACTAGGTACTGGCTCTCTCTGTAAAACAAACAATAAATAATAATAATAATAAAAATAAGAATGTTTAAACAGAAAGCTCTCATCACCGAAGTGTTTTTCAGAAAGTTCCTGTTAAAATTAAATGGGTAATACCACATCCATTAACATCATTTAATCCAAACAGTGCTTGCAACTAAAATGGTATTTCATACTGCTATAGACTTAACAAAAGGTAAGTTTCAATGAAAAGCCGACAAAACCTAGGCATTCCCTCTTACATCACAGGTTGTGCAGGCACTTAAGACCAATGGTTAGAAGAGCCTTCCATTATTCCGCTCTCAACTTTCAGCCAAAACAGTGGTTTGAAGTTTTTCCTTTACGTTTTGGGCAACAAAGAACTTGATTGCTCTAGAAACTTGCCATTTAAGGTAGACGAGGAGTTCTGAAACATTCATCAGATCACCATAAGAACAGAGCAGAAGCAGAAAGTTCTCGGAATCGAGTTTCTATTGAATTTTCTAACGAGTGAAATATTTTCCTTTGCCACAAAAACTTTCCCTGAGATGAGCATACTTTTCGACCATTGACACGGGGAGTCAAAATCAGACCAAAAATATTCTCTGACTTGGATTTCTACTGAACTTCTTGGTCTAAAACATATTTTTCAAGCCCAAAATAAATAAACAAATGACGGTGATGGGGACATCATTGGTCTCTGACAAACTCTGATATTTTCGTTCTGTGAACAGGACGAGCAGATGCAAGTATAATTTTTTTTAGAAACAACTCGCCTGAACAAAGCTCTTGACCTGATAGTAAAGGCCCTTACCCACGCAAAATAACTAATATTAGATTGGCTTAATATAAAAATCATTTGCGTGCCAAATGAAAAGTCCTGTATGGGCAGTAGGAGTGAAACTGAAGAATGAGCATAGATATGGTCCCTTTTTCAACTGGAAACCCCGAACGCCAACCTGGAGGTTTTAAGTACGCCGACATTGCTAGGTTGAAGAGAAGAAAATCTCCAAGTTTTAATGATCTTCACAAAAAAATGATAGAGCAACGAGCTAAAATAAAGCACTTAAAATTTTAAATAATTTTGTTTTCTTTTATTCAGTATTTTTCTTTGTACTTGCCACAAAGCGTTCGGCGTTTCTTAACAAAATGCAAGCTAGATAGAAATATTTTCACTTCCAAATGAGATTCAAAAAATCAATAATACGCCGCTGTTGAAAAAATTGATTGCTCGAAACCCACATCATAACAAAAGCAGGTGCTCAGAACCATCTTTCACAAGAGGATGCATTTATAAACCTTTCTCGTTTCAAAGTTTTAACGCGAATGGTCTCAAGAAAACAAGCAGCTTTACTTCGGTAGATGCATCAGTGAACTGAAGAAATTGACAGTTTAAAGAATAGATGGATAAACGACATTTTCAAGAATACAGCGGTAACGAGTGTGCAATAAATTTCTGTAGAGACATAAAATAACATAAGTTATAAGAGACATAAGTTGATTAAATTAGAAGGTACTTTACATACAGACAAAGGATGAGCTTTCTCATCAAAAATATCCAGCAGCCGGCTGTCGTTCCCACTGAAAATAAAACATCATTTCAATTCCATGGTAAACGCAGATTAATTCAATTACTGTGTCTACTTTTATTCATGGTAATTTTGTTAATTGCCTTAAACTGAAATAGATTCAACGGAAACAGCGGAGAGGTCCCTCAACTCATAGCTTGTCTGCATCTGACAAAATTCGTTGCAAACATTTTTACTTGATACAGCACAAGAAATTCTCCATTTCGAAATATTCACAAAAACAGGACCCTAATCGTTTGCAACCACAATTTAATCTCAGCTACCAACGAACAAGCAAATAAATAATCTGATGGATGATCCAAAATTAGTTGGCTCCAGCATACAGCCAAGCATGGCAATAATGTTTTAAGTGAAAAGGAATGCTTTATCAGAGGTTAGCTGAATTTTCAAATAGTACATTTTCGACTTATGACTGAAAATTTAACTCTGTTGCACAATGAAAGATTCGAATGCTTGACAGGGCAAATAGCATATGACATTTGAATAAAAAGATAATACTATACAACCACTTTTCCCATAAAGTTTTGCTTAGGTAAGAGGCGATATTGGCCTAGATACCTCTAAGCTAGATACCTTCATTCTCTAAATAAATAAAACACTGAAACAAATTTGAAGGTCAGCTTAAATTTTAACAATAAAATTAGAGCTAATGTAAGTTATTTTTGCAATTTTTAAATTTTCAATGTGGGTAGAGCATTTTTTCATTCAAGTTTTAAAAACTCCAGTAAACTTGTTTACCAATATTTCACTCATTGAAAAAAAATCAGTTATAAAAGAGATTAGTCCTGCTTTGCTAAGTCCTACTTTTGATAAGTCCTTCTAACTTGCTTTATAATTTCAATGCAAGATATATATTTTTGGTACGCGTTTAATAGATGACACCAATAAGATATGGTAATCCCAATAGGAACTGATGGATAAAGAATGTTAATTAAAAATAATTGAGAAGCAAATAGTCAAAATAAAATCTATCAATGATAAACATGTGCTCAAATTTGGCAAAAATAGCCTACCTTGACTTGATATGATAGTATACAGCCAGAGAGACACTATAAGAAAGTAATAAAACAAAGTGTACTCTTTATACCTTATATACTTTTAGCATAAGAATTCTTGGTTAAACTGTTTTTTTGCATCAATTTGTGACAAATTTCAATATCCATGCAATAGTGTCAACAATTTCGAGAGTGCCTAAAGATGATACCCCAAAACTTATAAAACAATCTGAAATTCGCTGAAAACCAGAAAAGGCAAAATGTGCTTTAAAAGGAACTTAGTTGAATGTCCTAAATGTAATGTCTGCAAATGGTGGATTGGCTTAATATCTGGAAAAGATTAAGGGAAGCAAGCCAGGTGAATACAAACAACTTTTTTCATAACTGGAGCAAAAAGTTAAATCTCTTAATTATATTATAACAAAAGAATCACTTGAAAAAATAATCATTCACAGATGCATACCACTTAAGCATTGCTTTCAGGTTTGGCTGACTCACAGTATTGTCATCTATGAAAATTGTTGAACAGGAATTGGCCTTTCTCATACCACCTTGTGGGCTCTACAGTGCAAATGGAAATTTTTTTGTCAATTAAGCAACCATGCTTTAGCAAAGTCAAAATTTGGTGAAAAGAATTTAACAAATAGCAAATAACTTGAAGATTAAGATTGAATAATCATAATAAATCACATCCATGATATCACAAGAAATATCAACAATCTAAAAACTCAAACATTTACAAACATGTTTTTCCTGCACCTTGGCCCTTCAAGGCCTTGCAGGTTTAGCAAAATTAGGTAAATCAATGCAGTGTTATCAAAATTAATGGTCTCCCTTGATTCCTGGTATTGGCAGTTTTGTTAGTGCCACTATTCAAGAAACATCTCGATGGAGACTGCAAGTGAATGGAACTTTAGAGGGGAGGCCTTGTGAGGAGCAAAAAGCAGGCCCTTGACTAGCCTGCATGCAGTCTTTTGTTGCTGTTGCTGAACGAGGAATGTAAAGACTGCGAATCAGCAAACAATTATTTGTATTGCCGACTCAGCAAAATGCTAATTTACCGAAAATTGCCCACTGATCAGTGGAAAAAGGTTTTTTCCAAAAAACATAGTTGTTACTAATTACATTTGACTTATGCAGAGTGCTTCGTCGACAATTAATCCAATCATGCTTCCTTTTAAACATTGCGTGACAGTATTTTTTGCCATCTTTCCAAAGAAAGCATCGACTCCGGGGAAGCATAAACATATGAAATTTCACTGAAATAAACATCATTCCCTTTAAAGAAGTTACGAAGGATGGTAACTTGATCATCGTACAATTCCGTAGCTTGGAAAAAACAAGATACCGTCAGAAGAGACTCTCTTAATTTGTCTTCGTTCCACTCAAACTTTCCTTCGCTGCTGCCGGTCGCCATCTTGCGAGGCAGTGCAGCCTGAGTAACAATACAATGTTGTCCCAACCAATGATTTTACGGTTCGGAGAATTCCGAAACAGCTTTTGATTGGTTCATAGAACAATAGGTAAATTTAGGCAAATACGAATAATCATTGCTGATTTGCAGTCTTTATATTTCCCGTATGTCCAGCAATAAAAAAATCCAGTGAAAAAAAGACTGCGCGCAGGCTAGCACTTGAAAAACTGAGCACCTTCAAACTTTTAGGCACTCGAATGAGCATCATCAAATATCTTCAATAACATACACAATTTAGTTTTCTGCTTTAATTTTTAGACATCATAAATATGCTAGATGCTCAATCAATCAAGCTCCTAGAACTTTCTTTGCAATTGATCAAGCTTGAGCGCCTCTCTTTGCAAGACCTGCTTCAAGGGAGTAATTTTCCTTTGAATTTAGTTTAGGGTAGCAATAAACAGCCCCCTTAGCTTAGAGTGTAGTTGGAGCGATCATACACCACAAATAGACAACCCTGTACCTTAAGGAATAATCATGTCATATACAACAATACATTGGGAAATATTTGAATAAATACATTTGAAGAACTAAAAGTCGATTTTCATTGCTACAAGGAGACATATTGAGTATACAGCAAACCACAAAGGGTTGCAGTGTTCAGTCTTCTTTATTAACCAAACTAAAGATTCATAAGAAGTCATACCTTTGAAATTGCATTATTAGAAGATGAGAGCATAATTGTATGACGCTTAGACTTTGAGGTGCCATTTGCTGCAAAAATAATAAAGCATTATTTTCATTTAAGATACTGAGATAATGGGTTACATGACTATCAAATTTTTCACTCATTTGAGTCACTTCACTCAGCAGGAAAAAATAACAGACTTTTTGTGCACCAGTTGATGATAAAGATGATTTATTAGAAGTGGCTTTCTGATTCACTGGCCTAAGTTCAGAGATTTCAAAGATTTTATCAACATATTTAAACAAAGTAGAAAACAAGTCAGAGGTTTATAAGATTTTGAATGTACCATAGCTAGTCCACCATTAATTTGGAGAAATTCTCCAAGGGCATTAATATCTTTATCAATTTCTATGTTTCCTTTTTTTATTTTTCTTATATGCAATTGTCTTTTAAATGTCCTTGATAAGTATTCTGTCTACTTCAATTATGCATTTCTTTGTTCTGCTCAAGTTTAATATTTCATGTCAAATCCAACTACATTTCTAGGATAGTGCAAATGCTATGCCTGAAGACATGCTCAAATATATTAGTGAAATTTATATGCAGACTGTTGCTGGAAGAAGCAACGCATCTGACTCCCAACACATATACACATATAACTTCCAACTCCAACTTCAATATAAAATATTGATCTAAAAAATATAATAAATTCTATTTTCTTACCAAGCTTGATAAAATTTGGCCTTCCATTAACTGATCTTTCAAGAAAGAGAGTTTCAGATAGATTTGACAGGTCTGAAAATCAATACAATTTCGTTACTTATATTTTTAGAATGAAATCATACCAGAATAAATATGGTGACAATGAAATGAAAAGATGCAATTAATTGGCTAATTAAAAGAATCAATGGAACATTGATGTGTTTCCTGGTGAACACATAAATACATGGTAAAAGGGCTGAAAACAAACCACAAGGACTTAGATAATCAGCCAAAGCTACAGGCTCCTTGATATGAAAATTTAATGACCTTAAACATAAGCAACAAGACTTTTGAATAATAACAAGTATGCTTAGTCTTAAAGGAAAAATCCCATAACTACTAAAACATGATTTTCCTCCAATACCTTTTCATGATCAACAATAACTTGGCTTCATTTATCTGTGCAACTTTCATATGTATATCTTAACAATTTCCAATGCTAATCTTGCTTTTATATCTTCTAATTCCAAGGCTTTTTCACAGGTTTTTCAGGCTCGAACCGTTGACTTAATATTGCAAAAGAATTTCCTCAAATTAAACTTACATACCACAACGTAAAATAATATTGTAGTGTACGCTAGAAGCCTGTTAGAAATCGGTGCATATCATTCTGAAACTATCCACGATTCAATGCTTAGCTGTTATAACTTCTAACATTTTATTATTAATGTCCATCAGTATTATGTTTATGGTAAACAATACAACCTATTGTGTTAGGATGTGAAAACCTATTTTTAAAAGATCTCCGTAAGATCATTGCATATTTATAAAATAAAGATTATTGCATCTAGGTATGCCTCAAAAATTGAAAGTAATGAGTTTACCCTGTTTGGTGCTGAAGGATAAAAAGGGAATGTTTCTTATTCTTGTTACATATTCGCAAATCTTGCGGCATTATATCTGAATGGGAAATCTCTGAAAGACGTTTTTGGAAAGTAGGAAGGGATGTGGTACATTAATCTATAGTCACTACCATTCCACCGAACAAACCTTGCTTCAGATTTGATTGAAGATTCGAACCAAATTAACCCAGAAAACTAAAAAATAACTTATGGCTTTTCTACACGCAAATAAATTGGTTTAGATGTTAATACGAAGGTGAGTACAGATTGTTTGCTAGGCCGCTGGTTCTCGACAGGTTTGGGGATGGTTCCACCTTCGATAGGTATTACAAAAGATACAGGGGATACCCTAACGAAACAATCTCAGATAAAAGTGTTTCACTAACCTTCACGATCGCTTATATGTGGTAATTCTGTTGCTTCATTTGGCTTTCTTTCTTCTATGAAAGTTTCCTTGAGTGGCTTGGCATTCAGGTCTTCGGAAGAATCGTAAATACAACAGTTGTTTCCCATGGTCGAGTAAAGTTTGACTGCAGCTAAAGCAACATTCAAATGGCAAAGGCATCTGTGCTAAGGCCTAGAGGGATCTGATACATCCCATTGTCACAACCTCTTCTTTTAACTGTTTAAACCTTAACTGCAAAATTTAAGTGCGTCGTTCTCAGAGCGCAACCGAAAAGTGTTTCTGGGCCTAATTTTGGATTCAGCATGAGCGCAGTGTAATCGGCATGTAATCACAATATATCATCATATGGCCGTTTCATTGATTGACTATTGTTTACATGAAATCGCCACTCCAAATAACTCGATCACCTGGCGATGCTGTTTTCAAACGATTTGTGTCAATACTCCATTCCAAAGATGTTTTTGATAATGCAAACAAAACAAATAAACAAACTAATTTTTTTATATAGCCGTGCCTGCCATTTAGCTGTGTTTTTTCGGTGATTTTTTCGGTGAGTGAAACATCCTCTATTGTCGGCAAATAGAGGATGTTTCACTAACTTTGTTGACAAACGAGACCTGAACATCTCCCTTACCTACAAATATCAAAATACAAAATCTTTGTTTATTGAAACATAAGCGAGATCTAGTCATTGTTAAAAAGTATATTGTCAAATCAGGTACCCAAAAGTATCATGTAACAAAGAAAAACTCTTAATCATCATATAGATATGGGTAAGAGTTCACCCAATCTGATGATTATGGATAGGATTACCTGGGACTTATGAATAGCCAGTCCCAACTTCAATTTACTGGCTCTTATAAAAAAGAATGCATACAAACAAACAAATAACTGAGCAGCTAAAGTATTACTGTATATATTCTATCATAGATGAATGATAATTTCATGTGCGTCCCCCGGGGGGTACTCCCATTATGGCATAACAGGAGGTCCAGTCAAAAAGGGTCAAGGCTAAAGTGTTAGAAAGTTACCCACAAATTATAGTCTTTTTTGACAACAACCCTCAAATGGTAGCATAAGAACCGAAATTATGCCCTTGGCAGCATCCATTTCTTTGTGCTCGCTTGGTCTTACTTTGACAAATTTCTTTGCCATTGACTGTCTTTGATTCGGGAAAGATAAGATTTTGCCAATTTCTTTAATAAAAGATAAGTTTATGTTAAGTGGTAGTGTTATTATAGAAACTGGGCCATTTTGTAGCCATTTGGAAATTACTCTCAAATCGACTGGAACCCCCTGTCAAGCCTTAATGCGAGTACCCCCTGGGTCTGCGTCGTTTAAAGAAAGGTGTTAAAGCCAGGGAAAAGTCAAGACAAAAGACAATGAATCAATTTTTGCATTCACGCAGTAAACTGATCTTAAACGTAAAGCGATGTAAAGTAAAGAAATTTGCTAGCACTTGGGCCCTCAAAGAGTGTGGAAGTCAACTAGAGAAAATATCTTGCTCGGTGTGCTAATATGTTTTTCATGATATTGTTCAAAATCTCCCACCTTCAGTTTCGATGAATATTTTGCAAACATTTGGAGCTTGCTAAGTTTTTGATTGAATCTGATTTTCACCAGGAAATATAGCCTATATCAAGCATGTGTTTATATAAAGCATTTTTCATCAATGTCTTCAATCATAGATAAAAAATCTAAACCTTTGACTATTTTGACGAAGTTTGTCCCTGTTGTCACTAGCTCATTGGGTCAGTTGATTATATGGTTTTATTCTAACCGGCTTGACTAGAAGAGGGATATTCCTATATTTCCTAACTTGGGGTTGGTAAACTTTAAATAGGAGGGAATTTTGCTTCAAAATTATCCTCTTGTAAATATGGCCCATAGACTTTCTAGTATGTTTAGTAGTAAATTTCAAATCTGCAAAACTTTCAGTTAATTTCAAGAAAAACTTCCATAGGATTTGATTGAGTCATGATAAAGGGAACTTTTGAAAATCCTTTGAATGCCAGGATTACGATAAAACTAAATGATAACTAAATGATCAAGGAAGGGATGAGAGCTCGGCGTCACCCCTGTGTTTGTAACAGCTCGCTGATTTCGTTCTCTGCAAAAAATGACTTGAAGAAAATTTGTATGCAGGGATGTCGTTGTAAAGATTTAGGAGGGGGTTATGCTGCAGACAATCTCTAGAAGTCGTACTCAAGACCACACCAACAATGACAGCCACAGCCACAAACAGAAGAAGACCCGCAAAAATGAGTCTTGGGCGACCTGTTCAATTAAAAAAATAGCCCTTGGAGGCTTATTAATTAGACAGTTTTTTAGATGGGGGCATAGTATTTGGGAGACTGTACGAGAAAGCGCTTATAAAAGCAGAAGCGGATTGGTCCGGGTGGCTAGTCGATGTGGCTGTCTAATTTGGCCCGCTCTGATACAGTAACTTTTAATGCAATATTTAGTGTGATTTTAATAGTCTACTGTAGAAGATTCACAAAAAAAACAAAGAAATATAGTGAGATCCAGCTCCATTTGAGCCTCGAAGCTTCAAAGAAACTATTGAAATGTTTGCACATGATATAAATGGCCTTTAAAAGATCCCCAGGTTAGCAAAAGTTGACCGAGGAACTTCCAAGAAGTGCTTTTGTTCAGTCCTCACTATTTATGCTATTTTACCCAGCTGCTCCGCTTGCACCAATAGCAAAAATTGGTTTTCTAGCATGAATGGGCCCCATTATGGTTTTTTTATCCCGGCCCGTTTCTAGGAGCCACAACATCCCTGTCAGGGGCGTAGCAAAAATAAAAATTTTTCTGAGGGGTGCAGAAATGACTTTTGCTGATAAAAAAAACGTGTCTCAATCTTTAAGGGTAAGATAAACAATTTTATATGCTGGTTTCATGTGTTTCTATTTCAAAATTCGTACTTCAGTGCCATACTTTGATAGTTCAACTGCTACAGAAATTTATATCATTACAATTGTTGCAAAAAGTCTACAATTTTATACCAAACGGTGAGAAAAAATTCATTCTCTTTCTTGGTGAAGGTCCTTCATTTACTGACGGATATGTTGGGGGTACAGTGTCCCCTTAGTCCGCTCACTTGTTGCTAAACTACAATGTTCAGGTAGCTGCATCAAATATCATGGGGAAACACTACCATAAAAATTCCCCGCTTTGTCTAGAGCCCTCCCACTCTAGTGCTCCGGCCTCCCTGCCTAAACCCCCTTAGGCACAAAGTCCTATATTGAATCACTATGATTGAATTGTTTCCTTAGTAGTTCCTTGATTTAACTACTGCACATTTGGTGCAATGAAAATTGGTGTCATTAGATTCTTAATTGTAGCTAGAAGACAAGTTGAAAAACAGAAAGAAGAATAGAAAGACGTTTGATAAATAATAATAATAATAATAATAATTGAAGCTAAGTCTCCATTTCGGAGCAGTTACCCAACTACTGGGTATCACAAGCTGGTGCTATACTTTTAGCCAATCTCTTTATTTCTATTTCATCCATTGGTAAGAAATTTTTGAAGAGTGTTGTTGATACTTTTTAGAATTTTTGAATTATTTGTAACTAAACAGGTCTTTTCCATCTTGGGTTTTTGGGCAGTCCCATAAGTGTTCAATATATTCCTCATGGGCCCCACATCTTCTGCAAAGAGAATCAGAGTACTTTCTTTTGTAGTTCGCCCTTAAGTCAACCATGTTTAGTTTTAATTTCAGCAGGGATCTTCACACCCCAGATACTCTTTCATTTCAAATTTACTACCCTTGATAAATCTAAGTTTAGTCTTACTATTATTTCTAATGTTATTCTCTATGATTATGATAATTTTTTCTCTAACAACTTTTTTCCACTGTTCTTTGGTTAAATTTTTGATCTGATTTTCTTTGAGGTTAATATCAATCAGTTTTATGTCACTAATCACTTCTTTATACCAACAGTTTGGGAACTTTAAACGTTTTTGCTCTTCATAAACTATCTTGGTCAATCTACTTTCGTTCATGTTTAATACCTTATGGAAGTATATTAATCTTTTCTCCTTTATTCTAAATTCCATTGGCATTAGGCCACATTCAAGGACTATTCCATCATATGACATTGATTGGGGTAGGGAATTAATTATTGTCACTGCATCTTTTTGCAATTTTTCTAAGTCTTTAAATAGCTTATTAGTTACATTAGTCCATGTTTCACATGCGTACAGAACTTTTGGCATCAAAATTGCTTCAATCAGTTTGATACTGATTGCAAAACTCTGTTTCTTGAGTGCATCCTGTTTAATAAGGAATTTTATTTCTTTAATAACCCCCAAGGCAGAGTAAATGAATAAGTGGAAATCCAATAAAGATGGAAAATGAAACACTTGAATTTACACAATGAAACACTCGATAGCTAACTTCGTAACGCACAATCTATGTGATTTTGAACTCCAAATGGATGAAATCGGCTTTTAACTCTTGATTTTTTGCATGCAAATAATAGAGACACTCTAAATTGAAATGTTTCTCGGGGATTTTGTCTTTGGTTTTGACGATTCTGTAATTGTCTTCTGCCTTCTACATTTTGGTTTCTTATTGAGTGGTTCCTTATAAAAAGCGTATATATAATTCGGTGAAGGGTTGCCAGCACAGAATCTCGGGAGGGCTGAGCCCCCGAGACCCGTCGACGGCACCCCTGCCTGGATTCAATCTATGGCATTCTTCTAGTTTTTGATTACATGAGGTACTTTTAAGAATCTCAAAACATGTTGTTGTAGTCGTTTCGAGGCGGGATGGTTGGATGTTTGAATTGGGATTGTGAACTTTCATGTGTTACCTACTACTGATTTCGTGACTACCGATGATTTTCTGGTTTCAATTTGAAATATTCAAAAGACAAACTGAGAACGTCTTCAAATGTGTAAAGATTTCTAGGTTATTTTAGGTGAGTTTTTATACGCTTTTCGCTCAAAGTGACGTTACAGGTAAAAATCTCTACGCTTTGTTATGTGCCCAACTTTCCACGAACTACATCTTGTACTTTTGGCCTAAATCGATGGCCAAGGGCTTTCGGTTTTTCATCTGTGTCGAGCATAAAATTCTTAAGCTCAAATTGAGTTTCTTGCTTGAATAGTTTCAAATAATAAGGTCCTGTTTTATTTTTACAAATCACCATTTGACAACTATCTTGGATAAACCGCTACCAATCTTTTGAGCAACAATATTTTATAACAAACTTATGTGTCTGTCCTATTTTAGATTCTGGAATTACCCACGGATTATGAGTAGTGTGAATTTGGTAGAGGCTGTCCCCCCATCTGCTGTATTTATTGAACATTTCATTGATTGTAAGTATTCTTTACATACATACACATGCTAAACATTTGTTATTAGGCTTTATATCATATGTAAGTTTGTGACAATTGTAGAAGCCTCAAGCAGTAAACAATTGTAGAAGCCTCAAGTCTCTGGATTTCATAATGGCATTGATGAAATAAGTATCATGAAAACCATCTATTAGTTATAAATCCAGGCGAAATTTTTTGTCCTGCATGCAGTTTCCAGGATAAAAGGATAAGTGATTGTAATGTTAAATAGTAATTAAATATGTTTGATCAGACAAATGATACTTGGCTTGGCACAGTTTTTCATTTAAAGTTTTTGTTGTGTTACATTAACATATTGTAAAACGTTTCAGGCATAGATTCTTTACCCAATGATGTCCAACGAAATGTTTCACAGTTAAGAGAACTAGATTTGCTATACAGAGGTAAGAAAATTTGTTCATAGCAGGATCTTTATCAAGAAGACTGGGGTACATAATGTAAATAATTTCTTTCAAAGAAAAATTTTTAAGGATCTATAGCTTTAGTTTCTATTTTTTTTGATTGAAGAAAACACATGCTAATTTTTGCTAGCATTGATTTTCTCTTGCTGATTTTGATATTTGTGATGTCAATATATTACACTAAATTAATGCATGTTAAACTTAGGTTGCATTTTGTTGAAATGTATGCCTCTGGTCCTTTGTGGTGGCATTTGTATAAACAGATCTTGACTGAAACAGATGAACATGCTTAAAAGCTTGGGCCTATCAAGACCCTAAACAAGTCTAAAATTTAAATGCCTCTGTAAGGTGTATGCCTGAAATAAAGTTGCCAGCATGTAGTCAATTGCACCTCTTGGCAAATCAAGGGGTTCAATGGGGTGCTATTTCTATTTTAGAATAATGAAGTATTTATAAACATTTATGAAAGTATATACAAAATTTGACATTTTTAGCCATTTTTAAAGTTATTCTGCACAAATAAATACATTTTCTTTTTCAAAGCTATTTTATCAAGATTATAAAAATATAGAGATTTTATTAGAATGCACAAACCACAAACAGAGGGTTTTCAAAATGCTAACAAAAGTGGATACCCTTCAAAATAGGGTTTTTTGAAAACGCACTTGATCAATGTGTATGCACAAAAATTGAGATTTCTGAAAACTCTCCAAGAAACATACAAAAATGGAAAGGGCAAGCAGTAAAATTGACAAAAATTGACATTTTTTTCTTCATTTCTGTGAACTTCATAGGACGTGCCATTTTTGGGTACAATTTTTCAAATTGAAAATGAATTTTGGGTTATCCATTTTGGTAAACTCAACTATGGTCATTATTTTTTTTGGATTGATTTTTAGCATGACCATAAATTTTGGAGTATCATGTAATATGTTTCATTTACTTGATTGAGTTGCTGAATTTTTTTCTCAATTATTGGTCAACATTAAATATTAATCTAAAATTTGAATTAAATTTTAGAGTATACATTTCATATTTTATCTAAATTTTTGGGTGGAGTGTTTAAGAAATCAATAAATTTTAGGAAATGCTTTCATATTTTCAAAATGGCACACCCCTGTACTCTGCTTATTGAAGTGGCCCCCCACCCCAGTGATATTCTGAAAACACTCCAAGCAAATTTACTAAAATGGAAGCAGCATGCAGGGTTAAAAGGACCCTGTTGACAGATCAAAGTGAAACAAATGAGAAACATCTCTTTTTTCGTGTAAATGGTTGAATCCCATATCAAATGAAAATGCACCTGTGCAGAGACAATGAAACCAAGGCAGACCCCCTGTAGTATAACGTTCTGGTGCACTACCACATTCGCAGATAAAAGGAGCCCCAAATCCAAAATGAAATGAAAACGCTAATATTTAAACAGGCAAAAATTCTGTGTTGAAATGGGAAGCTAAATATGATATGAAATGAAAATGTTGTCGTTTAAACAGGGCCTAAGAATGTTTACTGTTAAGATGGTAACTCATAGCCTTAATTGCGTGCAATAAACCATACTTTTTGGGAAAAGGAGCCAAGTGCCAAGGTTTGTCTGTGGGATCGCAGACCTTTTGTAGGATGGCCTGTGTATCTTGTTAAGGAGTGGCACAATCAATTTCTAACAAAGAGGCTTATATATCTAGCCAGGGGAGGCTACAACATCTTACTTGCCTCAGGCTTAAAAGAATGATTTTCCAATCAGTGGTTAGCATGTTTTGAAAGCAGAACTATCCTCCTAGCCTTGCACCATCCCTGTTAATCTGGCCTTCAAAGTCTTATGTCTTTCCTCAGTTTTCTTTCAGCAGTTCTTTTGAACTTCTGTGTTTGCCAACTCTCATTAGTTTGATAAATTTAGCTAGCTAAGAGCCAACCAACATTCCACTATGTCTACCATTCATGCTAGCTAAATTTTGTTATTGATTCATGTAGGTTTTTGTAACTTGAACTATGTTATGATTATCTTTCTGTTATAAAATTTTCTTGTTTTTAGGTAAACTTAGCCAGATCTCAAACCTGCTAGACCTGTATAATTCAACAGATGATCAAACTGTAAAACAACGTTACTTGACAAAAATTCAAAGATGCCTGATAAAGAGTCAAGAATATGGAGATGAAAAGCTACAGCTTATTTCACATATTGTTGAAGTTGTATGTTGATTATTAGAAATATAACTTATCTTTCATTTAGACAAAAATATCTTTAAACTGCACTATTAATAACTTGCTGAAATAATGATATGCCCCATCAACACCCTTTTTTGCAACCTGTTAATTTTTCTTACAACAAGTAATTGATTTTTGCTTTTATTTTTTTGAAAGGTGGACAACAAGAACATACAAATTATTAAGGATGCAGAAAACATGGATACCCCCATACGAAGAGAAGCTTCCCCTTTGATTAATAAACCAGATCATCCAGGTATTATTTATTTTATCCTTCCAAGGACTTTTCATTTTATTGGTTTGAAAGGGTAGTAGCTACCTACCTCATTTACACATCAAAATAATTTTTATAGGTACCTACCTCATTTACACATCAAGTTAGGTTTTCTTTTTTCGGTGAGTTTTCTATAATATTATGAATCAAAGTTTTCATAAGTTTGTAATAATTTTTCTCTCTTTCAGTTAATTTTGATGATCATAGAGGAGTAGAGCGGCACCCACCAACTAAAAGTTAGTTTATTCTAGTTCATTTGTTGAATCCATTTGTGTTTTTTCTAGTCCAATGGTCAATTTTCTATCAGTATAAAATGCTATTAGTATTTTTATCAGGAAAAAGGTTATTGAGGCAACATTATAATTTATTCTGATCTATGAACAAGCTCAACTTTTAACTTGTAAAATGTGATTTTTAGAAGGTTTTATTTTGGATTTCTTTGCATTGTTATTTGTGTTTTTTACTTGATAAGATGGCTTCAGGGTAACTATATATTTCTGTGCTCTCTGCATCATTTTGTAACCTTGTATGTTACTAACATATTGTCTAAAGCATAGGATTTTTTTTCAATATTACAGGGCCACGGCGCCAGAAAACAGTTAGTGAGAAATTTGTTGATATTCAGGAGCATCTTTTAAAACCTGAGAAAATCCCCAAAATTGAAAAATCAAGTAAGGCAGAGAAGTCTACAAGAAGTGAAAAGAAATCAAAGACAACAGAAAAATTGTCTGAATCCTTAGAAAGCTCTAATCTTGGTGCAAGCTCAAATACCGAAGTAGTTAGCAAAAAGTCAAATGAGACAACTAAGAAGGAGAGGGAAGGGACAACAGGGAAAAAGAAAACAGGGAAACAAAAGGAGACAAAGAAAAAAAATGGGAATGTTAAGAAGAAGTAGGTGGTCTGTTTTTTTTATATTTGAACCAATAATTTTTATAAAGGCTTATTTATCAAGTTTAGAAAAGTTGTATTTAGATCTTATTTATAAAGTTTCCATGACTTGCATAGTATGAGTCATAATAAAAGGTGTACTTCTTTTGATGCAGTCAAATTCTGATGATGTATTATATTTTGTGATTGTAGAAAGAAAAAGGAATTGGCAGATATACCTATTGATCCAGATGAACCAACATATTGCTCTTGCAATCAGGTTTATATTTCAATTTTGTTGTTTTACAGATAAATGGTCGCATGGGAAATGAGTGAAAAAATTACTCAATATTATAGCATGTTAAAACTGAAAGTAAATACTGGTGATCACAACAGCAAATTTTATTAAAGTATTATGAGAGCCTAGTCAGTTGTCTGTTGGCTTCTTGCCATTATCAAGACTTTGTGCTTCTCTCATTTCTTTCAGACAAAATATGAACTCCAAGCTATTATTATACTTATAACTATGTAAGAAATTATACTGCAATAATTAAGAAAATCTATAAAATATATAATATCTGAAACTTTAGAATGTCCAAGATCTAATCGATATGCTTAAGGTTTGGTAAATTCATGCTGTAAGATTTTTCATAAAAATGGCATGAAAACTTTCAATAGAATCCTTTTTGCATTTTACGTGACATTGTACAAGTGTCCTTTACATTTATTTGTTTTAAAATTGAGAGAAATTTAATCCTCTACCAAATATACATTACTTTTTTCAATTTGAATAAGACCTTTAAAATTAAATTGATATTCCAAAAAGCTGGTTCATAGCTTAGTTTTTTCGGGTTGAGTTTCCTGAATCTTCTTTCAGTTTGGCAAACCCTAAAACGAATTGTGGGTAAACAGGCTTCTTGCTATTTAAAAATATTTTCACTTCTCTAATCCAATGAGCGAGTTTTTGGCTATTGGACGAGACATTTTAAGTCGCTAGCGTCACCTTGGTTTCTTCTTCTTCAGAAAAGGAAACGCTGGTCATAAATCTAATTAACTTGAGGTTTTCTGGAATTCAAAAAGTGTTGTTTTGATTGGCAATGTTTGACAAAAGTTTATCCTGTTGATTTCATCAGGAATACATGCTCAGACTTTATTATTTATTTAGAACTTAGCATCAAAACTTTGTTCATTTGATAGGAATTAGTTTTGCTATAGAGTTAACATCAAGTCTTCAAAAGTGACGCTGTTGTCACGTAATTATTTATCCGTCCTTTGCAGGTAATTATTTTACTTCTAAAGTGTTAGCCTGTTCATATAAAGCAATGTCCTTTTTTATCAAAGGTATCTTTTGGCGAAATGATCGGATGTGACAACGAAGAGGTAAGTTGACCGCTCAATGACTGAACGGCTCCGTGTCTTTTTTCATCAGAAAATCACAACTGGAAATATGTGTTTACTGGGTTACAAAAAGCTAATTTGAAGGAACCCCAGTCGAATAATCGAATAATTCGAGTCGAGGCATCCAGAGTTTGGAGTTGAGACTCGATATTTTATTTTTTACTGAGATTTATATTTACTATACTGTTTCAAGCTTGAATATGTGTTGGATGGGAAAAAGCTTCTATTGCTTAACTAACTTTGTGCAGTATTTAAAATCTTTTTGATAAACTTTAAACAGTTTTATCGTACAATTTCTCGCTAATCTTATCTGTTTTTTAGTGCCCAATCGAATGGTTTCACTTCAGCTGCGTGAATTTGACTGTCAAACCAAAAGGAAAATGGTAAAGTTTTGCTAATAGCGTACATTCGATTCAGATACTCAACAATCTAAAGAACTGACTTATTTTATTATGAGATAAGTCATATGGACTTCAAAAGCATCGCTGCGTTTTCCGATTCAAATTTGCGCCGATGGCCATTACAATCAGATACCAATTTTTGCTCTCATTTCTAGAACATTTCTCCAGTCTTTAGTCTTAGAATCCATCAACAATTCTGTTTTTATGGAACTAGATAGCCTTACTATTTCCAAAGCCTTTTAATAGTTTTTTACAAGATTTCGCAATTAAACTTTATACAGCAATTTTCCACAATTGTTTCTTCTTTTCTCCCATTTAATCCTCAAGTTAGTGGTATCTCCTTCCTTGACAAGAAAATACAACTCTAGTCAGAATTACTTTCTATTCCTGTTTTCAGGGAAGGCTTTAGTTATTAATTCGACGTTATTTTTTATAGGTATTGTCCGCAATGCACGATAGAACGTCGAGAAAAGGGAAAGAAATGATGTCTGGTCCGTGTAATATTCGGTACTGAATAGCAAGTACATTGAAAGTTACTTTTTGTAAAAATGAAATTGCCACTTGTAGTAAAATACTTGATTTTATCATAATATGTATGTTAAATTTCGTTTTTCTTTTCGTTACCTTGTGATATGTTTTCGTGTCTTCTGCCCAGCGTGACAGTAACTAGCTTTTTGGAAGGGCAGGGACACGATGTGTTTTATCTTTGTTGGCGATCGAAGAACATGCAAAACTTAAGCCTAGGCTAAAGGACTAAAAATTTTACTGAACTTTTTGCCGAACGTTTCACTGAAAAATGTTAAAACATATTAAGTCTTGTTCAGAATAGGGTGGTCCAACGATAGAACTTTTCGTTGAAAATTTTTCTCTGTGTTCGGTCGCTGCTGAGGCTTGGTGCCTAGTAATGGCCTGGTCTTGGCGGGTAATTTATTTCTGTACCGGCCTAAACTGAACAACTGAAAGGAATGCTACTATTTTCAGAAGTTTTTGTATTTGATACCATAAGCAGCAAATACCTAGCGACTTTAATATACTTAACACCATGAAATTATAATTTGATTAAAACAAAAGTATTTCAAAAAATCAACAAAAAACAACTTCTTGAGTAGAATTATCCAAAATAAACCTCCATTGCAAAGGAAATATGGGAGAAATATTAAAACAACGAAATGAAGAACATAGTGATTTATTGCAAAGCTACACTGACAAGAGTCTGTTTTGTAATATCCGAAATTCCCTTCGCGCCGTTGTACTTCTTGGGACCAATTTAAGCCAACCCTTTAACGGAGAGCCACACTCTGCACTAGAGACAAAACTTCTGAAGAGATTATTAACAAAAGGTATTGATTAACCATTATCAGACGTAGTGACCAAAACTCAAATACCATCAATCAGTAAGAAGGCCAACCTTTGACATTTGCTGTCTTGATATCTAGAATGTATCTATATGAATCGTCTTTTTTTTTACTTTGAAAGTAAAAAAGTAAACTTTCTTAACTAGGGCATGTGTGCTGTGTAAAGGCTTAGGAAACATGAAGGCTTGGAGTGCTGCAGCCTCCTAACCAGGCAACATTTACCGCATTTCAGGCTCCATTCGAGCAGTTCTGTCTCAATGAAGCAATAACATTCAGACAAGATCCATACTTAGCCCCCCTTATCTTTTGCAGTCACCACGCGTTTCAGTTCAAATTCAGTTCAAGTCGAACCCGGGTCAACTAAACGAATGAGCCCTATAAACTGTGAGATTTTATATTCAAAATAAGGCTTTCGATCAGGTCAGGTGGACCTTCTGGTAGCAACCCTTGCACCTTTTTTAAGCAGCACCTTTACTAAGCAGCCTTTGCTGAATTCAACCTATGAAGAGTTTAAGGAGTTTTCAGAAGTAAGGGGGGGGGGGGGGCTTAAGCCATCTTGGTTGCATCCTTGGATTGGAAGTATAGTCGAATGAAATAGTGTTGGAAAGGATTCTTGTAATTGCAAGAAAAGTTTCAGGTTAGTAAAATTGTTTGGCTTTATAAAAAGATATCGTGAAAAGTCACGAGAAGCCCAAAAAATGGCCTTTGCCTTAATGTTGAACAATGGTGTCATTTATATAGTAAATCCTGGTAATCCTCAAAGAAGACCTTATTTTGCAACAATCATCGTGACAATTTCATTTATTCCGAAAAAAGAAAACAAGGATCTGTTTATTTCCTTCAACTTGTGGACCCGTTCTCAAATTCATAATCGTTCAAATTACCCCAGAGGCAAATTAAAATCAGAAATAGATTAGAGAGAAGGATATAGGGTTGGACTTCCATGTTGCAAAGAGAACTTCCCAATAACTATACCCACGGTATATAACCTTAGGGTTGTTCAGAAGAGAACGAGGCCAAGGGTCATTCACTGTCTATACTGCTAAAACCACAGTCTGTATTAAATGAGGACAATATGTCGTGAAATCAGAACATCTAGGCTAAATAATTGGTTTTAAATGTGTTTCTTTTGGTTGTGAAAGAAAAAACTTTAACGAATCGTTTGATAATTTTTCAAAACAAGATGGTTGGCTAAAGGTTTCTAAGCTGCTAATGCTATGACATTCCTTTGCAAGGTAACTATTGGAAAGCCTAGTTGTATTATGGGCCAAGTTGGTATTCACTTTTTTGTAAAAAAATTTAAGGGCGGGATGCTCTATGAAGATAAAAACGAATTGAGCAGTGACACACTCCCAATGCCCCCCCCGCTCCAGTCAGAGTAGGCCCTCGATATCAACTGTCACAACCATTGGATTTCTATGGTCACAACCATTTCTATGGTCACAACAAAATTATATATTGCAAGGGAACGAGGTAAAAGCAACATGCTACGCTCGCGCAGATGTGCAAGAGGTTTTGAAATTACGTTTTTTTGCCACAATAATGAAACTAGCGAAATATTCCCACCAAAATAAGAGCATTTCGTTTGTAGAGAATCCTTATCTGTTTTATGATTCCGATTTTGGGGTTTCCAGAAGAAGTAACTAAACCTGAAGCATGATGCATTTGGAGGGGAGTTATCATGTTTACTTTTCATCGAATGCACTTTTATATTATATATTCGTTCAACGATTAAAGATAAACGATGACTCAGTTCTACAGCCATGGCCTAAAATGCAACAAGTAGCATGTTTATGATCTTCAAACAGACGTACCTGGTGACGGCATGTCGCTGATTTCTGGCTACTAGAATCAACAGCATGGGCCTGATAGATTATGTTTCCAAGAAGCAAAAATCTTTAAACTTTAAAGGACAATATTTACGATACAGATTGCAAAGTACAGCTGGAGAAAGAGAAGTGGGTGGATGAAAGTGTTTGTTTGGGTCAGGCCTACAACGATGGATTTTCGCTGTTAGAAACAGTATCCAGCTATTTTTAATAAAAACCCCGCAGAAAAATATCTTATAATTCATTACTATGCAATAGCTGCAGCACTCCTTGCCGCATGTGGAAGGCTGTTGGAAGGCCTTTGAAAAGCCGGAGTCTTGGACCAGTTTCGCAAAACACCTACTTTGAAACAATGGGTGCGCCAGCCAAAATGGATAAACTACGTTTTTAATCAAGAGTATTCTAGTTTGCGCAACGACGACGTTCAGAAAAGGCAAAAAAGAATTATCCTGTATGTCTCGCTTTTTACGATACCCTGAAGGTTGAGCAGTCTACTGGCCCCAAAATAATCTTGGTCCTTTCCTAAAATCTGGGTTTTAGAGTAAATGAAATTGTTTTGACATTCCCAACAAAGAAAGCAGAATCACCCCCATATGAAAAGGAAACAAATTATTTACTTATAAAAGGCAGTAAAAATAAACCAACAAACCTCTGAACAATAGACGGCTTTTGTGAAATGTGCTAAAAATTGGCCTCGAAAGCTGAAATGACTTCACTGTTCTCCAACCCTTCGACTGACTTCCTTCACATAACTTTTCGTAATTTCGCACGCATTTCATAATCTAGGATTTGGGTTCCCCAGGGCATTACATATTTTTCTCAAACGTCAATCGAACAAAGTGACAACAGCATTCGTATTATAAATAAAAAATTTCATTGTCACCAATTCCAAAAAGTAGGAAAAATCTATACCACAGGAGGCTTTTGCAGACTTTTAGCCTGTCTCTGCTGACTGTACAGGCAAAGTTCTCTTGAATTGGAATTATCTCGAGACTTCAGTAATGAAATTCAATGCAATACCATGAACTTCGTAGTTTTCTTGCTTTGGTTGACTCGACAAAAATTTCAATCAAGGCAAAAAAACGGAGCCTCCCTCATACAACTACGATAGGGTGTGCTCTCTCATCGCTTAGTTTGAATGAGCTCATCCTCAAGAAAATCCCTTGCATACAACATCTTACGTAATTGTGATTTATTGTGTATCACTATATGCAATTCGTAGTTATTGTATGTAATTAATGTTTCTAGTTAGTAAGAGTCGTACGTAGAGGAACTTTAAAATATAAGAACGGAACTGAACTGAACTGAATTATTGAAATATTTTGATGGTTCAAAATTTATTATTGCCTTTAATATTTTTGATATTTCTAGACACTCTCTAAAAAATAAAACAAAAGAAAAAGGAATGAAGATTTGAAGTTGTGAGACGAATAGCCATAGTAGAAAATGTTTAATGCCATTGAATGATTCAAAACAGATTCATTTCCCTGGCATCTTCAGATCAAATCATGCTGATACAGCAAAAACACTGGCCGAATTAAGCAAAAAATATCTTATCAAAGAAGGTAATTTAATTCCAGGGAATTATCGAACATATAAAATTCAGAAAATTATAGTATACATGAAAGTAATGCCAACTTAAAAACAATATCAAGTGCAGATTTTTCAAATAATAAAATTTCTATAGGAATCAGAGCTTGATGAATACAAAAAACATTGGGGATATCAGTAAACTAACGACCTAAACTTTGCATGAGGTAGCAAAATTACATTGAAGTTTGTTGCATAACATTATCTTTAAAACAAAATTCAATGTCATAGAAATTGCAACAATCCAGGGCGAAATACGAATCTTGCATTCAGTATAGTTAATTCAAATAGCTTAATTGAGGTCCTTGAAATATTTAGTGTTGATGGAACCTTGTGAAGTAAGAGGGGTGGGTGGCCATTGGTAAAAGAGATTCAGAGTTATTGACAAATGGTTCAACTGTTTTGGGGGAGCCTTTCTAGAAGGTCTATTTCGGGCGTCTTTTTCTACAGATAATCACGAATTACTAAATGCCTAAGAGTCAATTGTCTTTTTGAACTACAACATCGCTTTGAAGACGCGGATGGCCGATTTTTTAATTTATGGAAGCTTTATTAATAAAATGACTACAAAACACTCCATTTTGGGTTACGTCAGATGGGGTGCAATGTTGAATGAGGTATATATTATGGGTGCTATATTCGATGCTTAGTGCCACGTGCGAAAGACAGCCAAATAAACTCCGACAGAGATTACTCATACGCAAATAAGTGAATATATAATGTCATAGGTGTAATACTGCAGCTGTTTTTGCATAGAAACTGGACAGGACCTTGGCGTGATGGTTTCAAATTCAAAAAAGTGTATTTCAATTTGAAGTTTCCCTGTTTCTTTAAACGTTCACTTGTATGAAAATGCTTGGAAAAATGCGCTATCACTGGTTTAACTAATTAATGAAAGTGTCGATCAATAATAATTTGAATAGGCTAATCTTGATTTGATATTTTGATTCACTGTCATAAAGGACAAATTAATCATCGTGATGGTCAATGGGTGGTGGATTGGCCGACAAAGCCGGACTGTTTGCTCCCTGTGTCAAATAACCTGCGACTCCAACCGGTCCGGTCAGATAGCCAGCATGGGATGACTCTGATATAAACAAGTCATGCTTCTGATCTCGGTATGAAGACCATATCTGACTTCCTTCTAAAATTGCATTTACCTGAAGGGGCGAAAATCGTGATTAGTCGTTCAGAGAATTATGATGTGTGATACAGTGATTAATGATTAGTGATAAATCGCAATATTAAAGAAAGCATACCGCCGTGATTTGGATGGCGGCTTTTCAACTAAAAGTACACCTGTAAGAGTAAAAAACAGACCTACACCCACAATACATAGAGCTTTGCGTGATCATTCACGTCGCATAGGTGGTTTCCCTCAATGCGAAACCAACTTGATAAATAACAAACAAGACTTATTCTGCAAAAAAGGAGAGAACGCGAAAGGTCCGAGAACAAAATACGCTCAACATGATACTTTTACCTTAAAAATTCAACAAGATTGAAAAAAACTACTATGATGAAAATATTTTCAAAATCCTTACAAGGACGGCGTTTTCAGTGCCGCCCAGCGAATCTGTCTAAAGGTCCTATCATAAGAGCTGGCATCATTTGGCGCACTGAATGCCTGCCGTTTCTACACTATGGCCAGTGTTCTAGAGAGATGCTATAAAATATATGAAGGTAATGGATAGAGTTATAGAACCTCCAAATCGTCACGTATATATAGTTTTTGTGAAGATTTCTGCAACTGCCGACTAAAATTTGACCAAAAATAAAGTTGCGACGGGGTTGTCACATGGTTTTCTTACCTCTCCTCCATGGCTTAAATCTCTTGCCATCGATTTCAGGGTTTTGACAATTTGGGCCTTACAACCCGCAGGATTCTTTACATCACGCAGGGGGACATCTAGAAGACTCAATAGATACTGGACTAAATCGACCCGAATTGCCTAGAAAAAGAAATAAAATCAACCATCATGAAAAGGCATGTCTTAACTGAGGGCTGAATAGACCTTTACCAACGATGTCGATGTACAATCAATTTGCAATAGAAAATTATTGAATGCATATGCATGTTAATAAAAGTATAATCTTCAATGCCCCTCAATCTAGGAACCTGTAAACAATTCAGACTACTTTAAAGAGTTACTGAAACTATTGATGAAATGTTCTTGGTTCACAGAAAATTACTTTATTGTTAATAATGTTCAAGACTGATAGATTTTTGGACTCTTTTCGTTTCAAACAACCCGAAAATGCTTTAAACCGTTTCATAGTTGCTTAAACAAACAAGCCACATCGCGAATACCATAGCAAATTCACATTACATGCCTGTGCTACAAGTTCGCTGTTATCTTTCTCGAACATTCGATTCAGGGCCTCAGCTGCGATATTCAAACAATCTGGCCTCACTTTCATCGCCTTAATTATAGCCTCAAGCTCTCTGTCTGTGCCATTGTTCTAACACACATCTAAAAAAGAAATATGATATTTTATTACAAAAAATTCGATTTGGCGTGGTTATTCCGCTGTATTTATTTGTAAATTTGAATAAGATATTTTAAAATAACTTATTCGACAAACATTTAAATGCTTTAGGCAGCTTACAAAGAAGTTGACGGCATTCAAAACTTTAGGCTTACGTAAACTTTATGACAGAATTGAAATTTGGCAATGTGTCCTGATGAGCTACAAAATGAACCACAAAACAACGAATTCACAAGTCTATCAAAACAGCGTTATCTTCTATCTCCGATGACTGAAAAAGCTCACAGCTGAAAAACAGTGGCAGATTCTTGGTTAGGCCAATAAATTCTTGTTAAAAATGGAATGGCAAGAACGCAGCTGCTGACATAAAATATGATGCTGAAGAAGAGCGTCGTACCTCATTGTCTGACAAACAGTGGATAACAAGTAATGCAGATTTAGGTATAGCATTGTTTGATGAAGCCATTGATTGGAAAATTTGGGGAATATGACCCAAGGCAGGCACCTGAAAAGAAACCAAATATATATTGTTGTCATAGTTGGAGATAAAAAAATGATGCCACATTAAAAGATGTTCTTAAACTGATGACATCAATAGAGAAGTAACTTAAAAAATACAGTCACGCAAGATTTTGCTGGCTAATGGGAAGGAAAAAGTTCTCTTAGTGAAAGACGCTTTGCTAGACACCAGATTTCATTTGACAGTAGCATGTTCCTCGGCCCTCTTCGGCCCTCTTCGGCCCTCTTCGGCCCTCTTCGGCCCTCTTCGGCCCTCCTCGGTCCTCCTCGGCCCTTCTCGGCTTTGGGGCCTTATTCAGTGTATCAAAAGGAAATCAGAAGGGAACCATCAGTTCGTATTGACGAAACAGTGCATACGAAAGGTAAATACCTGATCAGCAAGTGGGGGTTGGGCAGAGAAGAGACAGACGAGTGCTTGTGTGACAGTCTCCAACACCTCATCCTGTGGTGAAAAATACATCGAGCTTACTCACAAACAATTCAAATGTAGCGGTAACAAGACAGCGATAAAAGAAAATTCGAAAAGAGGAAAATGAAAGTCGTTCAAGCAGAATAAAGTTTTGAGATTAGTGGTAAGAAGTGTTAAGTCCCGGGTTTGACACAATTCTTTATTATCGTTATTCTTCATTATACATTGAACGCTCAGAAATGTTGAAAAACTGTCATTAAATCATTTGACTTTATAATGATGAAAAAAGACGATATGCTAGAAAAATAATTATAAAAAGAAAAGAACTTCAGCCTAGGATTGCCTCGAAGTTTGATTAATTAAAAAATTTCCTGTCTGCTGGAGGCTTTAGGCTAGCGTCTTCTCAATTTTCTTTATGTTCTTGACATAAAGCCTCTTTCCAGACAGTAGGCGTTCGATGCTAATTAGGCAATATTTGATTGGCCTCGTTTCTTCTCTGCCTTCAGATAAGGAATGGACAGAAACTGAAACGTTTCAAAGAGACTAGGAATCATTTGAACTTCTTCCTACCTAGCTTTATGGAGCTACAAATACGCAACCAGATGTTGTTACAAGGTGAATTTACAAACTTACAGAGATTAATAACCAGTACCACGACAAAGAAAAAAGATATCATGTATTCGTCAACTTCTTGCTACATCGTGGACAATTCCAGTTAAGACAAATCCATTAAGACAGACTTAAATTTTCGAAACGTTATTCAATTTAATTTAATGCATTTGTCGTAATGCCTAAATTGGAACTGTCTTAATGTCTTAATGGATTTGTCTTAACTGGAACTGTCCACGATGTAGCAAGAAGTTGATGAATACATGATGTCTTTTCTCTTTGTCGTCGTACTGATTATTAATTTCATTATTAAGATGCGTTTTCCGAAATCTCAAACTTACAGAGCCTCCAGATTTTGACGTTAAATTGACAAATTTGTCCATTATTGAAACCATAAAATCCTTTGGCTTTCTAAGAACCTGTTGAAAAAACAAATAAGGTTTTTATCAATTTATTTGAAAAGTGTACACGGAAATGCCAGAAAATATTGGCATCACTTATCAAGGTTTTGTTAAAACTTTGGCAGCGAAACAAAAACAAATTCAGCAAGAAGGATAAGGATTTATAATGTTGAATATGACAGTTGGTGGTGATGATGACTTTGAATTATAAAGATGAAAATGACATCAATGATATTGATCATGACATCACCATCAACAGTGCACATGAAAAAATTCTAACTTTTATTAAAATGAGGGTAGCAATAATCATATATTTGAAAAGAGTGTTAATCTTGATCTGCAGATAGGCGATGGGGATCAATGCCTACGAAAAGTCTTGGTAAACTACACTAAATGCTTTAATTTTTTATACCCCTCCTCTTCTCCAATCAGAGTTGTTTTGTGCTTGGTTGAGAAGTTCGACGGGGTCCAATGATTTCCTTTCAGATATATACGATACTTAACTCTACCACCAACAGTGTAAGGCGAGAGAGGGGATGCGATGTCGGTTTTTCCCAGAAAGAGTTAATTTTTCACCACAATGAGAATTAACGGACATATATACCAATGTTCTAAAAACAATTTCAAATTCCATTCAAATTGAATTGGCAATGAGCTGTATCTATAAACATATTTGTATGGAACGTCTGACAACAAAAGGGAATTTTTGATTGGTTGCCTATTAATAAATGTGTAGGTTAGCCAGTTTTATATCCAAGCATTCACTTCCTCTAAGAGGGCGTTTAAAGGGCTTTTGGTGGATAATTCTACTGCATCTTACCCAATTTGGTTGAGCAATAAACAGCCTCAGGAAAACGCCACCTACAACCAACTCTCCTTCTACGTCATCGTAAGTAATCGAGAAATCATCAGGGAGCTAAAACCAAAAAGAAGGAAAACTTAGAGACTACAAATGTAACATCTGACTGGGTGTATCTGATAATAAAGAAATACAGCGTCGCAAGAGATCTTGTGGTATAAACATGAAAAAAACAGAAAGGAATGGATTGAGAAAAAAGCAGAGGTCAATAGTTCTCTTAAGATGTAGAACTGGGTTGATACCGTCTCATCAAAGACACCTCCAGAAGAGCATTCTAGTGTATATTGAGGTTTGAAATGACCTATTTAACAAAGGTAGCAGAGAGCGCAAAATCAAAAATATATGACAGATATCAATACAAACTGCTATGAAAGGGCAAGTTATAGAATCCAAAAGGGGGGAAAAATGTTTCTTCTCTCCTCTTTTACGTTAAATTGGTCAAATAAGAATGCATTGTTTGAATAACAAAACCATAATGCCACTGAAAAAACAAGAATTTAAAGGAAATATAACACAAAGCAAGTATGATTGACTCAAAGCACTGTACCTTCCAGGTAACGTACGGATCATCTTTCTGTGCAATGTAATGGCTATATGAAAAAGAGATCATGAAAGAGACTTATAAACACAATATGCGGATCAAATATGAACTCGTCTGGAATTACCACTTCACCTAAAAGAGGTTCCTAGCATTGATAGCAACATTCTAGAAATTAGAAAAGAAAAACGAAAAAATATTTTCAAAACAAGGACTATCAAATCTACATTTTTTGACAAGAAATTAGCCTGCATGATGAAAAGCAAAGATAAATATACAAATTCCGTTTCCTTTCAAAGTTAATTAAAACAAAATAACGGGAGAGTCAGTCCATAAATTGATTTACAAGACGAAAATAATCACACAAATAATGATTTCCAAAAAAGAAAATACTGACTTGTCTTTCATTCTTTTCACAGTAGCCGAAACCCTTTCCCTCGCTTCATCATTCCAAATTAATTCAGGATTTTCATGATTTGCTAAAAGGTTGATATAAGGATCTTAGAAATGTTTAATATAGATGAATAGAAACTGTTAAGTACAATAAAATTTAGATATCTACATGGAACAAAGATATATACTTGGCACAAAGAAATATGCTCGACACAAAGATATATATACTTGACATCACTTCACGTCTTAAAGGCAATCTGTCACGACGTTGATTGATTATAAGAACAAAGGGATTTTTTATTGTTTCCAGTCCCCTTTTAATTTATCGCATTGTAAAAAATATGGCGGAGCGCTGGAATCGTGTTTAGGCTATTTTTCCAGCTATTGTTCTCGTTAACCAATCAACAACGAGACAGATTGCCTTTAAGTGCTTAACAAAGATTATTGTTGAGGGACTGTTCTTGGGATGTATTGTTCCTACTTTTGCTGTTGCTGCTGTTGATGTTTCTATTGTTGCTGCTGATAATAGCTGACGACGATTATGATGATTATTATGATTGACTTTATCGGAAATCCGATGTGAATTCTTCCATAATCTGCATTTTAAGATGATATATCCAATCTACAAACTAACAACAGAACAGATCGGTTATGACATCACTCCTATACAGAACGATATGAACGCTGGCCTCACCTTCAAACATATGAACGCTGGCCTCAGGACTATCCCTCATCGCATCCATGAAAATAGAAGGTAAAAACTTGGATAAAATAATCTTGACTCTAGGCCCGATGAGTTTATCGGACATCATTTTAGAGAATAATTCTGCCGCTCGCGATCGGACATTTGGATTAGAAGAATTGCAGAACAAGTCCAGCAAATAAATAACAGCACCTAGAAAATAAAAAAAAAATCTTTCTGATAGTGAAAGACTTTTTAGAGGGGGGCTAATTCGATTCGAGGGGGGCTTTTATAAATAATCTACAAGGTGTCAAACAAATAGCTCGATTTGTAGCTATTTCAAGATTTTCAAGTTTATTATACTTGCAATTATACTTAACAACTCGTTCTAAGAAACAATACTAAATAAATATAGAAAAAATTGATATATTCCACTGTCGTTGGCCGTCTCTTCGTCAATTTATCGCTTATTTAGGGTTTCAATCATTGACAAAAATGGTGTAAATTTGTTATGCAAGTCGTAGCAGATAACTGCGGCTCTCATACAATTTCGCAGGCAAATATCAATAAATAATGAAACCTTACCAAAAGGAACAGTTGTACTTACCCTTTGACATGGCCTCTTTGACAATTTTAGTGTTTGATATTAATGCATGCAAGGTATCAAGAACAAGCAATCTACCTACAAGAATGCAAGAAAACCACTGTTTGAACTCTGACATCTTGAATTAGCTGTGGAAGACTTACTCATTAGAAGGAAGTGATAATGGTTAGAGAATTAAGAAAAGATGATTGCGGTTCCTAATGGGCTTGGTGTTAACTGTTTTAAAGAGATGAATATCGTCATGAAAATTCTAAGTCATATATATTCTTGAAACCGACACAGTTGCACCGCTTGCTCATAATTAAAAGATGACATCTTGGCAAATAGTGCCCGCATCTAAAAGTCGGGCCTAGTTCCCAAAACTGTCTCTGGTAATACTCTTGTTTGGACTTCCTTTAAAAGAATAATGGTTTCCTTCCTTGAATACCGTATTTCCTCTAATGAACGCCGCCCTCTGATAAACGCCGCCCTCTATTGAACGCCGCACTTTAAGCCAACCATTTAGAAAAAACGCCGCCCTCTGATTAACGCCGCCCTCTATTGAACGCCGCATCTTGAAAAGCGGCGTTCAGTAGAAAACAAACCAAACAAGAAGTAAGGAATCGTTTATACGCTTACTATTCGAAAGCCATGAAAGTTTTTATCTCATAGAGACGAGGACTCTGACGGAGACAGGGATATTGACAATCCTTGACTTGACTTGACATTCTTTTTATCTTTTCTCATCGCATTCATTTTGTATTGAACGCCGTCCTCTGATGAACGCTGCCCTCTATTGAGCGCCGCATCCAAAATTTGGAGTTTGTATTAAACGCCGCGGCGTTCTTTAGAAAAAAGTACGGTATGAATAATGGTTTCAGTACTTAAAAAGATGAAATCGGTAAGAGGAAAACAGGAAAAAGAACGTTAGGCCATACTTGGAGGAAGGGTGTTGAGTGTGAGGAGCAAGTAAGCAAGAACATCTGCATCAGCGATGTTTGCCACGCATTTGCTGTTGCCCGTAACACCAGCTATGACCTGAAAATCCAGAAAGGAAGCGAGCCAGTTAAAAATACATAACTTTGGCTAATTGCATCACGGGGAGTTTGGTCAATAACTAGGATACAAATCTGAAAGCCAAGAGCCGAAAATTAAAATCAGTAAGGAAGTTTCTTAATTTGCCTGCAAGATAGGCTGCCTCGGTAAACTTCAAAGTTCGATAATCATTCACTTTAAACGACACCCAGGGGAATAAGCATATTCAAGAATTTGCACTGTTTATGTAGGGAAAAGTGACAGCTGCTGTTGCTCAAAGGGGTTCCTTCTACATTCTATTACTACAACGCCCTCGACACGATGCTAGACTACATCAAACCTCGGGCAAATGCTAATTGCGCTGGAATCGTAGGAGCTTCATTAAGTTAAAATCTCGCGAAAAATTCTGCACACGCTCGAATCAACCCAATTCTAATGCAACAATTACAACCCTTGTCACTAAATAGAACAGAATTAAAAAATTGACATTTTTTTTGCAAGGTTACGCATGTAATGGCCTTAAAACAATATCATATTTTATGAATGTTTGATCACGGTGTTTGGTCACCACGAGAGTGATAAAAGGACAGGCCAATGATAAATATAAAGCTATTGTTATACTGTCAAGCTTAAATTTGGCAATACCCAGAACAATTCTCAATACCAGTTTCAAGGTTTTATCAAGTGCAAAAGCAAATACTGAGGTGTCTTTTTCAATTTTGATTGCAATTTCATAACAGACAAAATGTTGGTTGCGAATTTTCATAATTTCCGCTGAGTCTTCAAAGATAACGACCGAAAAGTTCAAGAAAGAAAATATATACGAAGTTGTGGATCGAAATAGGCCATTCTGAAAACGCAAGCACATGACCGGCATAGTTACCCAATCAGTGCTGCGTGCCTATAGAGAAATTAACACACGAGTCCAAGAGTGAAAACGAACTCCTTCTGTCTACACAATAGCGGATTTTTCTTTTTGATGTGGATCGATTCCAAAGCTGCTGGGTGAAAAGACGACCTGGTTCAGGCAGTTATCTGAAACATGTCGTCATTATAGCTTTTGGGTTGTCTAAAGAAGTTGTACGATGTGAGAATCACTTGTTTTAACGGTTTTTTTGACATACAAGATCGACAGCGTAGTCTTAAATGCAAGACGCAATATTCTGTAGGAGAAAAGGAGAACCTAAATTAAATGCCTTAAAAATCAAGAAGCTTAGGTGTTTGGAGTTGCAACGGAACACCACCTAAAAAATTACAAGAAAATATCTGAAAACTGGCAGGTCTTACCTCTAGTGCTAGCTGCTGCAGCTTATTTGCGCCAGTAAGACGTAGTAAGGAGAACAGCAATTTAAAATGGCCGATGCATCGAACTTCAACACCTAAAAGAAGGCCCGAGGCAATCACAACCATATTTTTCGAAGAAATAAGCTCTATTAGCATATGGAAAGTTCTAATGGCTTGGTTTATGAGGCCTTGGAGGCAGTAAACAAGTAGTTTTCAAAAAAATGAAACAATGCTTGATCACAGTAAACGATAAGTCATCGAGAAAAAGGGAAAATCTTCAGATAAGTTTGCAGATCCACATTCGACAGAGGTTGACTTGCATCAGGTTAAGAAATATTCCGGCAAAGATTTATTGCTTTGATTACAGAAATAAGGAACAAAGAGGTAAAGATTTATATATCAAGAATGTCTTCGTTCTGAGAAATTCTAAAAAGATAAATAGCAACTTGGAACCCAGAACTATTTCTTGACCAAAATGATTTCGTTTGTTCAAAATGATCTTCCGTGTATAACTGCAGGCATAACACTAAGGGACAATATAAACCATGCTATGTATAGAATAAACAAGACCAGGGGAGTAAACAAGAGGAGCCAACATGGGGAGCCAACCAGGGGAGATAACTAAGGGGGGAGACAGGGAACAATAGGAAGGAGTTCAAGCCCCTAATTATAAGGCAGAGGGTTAGGCAAATGCGAATGGACATATTGCTTAACAACTAACCTGAAAAAACTAACGAAGTTTATTCGTTACTTTTATAAAGTCAACCATTGAACCAGAATTCAACAAAATTGCTTTAGCGATGGATATATAGAATGCAGGAAAGGAAAGGCAACCGAAACTGACCTGGAGAATTCTTGATAACATTCCTCAATGCCTCAAGAGCCATTCTTATTTTGTCTAATCGATCTCGGTGTCCACTGGTCTTACTTGTGTCTATTTCTGATGACGTCAATGCCATTAGCGAGTGAAGATACTGGGTAAAAATAACAAAATCATGCAATCAATAAAATTACAAGCACTCCATATGCAGTTATCAAAAAAGTGGCGCTTGTCTCAGAATTAACTTTAAATAGATAATCAATTTCAAAAAATCAATTTAGTTACCAGTTAACATAAAGCTATCAACTGTTATATTTTGTGACTATGGCAGCTTCAAAATCAAGTTAACCATACCTTGCAACTTTTCATGGGCAATGGCGATTCAATTCAAATCAAGATCGTGGACTTGCTGTATCGTAAAACTCAAATAAATCCATCAAAAGATATAGTTCCTGGTACTTTTCATACATAGAAAATCTTTTTTCAGGGTTTTTATAAAATACTATTAAGAAGTTAGGAAAGCCCGACATTGGTTTTTAAATGGACCTCCAGGAGACTCATAGACAGAGATATATTTTTGAGTCATATGAAAACACATAGCAATGTGTCCACAATGTGGCTGAAAATGCTCTTACCTGTGCTTGGGACCCGAGGTAATCTATCAAAGCCTCTCCAAATTTATGTGGCTCCTAAAAAGGAAAAAAACCTCAGTAAACCTATCGATCTATAAGTTAAAGAAAATTTTCGTATTTTTTTTATAACAGAAACTTTTTTTATAAAAACCTTTGTAGTTCATTTTACCGAAGCATTGCTTATGTGGAAAATGGGATATTATCTCAGTCAACCTTTAGAATATTCTTGCGTTTTGACTTCCCGAACATTTCAGTTTTGTAACAAAACTTCAGTGCTACAGTTAAAACAATTGGCAGAGTGACACACCTCAATTCTTCATGAGTTGGTCTGTAAATTTCAAGCTGGTGCAAAAATTCCTTGGTTTGTAGGTAAAATCGTCTATCGGGCATCTAAATTTCTCTTCATCTATGTCTTCGTCAGTAAATTTTACTACTCATGACCTTCCCCCCCCCTCCCTAGTCTAGAAGGATAAGCTATGCCGCTGACAAATGGACACTAGAATGCATCAACATTCGCTATCGTGATAGTCATTGGTAAGATATCTTGATTTGAAAATAGCAAATCAAAGCAAAATATACGAAGTTTGAATCAAATGAACCAGTCAAACAACTCTCATTCAGTATATAATACGAACGAAACACAGTCAAGTTACCTCTAAAACAAATGTCGGCTGCTCATTGTAAACTCGAACGAAAATGTCCCCAACAATCAATTCTTTGTTATGGTCCGAGAAAACGAATTCTGCTCCGAAGGATTGATCGCACTCATTCTAAGACGAAATAAAAGTTTTCAAATATGTTATAATTAAAGATAATGCATAGGCTTGTATGATTCCTGGATTAAAGGCCTAGTTAGAGTGACTTTACAAATCACTTTACGAATTGCATTTTTCATCAGAACAGGACTGGCCAAAAGTATTTCAGCAGGAGAATTACGTGTGTAGTTTAACGAGACACGTGATTGGCTATTGGTAAACAAGATTTACGAGTAAAATAAATTTGATAAATATTGTTTATCACCAAAAACAGAAAAAAATTATGGTAGAAAATGTTAAAGTATAATTTCATTCCTTCGAATAATAAATTTTTTAACTGAGCATAAATTATTTTCCACCCTCCCTAGAGCAGAACCGCCCGCCATTCATGGTCTGGTAAAGCATGTGAAAGACGCTTGTTCATCAAAGTACAACTTCAAAGAATCCACGCAATATTGAGTATAAAACTAAACATTTTGAATATCAAAATCTTCAACCTTTTTAAGGTTTACAAAATGATTAATATATCACCCTTTCTATCTTCATTTTCTGTTGTTTTTCCAGGAAATCTGTAAGTTCTCCTCGAGTTCCATTATCCCAAATCAAATATGGATTCTCGGTGTTGCTATTCAACAGTTTAAGGATCTGTCAAATAAAAATTCAGCAATAATTCAAGGAAAATTTATTAACTAAAAAGATATATGACCCATGAAAGCTCCAGAATATCCAATCAATCTAGAATAGGGTGTCTCAATAATTTTCGAGAACAAGCTTGCCTAAAATGAAGTACATATTTTAAAGCTGTTGTGGGGTTAATAATGGAAGACTGGAAGACCGGTAGCATCTTTTTTACGAGATTAATTGAAAAACTTGAGATCATCCAGTATTCTACTGCTAGAACAATTGCGGGAACATGGAAAGGAACATCAAGAGAAAAAAGCTGTACACAAAACAAGGCTGGGAAGATGCAGAAGATTGAGCGGACGCCTGTCTCTGTTCTGCAAAATAATCAATAATTTAACTCCCAGTTTAAACTAAGGATTAAATAATCCCGCCATCTCAACAGTTACATTGCTCGAAACCAAGATGTCGTTGGGCGGATAAAAGCCAGAACAGGAAAACTTAAATCCAGTGTCCGTCCTCTCTGCTTATTCGAATGGAAATAATACTGAAACTTACACTGTTGCTGTTTTTTAAAGAAGCTTCTATAAAAAATAAGACCCTATTAAGATCAACCTTTGGCTTTTATGACCCAACAGGTCTATCAATATTCAGAAATTTAAAAACACCAATGTGCCCTACAAACGATGGTATCGATGACACGGAATACTTCTTTCTGCTCTGCCTTTGGATATATAAAACTTAAAAATAATGTCCTAATGCATACTATTTTGCATGGTGATAAAAACTTTTCCCACGAGAAAAACAAAAATATACTCCTGCTAACACTAGAAATTATCCAAAATCTAGTCGATTTGATTAGAAAATTGAACACTCTGAAATAAGCCATACAGATGCAGCCACTATGTCCCATTTATATAAAGATATTCTTCTTTTATTTGCATTTATTTTGCTTTTCTTTTAGGTCGTGAATTTAACGATATAGGTCGGGGTAGTCATAGCCTTCTGTTCCCCGGGGTTTCGTCAAAGTATTATCGTACAGTTGTATAGTATTTTGTGAAAATAAGCTTAATTTCTTAAAAAGTCTAGCTTATCGTTGACGACATAGGGCTTCTTTGTTTGCGTCAGTGTTGGTTTGTTTCGAATCTTTCTAAACTCTTCTGGTTTAGAAACAGTTCTGATTTAAATGTCAGCTAATATTCAAGCAGGGTTTGCCAAGGCAAAGGTGCCATTAAACGTGCACTTTCAGAGACCTAAATTATTTTCTTTATTTACGGTTTAGCTCCCAAGGCGAGATAACCGACTGTATGCGCTAGGCAAACTCATTGCTCTCCAAAATATGCACAGTGCAAAAAGCTCTCTGCAAGTGAGCATTATTTTCAGTTTTATAATCTTTGTATTGTATGGCAAGCAAACTGCAAAAAATCACCGAAATTATCTGATGGAAAAGTGAAGATGGAAAAATAACAAACAATTATATAAGACGTCAATTGACAAACATCCAAGACTCATTTTTAAAACGTTACATTCATTCCAAGAGGAAAGGGGACATTGTATTTCAGTTGTAACGTTATTAACGTATTATAAATTTAGAACGGCTTAAGATGATAGCTTAAAAATAGAGAAAGCAAAGAGATAAACTAAACGCAATAGAACCCTGAAAAAAGTTTTCCTTTCACTCCTATGACTTCTCCTATTTTAGTTATCGTTATTTGGAAATCCAAGCAATACAGCGACATGGCTTGGTAAGAATTTCCTTGGCAGTAAAGTGACGACTTTCAACCTGAGAATCAGCAATGCCAAAAGCACCCTATCAAATCACATCAAGTTGCTATCAACAGCTGCAGCAAAGAGATTAGTATTTACACAAATTCAGAACTTCAAGGTCTCTGCAACTTAATTTCGTACAGCTTCCTTGAAAAACCAGCTTCGTAAATTCACAGGCCGAGAAAACCAGAATATTTGTCGTTATGTTCGATACTGTAACTTACTTCATGTGGACTCTCTTTCACTAGCTTTTTCGTAACATATGACGTCAGCATTGCTGTGAGTGATTTCTTTACCGCTGGATTGTCCGGGGTGTTGTTTGGTGCATCTGTAATATGAAAAAGCAGTGTATCCAGCAATTTTTGAGAAAAATCATGCCAAAATATAAGATTTACAAAATTGGAGATGATTCATTTACAACCCTGGACAAGTATAAAATTCCCTTGACTTTACACACATCAGTATGATTGTTCAGGTTACCAGCATTATCAGAGTCATAAAAACGGAAAATACGATTTGATTTGAAGAATTATTAAAAAACTGTATGTATAATCTACTATAAACTAAAACACAAAAGAACTTAAACACAAAAACAGCCTGTCCTTTTATCGCAATAGCTGCATCATCTGGTTTACTATAACAACTACTGAAGGAGGTCAAATGAATTGTTATTATCATTACTCTAAACAGAATTGAACTATGCATGGAGGTTAACTGGATAATATTGATAAGGTTGTTCAGGACAACGGCGATCAGGAATGCGACTGCAAAGACAATTGCTGGATCAGAGTCTTAATTGACAACAGCTTCTACATATAAAGAAATACAACAGATATAGAATCAAAATAAGAGAACTATCTTAAGGTTGAAAGTACCTAAAAAGCCGGCCATCCGAGCGAGCGCTCTGATGCTGAGTCTTGCAAGGCTGTTTGCCAATTCCTTTAAAGGAGCAAATGGTAAAATTCAACATAGATATGCGACGACAGCTATTAGATAAGCACTTAGAAAATGCCAGCAAAATCACTGAAGGCTAAAGAAATACAGCAATCAACTATGAAGGCAAAGAAAATGACACTGGATAATTCTGCTTCATGAAAATCTTTGTAAGTCAATTGCTGCAAAATTCAGCTTCTTTCAACACAAAAATAACTGACAAAAACCAAACTTGATTAACCACCCAGATTACTATTTGCTTTTCTTAATCACAATTGTCATGTTACTATTGTTAATCAATATTTATATGTCTTCTTCTTTTTTATAAAAAAATTTTACTTGAATGGATTTTCGTTATGGAAAAAAACAAGATATGTTCTGTTTTCTTGGTATCGTAAATATGCAAGCCTTTATAAAAGTTAACACCTTGTTGTGATCTGTTTCAAAGCAGAAACGTTTATTAAAGAGAGAAGGCGGCATGTATGCCCACTAAAAACATAAACAGGAGGGAGCATCAGGATATGACAGCATCATTTATACAACAACCATGATTATTTGTAGTCAAGATTATTTGGAGGGTAACAACATCCCCCTCTCTGTCAATAAAAAGTTATCTTGTTGATCGTAATATTCTCGTTTGTTCACGGTTGATTTTCATAGTTTAACATCACCAATTATATTTGCGAGCATTGGCCTAATATTTTTATTGTGCGAAGCAATCAAAACGCAAGTTCATTAAGTTGATCAAAAGACAGACCAACTTGCCTCTATAACTTTAAAGAAGATTATGGAGGGACCAACAGGTACAGGAAGGTAATATAAGCCAAATCCACCTGATGGTATTCATGGGAAATGAGAAAAGCTTTGCCATTTAAAATTAGTGCTAACTAATCTGCTAACAGTTCTCGATGCAGTACAAACGTAGCAGTTCATCGTTTGTCGTGAAAAATAGCTTGCTCTTAGTTTCTTTCCAGAATCACACATTCGAAGCAATTATCAAGCTATCACATATCCGAAACACGTTGAGCTGCCCGAGAAGGTAAATTCAGAGCCGCCTTACTATACATACCAAAAAGTACTTTGGTTATGAGGGACGACTGCACTTTAGCGCCCACATTTTTGTTCCCTGGTCGGAAGTTGAATTGAATTATAAACCTTTCGATCTAACAAGGATTCTGAAACAATAGGAACAATATGATAACTGGATATAGAAAGAAACTTATTCTTGATTTGTCTGATGCATGGTTCATAATTACCTGCTGATTTGATTCTGCAGATGCTTCAACTCCACTTTCTGATAAAGTGTAATCGTATTGGAATAGAAACAGCAACAGATGCCAAAGGGCTCCGGACTGTAAGAGAAAAAAATTTGATATTGCAAAGCAGACTTGCGACAGCAAATGAACAGGGGAACAGCTGAGGAAAAAACTTTTGCTTCACAAGTTAATAGTAAACTGTTAGGACGTTGACATTAACAGTCACTTTGAAAACAAAAGATAAACAAGGATGAATTCTACTGTGCAACTTACCTGGAGAAACAGTGTTTGCAGCCAGAAATCGACGCTAAAGTTACTGATACATTCCGCAACGATGCAGCATAAAGGTGTTAAATTCTACGACAGAAGAGGTGAACTGTTAGTACATATGTTTATAAGGGTAAAATCTACAAAGCAACCAATGTACAAAGCTTCTCCCACTGACCGCCCATTGTATGATACATTTAACGCATAAAACCCAGAGAGGACAAGACAAGACACATTATTAAACAAAAATATGCATCATCTTCGCGTCTTTTTTGTTGCCTGGATCACAGCTTTTCACAAAGACGCATGAATTATCTCATGATTAAAGTCTCTTAGGTAGAAATAGTTCTTAAATCTACGAACACAGCTCTTACGATAGAAAAGAAGTCAATAGTTATCAGCTTTAACAAAGTTACGATAATTATCTGAAGGCTAATTTGGAATTAAACTTGAGCATGTCGATCCAAGACTTGCTCTTTTCTACCATTAATTTCCAGAGATTGCTTACTCGGTCATCTCCTTGAAAACAACTTTTAGATTTGTTTTAAAACCACTTTTTACGTGCCAAGGAGAAAATGGTAGGGTATCACCTGAACTAAAACTTTGTATTTCCCACTAAAAATATCTTACATCTCTTCTACTGTTCCCATCCCAAATTCCTATAACCCGGCCAGAGGATCCCACCGATGTGATTTGACCATCCGCTAATCCCCCTTGAAGTCTTTTTAATCACCTCCTTTAACTAAGAGATAGCCGTCATTGGGAAGTTATCATCTGGAATAGATTTCATGCGGCTTTGCTTGTACTCAGCCATACCCAATGCCATGTTTCTCACGACACCGTTAGCCCACCACCAAAAATATACTACGCCTTTTATTGGCAGAGTTATACCTCACTAAACCTTCAAAGTCCGCTAAATAATGCAGCTAAAAAGTGCCAGAAAATAGACAAAGGAATTCAATATGTCATACCTTGCAATGCAAAATACGGCAGAGGTCGTGGACGATCTGTGGTATTTCAGTTATTTTCTCTCTACACTCTTCAAATAAGGCAGCGACAGAGTAACATTTTACAATATTCACACTGATCTGCACAGGTACATCTTCCATTTTTGAGTCACTTAATATGGACTGGATGCAATGGTGAAACGTTTCTTGCAATACCTGCGGAAGTGAAAAAGGACAACTGGCGTTAGAGAAATACCAAAGAGAATCCCCTATCCTTGAAATATAAAAAATAGGGTGCTCTGCTGTTAAAAATCAAAATATTCATTTAAAGCATCGCAGGTGTTAGAAAAAGCGCTGGCTCAAATTTTTAAGAATTCTACAAATTTATTTTCAAAACTTTTATAACTCAGGTGAAACATCAACCTCGCAATGAAACACCAACCTCAATTCCATTTTCTCGCCTGAGCTCCTCCACATTTAAAGCTGAACAATTTATAGTATGGAATGCCAGTTCGCTTGCTGCTGGAAGAAGGGGCGTTTTCTTCGAGAATAAACTGTTGTCGGCTGCCTCCATTGTTATGGTCTTGATTAACATTGGGTAGCCCGCGTATTTGTAAGGCTCAAGAACTGAAAAGTGAAGGGGATTTGAATCATAAGGGAACAAAACAGCTGAAAATTATATCAGAAAAAGTTCAGACATAAAAAACGATTCCATGCTGGAAAATACATTAGGAGGTTTGTCTCGGGTAATAAGGAAATAATGGAAAGTATGAAGGCTATGAAATGGCTATTAAAGAGCCACCAGCATTAAAATACAACGATGGTGCTTTTCGTTGGAAGGTATCAACGAAGCATTTTGAAGAAACATTTTTAAATTTTCATCAGTTAAATTTATCCAATATTCATACGTTTGTTTCACCGATTTATGCAGCCTCCACTAGCTTAAAGATTTAATTTCAATTTAATGACTATGAAACGTAAAACTATTCTGATTCGCATATAGTAAAATGTTTACTGTGTTTTTATATTTCATTACAGGAAGTCACTTTAATTAAATTTAAAATTAAACCTTCAACATAGAAAAGACACAAAGGCAAAAATTTTAAAATGTGAATTATGAATAGAAAACACACCATCTTTGTATCTTTTGAATAAAATTGATTGCGCCTTTAGAATCAAAACGATGTTTTCAGGATCTGGACCATTTATTTGCTTTTTACTGCTGCACAAGTACTCGTAAGCTCTTGAAACTTTATCGAAGATATCCTGCAAAATCAAAGCGTTTGAAGAAAAGACCGTATTTGAAAAGCCAGTTCAACTGATTAAGATATAACTTAACAAATATATGATTAGGGCTACAGAGACGTCATAGAAAAAGCAGAAAAGTGATTAGTACAATGCCAAATGATACGAAAGAATATTGCGAATAAAATTCTTGACGAGGTTCCACATATTAAAAAGGAACATCCACGAGGAGCAACAAAGCAGAGCACCAATGCGGAGGCGCCTTGCATCACAGTTGGTTAAATTGTATTCGTCATCTTGATATCTGTGTTCATCTAGACAAATCTAATTGTTGACAAAGGCTCATCTCTTAGATATCCCGGGATTCTTTATTACACCATAAGACACAGCATTACTTACCCTTCCTTCTGGGTTTTTGTCAGGATGGTATTTTTGAGCAAGTCTGTAGTATGCTTTTCGTACTGAAGACTCGGTGTGCCTATAGATAAAAGATAAGGTGGAGATTACTGATCTAAGAAACAATCACTATGGACAAAAACTCTACACCGAGAATCCAATTGGATAGAAGGGACTTTGTGGGATTTCGAAATAAATATTTCTTCTAAAAATGATCCCAGTCTACAGGATTTTCAAGTAAACTTGCATACTTTAGACAATTCCATGTATGGAATTAGGCAGCTAAAACTGATTTCTACAATGAAGATAGCTCTTCACATGAATTCACTCACTCTTTTCCAGGTGGCAGTTTGAGGACATTGTGCGCTTCCTCAATGGTGAGATCTGGAGGCTTCTTTTCAACCTCATTCTTCCATGCTTCTAGAATCTCTTTCAGCAATTTCACCTGAAAAAGTTTGAAAATATCAGATGATTTAGAAAGGGAAGATGTCTACAAATTCAGCCGTTAAAAGTAATACGAAACCATATAAAACAGAATTAAATCAGAGAAATGCTGCTACGAACATATCTTAAGGCAACGAAATGCTGGTATAAAGAGTAAAAACATTATGTCTTCGTGCGATGCCCAGTTATGCAAATTATGTTAAAAGAAATAGGTGAGTACTTACAGGTTCTTTCACGGGCCAGTCTGGGAATTTGGTAGTGTCGCAAAGATGGCGCAAGTAATAGATATTGCAGAACAGCTCGTTCTCGAGTTGTGGGTAATCGATAGCTGGTATCGGGCAATACTAAATGTAAAAAAAGAATGAGAAATAGATTTTAAATGAACTGATAAATAGGATATAAAGAAGTTTTGACAATAAATCAGTTGATGTTGGAGATTTTCAACCATCTAATGGTCAATCTACAACAGTTACAACAAGCGAATCCGGATAGAATTAATTCGATTAGCCGGGCATCGTACGTGCCAAGAAGGTTTTTAATGGAGTAGCCAATCACAGGTCGCCTAGGGTCAGGGGACAATCACTTGCTATCAAGACATCCAGCATAATGTTTATTCGTATTCGCCATACCCACCCCTACAATTTACTTTTAAATTTATACGGTACTAGGCTGAAAAGGGAAATGGTTTGTGAAACCAGTCGTATATTTGTTGTTTGTTTTGAAACCTTTGTACAGGATTTTAAGACTGTAAAGTTTGCTGCTCTTAAATTCTGGAAGCATTTTCCGTCATCTTAAATCTTACGGCAGAGTGATTTGTACTTTCATTATACGTCAATAAAATCCAGTGTGTTATGATACCAAAAGAATCTATGATATGAAACAAAACAGCGGACGATGGACGACGATTTGAAATAAAAAAGCTGGTATTACCTGATACAAAGCTCGTATATTGCTCTTCAGTCTTGGACTAAAATCTGAGATGTGTTTTGCTATCTTCTCGATCATCATTCGTCTAAAAGTTGGTGTATGATGTATAACCATATTTTTCATGATAAAAATTTTCTAAATATCCAACAAAAAAGCCTCACAAGAAAATATTGACATGGAATTGCGGACACCTATTAAAAGTTGTCACTTCTTAACAATAGACAAACAGCTTTTTCCCAAAATCATTTTCTAAAGTCAAAGTGTTTCGTCAATAACCTCAATGAAACGAGTCCCTCCCTATAATGGACAGTAACTCTATTTCCAATAGATGCAAAATAACGCGCAACGATGCGAAAACTTCACTTTACTTCAATGAACATTTAAGTATGGGAAATTCAGAATACAAAAAAAGCGCTAACAGTGCAACCAACCTCATTTCATTACTCCAAATGGCTTCTGGTGTATCAAATTCGCCCAGAAATATTTCTGCAAACTTTTCCGGTCCTAGAACACAAAAGAAGACAAACATTCCTTATTTACAGTCTAACTTGAGACAAGTTGCAGAGTCAGAATCTCCTACTAGAAAAAAAACACGGCGTCAAGTTTTAGAAATTGTAAGGCAGACATTGTTCAAGATAACGTCTAGAAATGAAGGGGAAAAGAGTTTGGAGATATCAAATAAATCAGCTATTCCATTTTGCAGCAACTTTCAATCACTGCATCGTTGCACACTGGTGTGTTGCGAAAAATCGTCAGGTGTGCCGTAAGAAATTATCCAATTTACCTCAATTTCTTTTGAAAAACTAGTTAATTCTTATTTGCAATAATTTTGCCATTGTAAAATGTCTGTACTTTTGTCCAATCCTAAATTAATACTGATCAATTTAAAGACTAAATTGTCATTTCAAGGCCACAGAGTGTTGCCTAGTAGCATTTTTCGGTTGGTGGTGTGCCGTGGTTTTTTTTAGGATTCCATGGCTTAAGAAAGGTCGATGACAACTTTATCCTCGAATGACCATTCTCAAACGAAAAATTGGTCGAATAACTGACCGTAGTTTTCCAGGTAGCAAATCATTGCTTCTGGGAGAATGTGGCCAAGAATGCTTCGTTGTTGTATTTCTTTGCTATTCTACATGAAAAATAACAACAATAGAACGTTTATCAAAAGTCTAAAATATGACAACAATTGCAGCCATTTTGAAAATATATTCATAAGATTGTGAATCTTGCTTTGCCAGGTGCAGCCTGTTCAGTTAAAGATTGATACTAAACATCTAAACAGATAACAATATTATTGCTACACTTTGAGATATATGCACACACGTAGATGCATTTGGAGGTCAGCAAATCTGTGTTGTTTTTGTCACGATGGGTTTTCATTTGAGGCATCTGTTGACGGGCATTAGAAGATTTACCTCCTGAGGTATCAATCGATGGGCATTAGCAGTAGTAATAGGGGTATCATTTGGCGGGTAGAAGAAGTATCTAGAACGCAATACACTTTGGATTTGTTTCTTGTCTTCCACGCAAATATCCAAAAAGTTTTGACTGGAAAACAAAAAGCCATCTACCATATCGTTTGATTTCATGCTTTTGCCCTGATGTATGGGAATATAATACTATAATTAAATAAAGGCAAGACTACCTCGTCTGTGCGAAATGCTTGCTTCACGTGCGTTTCTTGAAGAAACCTACAAAAGGTAGGGTGTTTCCTTACAACAGGAATTTCAAAAGGAAAACAATGGTATCTTTGTTAAGCTAATCACAGTCGAAGGTTAACGAAATAGCATGAAAATATGAAAAATGAAAATCAAATACCCCTTTTTAAAATTATCTTTGGGTTTAAGACCCATAGTCGGTCAACATAAGATGCATACAGAAATTATGTATATAAAGCATAGGATACATTTATCATATAATTCTGTTTTAACATTCAGACACGTGAATTAGCGTCACCAAATGGGATACAGCAACGATTTATGATAATGGCGTACCTTTTACTAATACAGTGATGTAAATTGTAAACACTTTCAATTGAGTGAAAAGCCGCTACTTTTGAGTGTCATTTGACCGCCAAAAATTGTAATTTGATTGTACAATATTGTAGAAAAGGATGTACTATATATACTATATCTAATCTTGCTTGACCGAATAATCGTTGACACAAACCTTCCTATCGGGATAACGTTTGACCCTGTATACATCATTATGAAAAAGAAGGCCCCAGTCATATAAAGCCTTGGCAATACCGGATTGTCCTACAAAAAGAATTTCGAAAACGATGAAGGGAAACTGCTAGTTATCAAGAACAGAGGTTGATTGCAAACAGAGGGTGGAATGACGGTCGAAAGATATGCAAAATATATATGGATAATATAATACTTCAGATTCTGCTTAAATCATAAAGAAGGAAGAAAAGGTCATAGGACAATTACATCTAAGGTCACAATGAAAGGTCACAGTGAAAGGTCGCAGTGAATAGTCGCAGTGAAAGGTCACAGTGAAAGGTCACACGACAGTTACATCCAAGATAGGCATTTTAATGAAAAAACGCAGGGCCACCTACTCAAAAATATTGTCATTTACACGATTGATAAGTAATAATATCATCTGCTCAAGATATACAATAATATAATTGCTTTAAATTGTCACTCAGCTATTTGATTCTATTATATTAACTTATCAGTTATCTTCAACGAGATCAAAATATTTTCCATAACGATGCCTTAAGTTATTTTTTTAACAAAATCAACAAAAAAGGAAACTTGGCCATACTTACGATTGATATGTTTAGAAGAAGCTGTGCTACTTTTTCGACAATTGTTGGGTGGAATGTCAAAAGCAACTGAAACGAATTTACAAGGAGATCAGCAATTCTCTATCGTTTTTTGCCAAATAAATACGTAATTTGGGAAGAAAATCTAAAACAGAACCAGTTGCCTATGATTGACGTGAAATTTATGCAAGCTCGGATTAATATATTCTAACCTCATTTCCCCTCATAGGGCTTTCAACAAAGAATTTAATGTTCAAATAGAATACAGACAACATAATACAAAGCGAAGAGTTCCAAATAACCCTTTGGTTGAAAACAAAAATATAAAACTCCCTTCTAATTGCAAAAATCTGACAATAATAAAAAAAGGGAAATGTAACAAATTAATACCTGCACAATATGCGGAAGGCATGATGCATCTGAAAGCATTCGCTTGGCACGTGGTAGCGGTCTGACTATAGCACCATCAGTATCCCTGAGAGGGACAAAACCAGTATTAAGAAAAATAATAAGGATTTCATCAAAGATAGCCATCGCAAAAAAAATTTCAGACGTTTTCATACAATACCACAATAATACTAATATTATGGGAAGCTGTAATCGAAGTAGATTATAAATAAATTGAATAACAAGCATATCAAGATAGCCTCTATCCTACATGTATTTCATCAAGTTTTATTTGTAAACGACTGTTTTAAAACAGTTTTGAAGAAAGCAAACATTTTGAAACATACTGAAGCTTTTCATACCAATGTTTCTGTGTTTTTAATCCTCGTATTTTTTATAGTACAAAGAGCCCCCCTTCCACCCACTCAAAAGGATTGCGCTCCTACCACCCAGAAGAGTTCCGTTGTTTATGAATTTACGTGCCAGTGTGATTCTGGCTACGTAGGACGCAAGACTCAAAGATTGGGGGATAGGATAAAACAGCATGTTCCTTCCAACATAAGAAACAAAACTGCCCCTCAAAGAGTACAGCCTCCTCGATCTTGTAGGCCTAAACACACCGCTAAAACTAGTGACTCTGCCATCGGTCGACATCTTTTAGACAACCCTGATTGTGCAAAACTCATAATGGCGACACGTTTAAGATAATTGGCAGAGCACGGTCGTCTTTTCATCTAGCATTTTCTAAATCGACCCACATTCAAACGAGAAAGCCGTTGTTGTGTAGACAGAAGAAGAAGCTTGTTTTCTCTCTTGGACCCCAGTGGTAATTTATCTATAGGCACTGGGCACTGATTGGACAACCTATACAGTGATGTGCTCATATTTCTAACTGACCTATTTCGGTTCATAAACTGGGAATAATATTTCATAGCTTGGAGATTTCAATTTATGTTCCTCCATTTTTACTCTAAAGAATGTCGGACGAAAAGCTTCAGTGTGTTTCAAAATGTTTGTTTTTTCAAGCAGACCAATGTGTCCATTGCTCTCTAGGGCAAACGGATCTGAGAATTTAAGATAATTGGTCTTCAAAGAAGAACCCGCTATGCTGGAGTCTACAAAAGGGCTTAGCTTGTAAAAGGCAGATGACGTACAGTTTTAAAGACTTTAATGAGAAGATCGTAGGCGCAAGACCAACTGTAGAATGTTAAGCTACATTATAAACTATTGCTACTCTTTGGATCAAAAAGGAAAGGACTAAACAATATGATATTAGCAAAAGAAAAAAACACGGAAAGCTGGTTTACCTATTAGGGTAACACTTGCAAATGTCAATCAGCATATTCAAGCAGGTTATTGCCAAATCGGATTCGTTCATTATTGGGTTTCCTGTTGCCAGGAGACACCACTTCAACTGTGATACGCTGTGCAGCGGCCTCCATCCATCCATACCTTGGGCCCAACATCTTGTTGTCGGTCGTAAAATCCCATCCTTCCATAGCTCTTTCATCTAAGTAAACATTAAAAGAATTTAATTGATTTACTACCACGGCTTGACACACCCTTGGAACACAGGAAAATCTAAGAGTTTACGAAGAAAAGAAATCGCTTCTAGAACAAAAGAACTATATGGACAGTGAAAGACCAGTGGCGGACACTTGGGGGCGAGGGGGGCAACCGCCCCCAATACTTTAGAGGACAATGGTCTTTTGTTCTAAAACAATGGGAAATGTGACGTCATCTTACTCAAACAATAGGCTTGCCCCCCCCAATATCTGATCAAGTGTCCGCCCCTGTGACAGACACATGATGAAACACGCATTAACAGTTTATACCATAGCAAAAAACGTTTCGAGCCAGGATCAATAGATAAACATGAAATAAAAAGAAAGTACCACCAGTAGCTGTCGAGAAAAGCTAAAAAAATCAGATAAAACATTTAAACTTTTGAGTTTCTTTAAAGTTGGATAATAATCAAAACAACCAACGTGTGTAGGTGATGTAAAAGTGACAGAAAACATAAATGAAAGACTTTCAAGGCCATGGTCACGTGATGTAATTAGACTTCCATAAAATATTAACGATGAAAAACCTCTGAAACTGGGCTGTAACAACAAAAAGCTTCCGAAACTGGGCCGTAACAAACCTCTGAAAAACTTTTTGGTCCTATTCGCTCTTTTTCGCCATTGCCATAATACCACTCTTGCTCATTCCCAAACTGGTTTTCTCCGGAGCCTTCAATCATCATTGTCTGGAAAAGCAGAAGCAATAAAAAAAAAGAACTTGTAAAGGAAAAAGGTGAAACGTCTTGCCAAAGAGAAATGCAAAAACAAAAAACACAGGGATTAAAATAGGTTGAAATCCCGATAACTCGAGCACCCTATTCAAACTGCTTCTAAACAATATCCAGTATGCTCGAATTATTATAGATATATAATATATTTGATTGATATATATACATATCATCAAATACCTAATTTTCTATATCTAGTCCAAATAATTCAAGCAAAAATCTTCCCGAGCTTGAATTTATGAACAGATAAAAACCATGTTTCTTCGAAAAAAAGTTCCATAATTTATCGTACAGGAAATGATTTTAGCCAAAATCAATTCGCATAGGGGAGTAGTCATTATTTTTAAAGTGAAGTCACACAAGTTATATTACCTGGAACGGTACAGTTGCTTTGTTTACATGCAGATGCGATAACACAACCAAGTCCACTAGAATTTTCATCCCACCGGCATCTAAGTACTGCTTCACATTTATCTGAAAATACATACGAACAACAGATATTTTATCAGAAACAGCTTCTCATAAAGAGTATTTACACAACAAAACTCTGGTTCACTTGTGTCAAATTCACAGAATCGAATCACTTTTTTGAACAGTGATTTTGACCTAGAAGATTGAGGAGACTGTTCTCTTTAAGGGGCATTTCTTCGGTTAGAAGGTACATGTTCTTTCGGTTGTGCTCCCTACATAGCCAGAATCATACTGGCACGTAAATTTATAAACAGCGGAACCCTTTCAAGCCAAGTCACTACATGATAACACCTCTCTCTGATTTTGCACTCAAAACTTCTATTAAGATTTATCTTTTGCATAAATTTCTAATTATTATGAACAGCTTTCGTTTCAATAACAGAATTTTATCAAAAACTTTCAGCCCCTATAAAATAAAATTGAGCAAACAGTGTTGAGGTCTTAAATAGAACCCGCGACTTTCAACTATTTATATCAGAAAAATGCTACTTTAAGTCGAATTCTCTAAAAACATGATATTGACAAAAAATTTTAATATTGAAGAATGCAAATATTTAATCCAACATTGAAATCATGATTGATTGGTCATATGTGGCTATTATCATACAATATTTGCAAAATTTCAGTTCAAAAATGCCTACATTCTCTGAAAACACTGAAAACGTCTAAATGTCCAATCATGAGTGTTAAAGGGCCAGTCCCCGACAGCTTCTATTCAAGGATGGCTTATATTCGAAGGCGGCTTTTATACGGTATTCCAGCTAATTACGTCTAAAGTTTAACAACACTGTATATATATGCACAGCTTACCTTATTTTTCAGTAATTCTTTTAAAAATAGAAGGAGACGATCTCTTTCCAGTTTGTCACAGCTCTATAAACAACAAGAATCAACCAAAAATCACAATTAGTGTACAAACAGACCTTTACTACCAGATATTACCTTAATATTACTTTGACAGAATCGATGTACAGTAACCATAAATGGTAAAATGCGGACTGATGTTGTATATCGTTGTATATACTCGAGAATATACTCAATAAAAGATGGCCTTTACACAAAGCAGTGAAATGCAACAAGTTTTACAGCTAGTACACAATTAGACACAGACCTCTTACAACTATCCATGATGTAGAATATCAGTTACGAATATTTGATTGTTAAATATTTTGGAACATGATACGAATATCAGAAAATGTCTCTTGTACAGAGTTTAAAAGAAATATTTTGAAATAGACGTACTTAAAATAATTGAAATGAAATGAATATAAAATAATCCGTTCCACCTAACAGGCCGATGTGACACTAAAATCTGGCCTTAAGAACATGAAACGTAGCAGAACCATGTACATTTTCCCACCTGGCATAAAATCGCTGTGAATTATACAAAAATTTCTTTTTTTCACGTTAAGAAGTTGGTAAAACGTGAGGTAAATTTATTAAAAGGATCGAGCTAGACCAAGGGCATGCGAAAACTATTTTTTATGGTCCTTCAATGACCAAAGTCTTAGCGTGAAAAGTGGTCTAACAGTCCTATCCCAGCTTTTCTGTGCCAACACGAGTGTTATCTCCGCATCATTTCCCTACTGTCAATGCCTTGTAAAGTACCTAATTCAGGCATTGGCAATACATGTCGGTCAAGATAAAATGGATATACAATTTGTCAGTTTTAGAATTGACTATGGTTTTACTTGGTGTGTTTTGGGTGAAGTTGTTGAAAGCTTTTTCTTTTCCATCGACTGTAAGCAATTTTTAACCAGCCTCCATTACAGAAAGGCACAGTAATTAAAGAGGCTTCTGTTATTATGAAATAAACAACTTCAAGGAACATTTAATACTTACTCTATCAAGCATACCAACAATGAACTTTGTGTCGTTGAAAGAACCGATTTCTTCAAAACAACGCGAATATACCTTGGCCATGGCCTGATGATTCAATACAGAAATTATAGAAAATAGAAGATAGAAAATAGAACATTCAATTCAGTATCAAAAAGAATGCTTGAGTGCTAATTTATAGGTTACCTGACCAAAGCCTCATTTTCATGTATAGCTTTGGATTTGCAAAGAGGTTACTTATAAGCTGACGTTTGCTTACATGATCAGAAAAACCAGTATGAAAGAAATTAGATAAGAACAAACTGTGCCTGAAATCAATTCGGAACAGAAAGAAACCTCTAGAAATTTGTACTAAGATAATTTTGCTCTAATAAGGAGCACTATAATTCGAAATTCCCCGAACCCAGATACCTCAAACGACTTGTTTCAGAACAATAGATAGAACAATTACCTGAAGACAGAGAGCTTTCATGTCCGGTTTGGTAGTTAAAAGGAACCGATGGTAGAGATCATTGAAGAACTCAGTGCTGAAATGAATAAGAATCCGTTTCATCGCTTGAAAGCTTGGTATATTTACATACCAAAATCATATCCGTGCAAAGTATCCGATGAAAAGTCCAAGAAAGTGAGGAAATGGTGGTAGTTCCAGGAATATCAAAAGTAAATGATCAAAAGGCTTCCCTCTTCAGCAAGAAAAACGTTTTCAATGTTTTACTAAGTCATTCCAGAATTCATAATCCTATAGCAACTTTACAAATAAATTGTTTTAGATTAACACTGGTTTACTTTATGTGGCCAATGCGCTACTATTTGTCTAATTCGTGTATTGCGACCTCTTCTCAAACAAGTCAAAATGCATCCTAAGAAATTTGCTGAAGCCACAGGCAGATTTGACAAAATAGTTTAGACATGTTAAACCATAAATCCTCGCACTAAACCTCACGCTTGAATAAGCAAAAATATATCATATAAAATCGAATGAGCTAAAATAGGATCATGTTGAGATGCTGCGCAAGTTACTCTAAAAAGGCTAGAAAAAGTGTTGTTGGATATAGAAAGTATAAAGACTTTAAAGAAAAAAGAAAATAATACTGACGCATGCACGATTGGATATTCATCACTGTCTTCTTCAAGAAGTACTCGTAAATAATAATCCCCTTAAAAAAGAAGTACATTAACAGCAGAAATAATTTTATCTGGTTGATGACATCTTTGAGGGTAAAGTATGTTAGGGAGTGTAACGGGAATTCATTTAAGCCAACGCCCGTCAGGATTACTACTCTTATATACCTTAATGGTGATTCTACCTCCAGCTAAATACCAACGTCATAATGACAGCATTATCTTTAAAGATAACTCTTATTGACTCTTAAAACGTAATTATCTTCAAAGATAAATGACTCCTGATAATTTTATTTTAATTGTACTAAAATCGGTTTTTTGTAAGACAGTTCCTTTGAAAAGTAATAGGCCGACAATTTTTTTCCTTTTCATATATTGGGCTGCCGACGGGGTGTTATAGGGAATTCTTATTGGGGGGGGGGGGGCAGCTGCCATCCCTGGACAGCTGCCATCCCAAGACACCCCATAGCGCCATCCCTGAACAGCTATAAACGAGTTTCTTTGCTATGCCGGCTAGCCATCCTGCAAATGTGACGCGAGACTACCAAGGCACATTACATAAGATCACACCATATCACTTAAAACACATCACACCAAATCACATCAAATCAAATGAAATCAAATCACATCACATCACATAAAATACACCACACCAAATCATACCCATCACATCAGATCATATCAAATCAAATTACATCAAATCAAACCAATCACATCACATCACATCACATCACATCACATCACATCAAATCAAAACACAGTGTCAAAAGTTGCTTGTCTATTGGGTAAACCCAATTAAACACAAGTTACCACCCATTGCAGATAGCTTAGTCTTACCAATTCTGATTTCTTCTGCAAGACATTGGTATTGCACTTCAAATTCTTGGTGATTCCATGATATCAATCTGTTTCCACTCAGATCCTACAAAAGCAAAAAAAAATAAAAGAATGCCGATCAATATTAATTAAATTACAGTTTATGTTTTTGAATATCATGACAACAAAATAAAGTTCTCTCAAAAAAGGCCCAAACAAGCTGAAGAAATTATTCAAACAAACAAGCAAACAAAGAATCAAACCTTGTCCATGTCAAATGCTCTCATTTCAGCATCTAATGCATCTCTTAGCTCATCCCTTGTCTGCGCAAAACAACAAACTGCAAATTTTAGCAAAACCAATAACAATGTTTCCAGTTACAAATTACATAAAATGAGTTTCATTGTTGGATGAAAGATTTGCCGATACAGGTTTACCAATTGTTGAAAATCATTCGTTTAGTGTGATAAACCTGAATTTAACAGGTTTTTCAAGCTTTTATTCCATGATTAACAAACTTTAGTTCAGTGTTCATGCCAGTTATGCAAAAAGTATTGACTTTTGCGAAAAACCGTAATACCAAATTGGTTGAAGGGAAATACAATGATCGAATTCGATAGATCAACAGCCGTGTGTTCGAACTTACTAGAGGCATGATACCTGAACCGAAGTGAAATAAGATGCTTACCTTTGCATTCCAAATTAAAAGTGGGTTGGAATGGTCCCGTTGAAACCTAAAAAAAGTTAAGTAAAAATCAACGCAATTAATAAAAATACCTCTGGCTGTGAAACAAAATATCTAAGGTGCTCAACAAGCAGTAAAAGGCGTGTAGGACTCTATGATGTAGTTCCAAAAGGCAAGGCAATTAAGAACACGATGTGAATAACGATAGCCAAACATTAAAACCGACAACACTTTAGTAAAGAGATCGAAATAATGAACAAGAATAAAGTTAGATGGAAACACATAGGAATTGTACATGAGTAACTGGAAGACTTTCATTGACAAAAATAATTATTCAAAACAATATTAATTATTCAAACATATCGATATTCAAACCAAACATGCAAGATGATATGAGTGAGGCAAACGCCTTAAAATGGCTAGAGGATGAAATATCTAAACTAACTTACTGATAATAAAACAGGTCCCAGTTAGCCTCACTCTTGATACGCTGTCTTCTCTTTCGAAGTACCACGGGTCTGTCTTTATTTGGCTGGAAGAGAAAATGCTAAGTTTTGAGCCAGTTGTGGCAGAAGACAAGGAGAGAAAACCATGGATTCGCTTTCTGGAAGCGATTTTTGGTGAATTGATGATTATCGTTGCAAGTTACGTCTTCTAGGCAATCTTTTTTGTGCTTTTCTATCTTTTTATATTGGTCTGTCTTCAAAGCAATCTCTTTTGTGTTCTATCTTGGTCTCTTAGATACTTTTTTGTGCTGCCTTCTCATCTTTGTTCTCAGACTTTCAATATCTTGGCTTAGTATTAAGAAGCTTGACCCGTCTTTGAATAAATATGTGATAAAAAGTTTCTACGGTCTCATTGCTGCTATCTTAGAAACCATTGCTTAGGTAGGGCTTTGGCACGACTTGTATCACCTTTTCTCGGTATGAGAGACTATAGATACGAATCATCTTTACAATTTGAGGCTCTATAAAGATGGCTATCAAAAACAAATATTTTAAACTACAATGCCTGCCAAAAGTCTTGGAACACTGACATCAATTTCCAAGGTCAAAACCAATCATCCCCCTCTCCCCCACGGAACAATGTTGGTTTACTATCGAACGGGTTAGGATTTTAGGAAGCACTTTCTTTTGCGCTTCTTTTATGATATTTCTCTAAATCATCAACATTGTTTGAGGGGGAAGGGGGCGGAAGTAGCAATTTTTCTTCATGAAAGGAATGAAAGATATCAAATGCAGCGTAAATTGGTGGGTGTTCCAAGTACTTTTGGCAGGCATTGTAGATGAAATAAAGAAAATTTAAAAGATTCTGAATCGCAATGTATTTTTTAAACTCACGTCAGTTTTCGGCTTCAATCCGACTTTTTCTCCAACACGTTCTCTCCAGTGAGTAAGAAACTTTTCCAAATTTCGAGGCCGTTTGTTTTTTGACGATCCCTTCAAGTAATTGTAAACACTTAAGCAAACTACATTTAAAAGAAAGATAAATCAACTAAAACACCATCTGACTTGTGACGGTAACAGTCTTGAAAACGATTAAGGAATACGAACGAAATGAAACTCAATTTCAAGTACTTAAAAACAAGAACTGACAATCTCTAACAGTCCGGGAATTCAAAAGATTTATTACAATAAAGAATGTTCTTGCGAATTTGTCAGAGACTTAAGTTCAGGGCATCTTTCAGAAAAAAGTACGAGAGTTGTATACATCTTATTTTTAGGATATTAACAGGAATGGAAGAAGTATCAGAATCTATGTGGTGCCTAAAAGCCTCAAACTTCTTTAATAATTTAATGAAAATGTCTTGATGATTGATGCTGCGAAGGAGCATTAATCGTTTTCGCTTCTTGATGACTATTGAGAAAGGTTTGAAATTTCAGATCAATTTCTGCAAAGGTGGCCGATTGCGAATATGAAAATGGACAGCTTCCAGACATCAACAATGATTCTTACAAATAAAACTAACATGCCTGATTTCAATACTTTAGTAAGTACCTTTTGATACTATTCTTTGTATCAAGAAATGTTTCGGGTTTGTATGAAGTGTGACTCACATACACACAAACATATAGCGTTACTTGTAATTCATTTCGAGTGCTTTTTACTACAGTGGAGCCTCTATTAACGGACGCTTCTTTAAAACGTACACCTCTCAACAATGGACAGATATATTGTCTCAAATGGTCAAAACACTCTCAAAGGAACCTCTATGTAACAGAAACCTCTATACAATTGACAATTACACTTGTCCGAACATTGTCCGTTATATGGATGCTCCCCTCTACATAACTGGCTTCAAAAGATCCCTAATTCGATTCTTTTGAGCAGACATTAACTAGCAATAAACCGACTTGATGCTTTAAAAAGAAGATTCAAATATATAAGGTGTCAGCCCTATCAGGGTTATTTCGTGTGTTCAATTCTTCAATCAGGCCAATCTAGATGTACCAGCAGCAAAGAGTCTTGACATGTACTAATAAACATAGGTTCTTACAAATAATAAGAATTTTTCAGGTCCGTCACTCAAAGGAAAACAATAATACTTACCTCTGCAGCCTTCAAGTTGTCTCGAACGTGCATTCGGTCTAGCTCTGACTCTGGAACCTTTGACAAAAGTTTTGGAAATTCAAATGAGTACATTGAAACTAAAAAAAGGATATTACTATACCAAAAACAAGACGTCTCTGAAGAAAAGAAAAGAAAAAAAATTATATTTGATAAGGTTAGAGCTTTGTTTCTCTAAAAGCAATGAAAAAGATTATGTAAAAAATGTACCTCGTCAGTTGAGTCAAGAAAATTCAGCATTCCCGCAGGCTAAAACAAAAAAAAAATAGAATCAAGCGAGGCCTTTCCAGTGATTTCTATTATTTCAATCACGTCTATTGCCTTCAATGAGCTGTGGAAAATACATAAATCAAAGACTGTAGGTAAAAATACTGCAACAATATCAAATTTTCGAAAATTTAAAAGTAGATTGAAGCAGATGGGAGAATTTCAAAGGGGAAAGCTCCCATAGTTTACAAATATTGCTATGAAACGTCCTTGAATTCTTAAAAACCATGTCCACGCTAAATATTCCAAGCCATAAAGAATAATGAACTATTTCTATAAAGGTTCTGTGTAATCAAAAGCCCAATTCAATTAATGCTTACTTAAAATCACGCCAATTTAATCTAGCTTCTATAACTAATTCAACAACTAGCTACTTCTTTGTTTATACACCAGCACAAGGATATGACGTAAGTTCGTTACCAGGGCTCTTTTTAGGAGGGCAAGGGCAGTTGGATGTCCAGTTACCCACAAGCCAACGAGATGACGGCTGAGCTGCCTGCAAAGTAAACATTGTAAATAGAATTTAGCATCTGGCCTAAAAAGGGCATTGCTTATACAGAAATCAGTAGAGCATGTGTATGCGATTTATAAGGTATCATCGTAAGGGTATAGTTTTTTAGACTGACGAGCTGCCTCTTATAAAATTATATAGATATTTGTTACCAGATTTAAGCAAACTGCCATCACAAGTCACAACATTTAACATGGAATTCAGGCTGTGGACAAGTGGTAGTGATTATTCACTCTGCCTTTTTCGATTTGCCATTTTCCACCACATATATTTTGGAATGATTCTCACTACCTTAAACTTCCTTTCACGGACAGTTCTGACTTTTAATTACACCAGGCGTATGTCAAGATGAAACTCTTGTTATAAAATAGGCTCCATATCGTTTCGATCTTAACGATTGTCAAATATCCTCATCAAAACAGTTAATTTGATAAAGTTTCTAAACTGTTAAAATTTCCTATTAACTTTGTCGATTTCTAAATAGAGAAATTGAGCCCTATAGAATTTCATATTAAATTTCATTGATGAATGGCTAGCAAGCATTTTGGAAGGAAAAGGAGGCTTAATTGGGAAAGAGGCTATAAATCATTGATTCTGATAGTATTTTCTCAGCTGCTAATAAAGCTTATACCTGTTTGTTAGCAGACGACTGTCATTGGTGTTCATCGTAAACATGGCAGTGTGTAGATGTCTAGGCAAAGCGCCTTCGGCAAGGGCTAAGTCCTGCATTCTCGCAGCAATATCAGCATCGCCTTCCTAGCAGTCAAAAAGAATGAGTCAATGTACAGAACGGCAACATTAAACGTACGAACATTGCAAACTCTAGTTTTTCATGAAAAGTGACGCAAAGGTGACGTGAGAAATGCATCGACATTGTGAGGGCATCTTGAAAACGCTTTGAAAATTTGTTAGCTTTACCAGGGTCATAATAAAAAAGAAGGCCTCCCAATAGATGAATCACAGCTAAACATCTTGGTGGCAAATATTCTCGAAGTTCATCAAGTCTGCAGTTTGATTACTGTTGATATTGTAGATAGTATCTATACCATTACCCTTAACTTCCACAGAAAAATTCTGCTGAAATACCCTAAGAAAAATAACTTATCTCAATTGTACCTCTATAACCGCTTTCATCACCATGCCCGCTCCTTTCACAATAGCAACCGATGGGTGCTGTTAAAGAAACGATTTTGGAATGAGTGATTTGTTGAACAAGAGAAACTAAAGGCAAGGGGAATTAAGCAAAATGAAACATTCACCAGCTTGAAACAACTTGATACAGGCCATAACTTTGAACGCGTGCAAGTTATTGGGAAAAAAATAAAATGATAGAAAAAGCGTAGAAATGGGTAATATTTCTTTATTAAGTAAATCGAATAGTTTCATTAAGAAGTCCTAGGTTGAAAGATTGATTGGCATTCAAAGACTAGTAGACGGCTCAAAGAACACTCGTTCAAATAGTAAAATTGAATAAAAAAGCATTTATTTCCTGTGATGAAAACGAAACAGGTCGCTCACAATGGTAAAATTTTCAAAGGTTAGTTTTTACCTCAAATCAAAAGTTTTTAAACAATCAAAACATTGCCTAAATGACGACACTACATCCTATATCTGATCAGGGGATTGAAAACTTACTTGAAACAATCTAAACAGGCATCTACCTAGACCTGCAAGAGAAAACGTGACAGTAGTCAGTAACAACGTAATGCTCTTCTAGCTGCTGTTCTGTTCCACATTAGTAGAACACAGTTTGTCCTCAAGATATTTCTTTAAAAATTGCGTCTCTTCGCCCGGTCTTCAATACACTAATGCAGCTCTCGATCTCGTTTTGACAAAATACTTCACGCTTATTGGCCCTAAATATTTGTCTTCAAATTTGGATTTAAGACAGGAATTTTAGTATATATCGAAGTTTTCATGATGCTAATGCAGGTTATGTTGCTATTATGACGACACAAAGTTGGCAGTTTTATAAGAAATTTGATGGCGATTGAAGGTGAAAAGTTTTATCAGGGAAAATCTTTAAGGTAAATTTCCAAACTATTAATCGTCATAATATCTTCACTAATAGCATAATAATATGAAAATTATACACGGATTAAAAGATTGTCGTTAAATCCTGATATGAGTTCAATAAACTCGCACAATGATGTTCTGAGTAATTTCCAAAACAAGGCTGAGAGTTGAATCGTTGAATTTTCAATGGAAAACAATAAAGTTATTCGCCAATTGTCTATAAAACGACTTTTTCGCATCTACAAACTAGGCTTGTCAAAGGGCGCTAAGACTTAATAGGGGACAACCACAATTCTCACAAAAAAGCAAAACAGATTTAGGCGCGGTTTAATAAAGTTTTATTGAAATAAAGGCGAACGATGATGGGCAAATCTTGTGGAATCTGTTCTCTAGCCTCCATAATAATTCATCAAAAAACACGAACGTATAGTCAATCATTTATCCAACAAGGTGGTACTAAGATGGATCCTTGACCCCTGCCAATCATTTCCTTGAAGCCTCCGCAATAATTCATGCTCGAAAGCAAGGAGATAACAAAGAAATGAAAAGACAATCAACATATAGAAGGGAAGTATTCTGACAATCAATATTCTAAATTTTTGAATTAATAGTTAAAGACGCTTCCAATATGCAAAGTGTTTCACATTCAACCTAATTATTATGTATCAAATATTTCCTATCTCTATTTCAGTTCATTTCGGTACCGATAAATAGTAAATAGCTGGACTGTTATGAGTTGATTGAAATTATGGTAAACAAACATACCAGCAACCATTTCCAGGAGTGTGTCAAATTGGGTGCCGTCTGTAGTCTCGCTAGAATGATCAACAAAATTGTCCAGATTTTATTCTTTCCAAATGCTAATCGATATATAGTATTTTTTAAATCATATCTATATACATAATTCAGCTTAGAAGTAGAATTTATCCTGTTTGAAGTTCTACTGGTTTACTTCGTCCTTATTATATATTCTTGTGCCCCCTACATTTAAGATAGATTGAAAAATGAAAGAATTGAAGAGCATAATGAGTGTTGACGGGCGTTTGTCTAAAGATTAAGTAAAAATTCGCCAAGATTCAACTCATTTCAAAACCAAGTAAGGAATTGAGCTAAAATTTTCAAATTGTAAACAACTAACAATTGTTCACATTTTTAATCAAAATGCATAAAATCTGGGAGGTCAAATTGAATTGTCTTCCTTATTTCTCATGTAATCACCCAACTGTGACTCAATGTTTGAGAGCAGAGGATGGGATCACCAGAATATATTAGTGATAAATAGATAACTGGCTTGGAGCGATTCAAACGCGATTGAACCTGAGACGAAGCTTGTTTGCGGTATAATATTTCATTCAACAAACGAACTTGAAAAACAACTTTCAACTAATTAAACAGATCCCGAAATACATTTGAGCATTTCAAGACCTCACTCATCTTGCTGTCATTAATAAGCTTCTAGCTCTTTCTCAGCCTAAGCTCGCCATATTCTCCTGTTATCATCGCTAATCTGTCCGTCAGTTCTCTAGGTGTCAGCCAGCACACCTCTACTGCTCAACTTATATTCAAATTTGCAAAGCTCCAGATAGCATTGGTAGTAATTTACGTTTCATTATAGCAGAACTACCCGACATTACCATCATCCGTACAACCTATAGCATTTCACGCTGTAGGAACAAGTCTTGGAATAATCCTGGTTTTCTCACATTCTAACATCATTTTATACTCATAAATTATAACTTATCACTGATTACTTCTCACATTTCTTCTCCTATCTATAACTTTGTAATCCTGATCTTCTCGCATACTAACACCTTTTAACTACTTATTATTTAAAATCTAGTACTTATTACTTATTACTAACTTCTTTCTACTTACAACCAACTTCTTTAATAACTACTAATAACTTATTACTTTTTACAAGTTTCCTATTAATTTTTACATTCTTTGCAGTAGAAAACGAAACCGTCCGAAAATCCAGCTTCATTCCTGATTTGTTTTGTGCAAATGGTAGCGTCCTTTGATCACAGGCGAGCCAATTGCATATTACAATTGTGATATTTGTAACTAAAGTTTCATCGGAAATAAAATGTGTTTCCGAACGATCATGATGGTTCGATTAAAAATTTGAGTTAGACCTACTAGCATTCAGGCAAAGGACACTCCTGTGAAGCAAAAATATAATTTTCTTCTGATTAATTAAAAACCTGCATAACAGCAGAAAAGCCTTGTTTTTTTCCGCGTAAATCCACGGTTTATATTTTAATCCATCACTTTCTGCAGAACTGTTTTTCATTATCCGTCATTTTCGTAGAACCATTAAAAAAAACTTCTTGAGTTAATCAAGATTAAATACAAAAATGGTACTGATCTCGAAAAAATGAGGACTGTTTTCCCTGACAGAAGCCTAGATTATCTCTTGAAACGAATAAATTGCCACAAAATCGCGAGTTTCCAAATCAGTCACATTTGTAGATAACGCATTTTTCATTGCAAGCAACACACGAAAGAGGTCAACTGCTTTTCAAACGGAAGAGTACCAAGAGCGCTCGTTTATAATTCAAGATTGAAAAAAGGAACATTTAAGTATACGACGGGAAGTCCTAGGTAATCTCAAGCCAAAACTATATTTGAAAAGAGATTGACGTTTTGTTCATGATTCTATGAGTTTTAAACAGAGTACTAAGAGCGCTCGTTGATAAACTAAATCGTGCAATTATTTGCATAATTCCCAGTCACATTGCAGACTATGATAAATCCATGAACTGATATCTATTCAGGCGTTCTAGTGGACTTTTGCCTCAAAGCTAAGGTTGGACTGATTATTGGCTGTTAGGGCCACCATAAGGCAGGTAATGAAGTTAGATGATATTATACATACCTATAGGGCGGACAAAGTGAAAATGTTAGAAAATCAAGTAATGCACTTATGACAAGAGCTCCGGTGCCACGCATCTGTAAAAAAACAAACTAGTGTGAAATGATGATAAGAGGTGTTTTGAGAAAGCGATTCTTCAAGTAACGTTATTACATTTTCCTGGCAAATGAACTGGCAAAATGAGCTGTGTGTGAAGCATTTTTGGCTTGTGTGGTCAATGCAGATCAGATGCTAATTTTACAACGTGCATCCTGTACAATATGCTTTTTTAAAAAAGGATCCTTCACAATATGCCCTTTTAAAAAAGGATCCTTTACAATATGCTCTTTTACAGTTACTTAAATTTAGGGGTTGTTTGCGAAAACTATCGAACTCCATGAGCTTCTTCAAAAATAATGCTTAAAGAACAGTAAGTTTTCTTACAACATGTTTGCTGAAGATATCAAGCATATCTTCCAAGAACTTCTTTGACGAAAGTAGGGAAGATTTGTTAAGTTGTTCCTGCTTCAAGTCGTAGTTTTCATGCATCGGCTAAAAGAGAATTTAGAACAATATCAATGCCACAGTTGCTGGAACAGCAGATAGGTAAAATACTTCAACTGCTGCCAATCCAGTAGGTCTTGTTTACATTTTTTCTTATAGACCAGTCATATCGCTAAACAATTTCAGAGGTACTTTACAGCCAAAAATCATTTCTATAAGGATACAATTTAAGCACAAAAAGGGGACACTTGTCTTGGGTAAAATCTGTGACAATTTTATTGAAGTTTGATGTGTGGCCATTTTATTGTTAACCGTAATTGCGAACACCACCAATAAACGTGAATAAATCAAAACATACAGCAAAGGATGTTTATTTAAAAAACAAAAATTTTGTCACGAATGTCCGGTTTTTCCAATAATTTTCCTGTGACTGAGTTTCAGTATTGTTGAAGAAAGGTTAGAAGTCCCCTTCTCTGACACAAAGGCACCGGCCCTAAAATGCACTTTTTCCAGAATGTTGGTTGTTGAGATCTGTTAGGAATTCCCTCTTCTTGATCGTACAACAAAGGCTGAGAAACAGTATCTCGATCTCTTAAACCTAAGAAACATTGTATCAACAAGTGAAGCTTACTACCAGTCGTCAAAAAAATGACTTGTCACATGTCGAATGATTATCACCCATACCATGCCTATATTTTTTTTGAACTTTGAGGAAGATTGAAAGATTTAGCTTACAAACCGGAAGAAGGATACTTGACTCGCTGTGTTGCATGTCATTATGCTCTGGGATAAGGGATAATATCATTACGTCATCAAAAAATGTCATTAACGAAAATGATTTCCTGTCATTCACCTGCATTAAAGCCGCCAGCATGTCAATGGCAGCATGAGTTACACCATCGTCTTCTCGTTTCAGAGCTTTGACGATTTTCAAGCCGACTTTTTCACGAAATCTGAAACAGAATACCTTCATGTCAAGCAGTCAACAAGCTGCGGCAGTTTGAAACGCTTTCAGTCTATAGAAGTAAGGTGCCTAGTGCCTGTGAAAACAGCGAAGTCTACATTCTTCTGTTTATCTCATATCAGTGCTGATCACAGCTAAAAAAGTATCGTGCAGTCTTACCTATGCAGTGTTGTGAAAGCTTCAAAGCCAGCCTTTGAGGCCACCAGTCTCCTAAGTGCTTGAAAGAAACCTTCCAGATCTTCTGCAGGAACACTGCTAACATCATCTGAGATGAGAAAGAAGATATTTTATCACACAATCATTGATAGAGCAATATTTATGGTAATTTAGAAAACAATCTTTCAGAAAGAAAAAGAAGAAGTTGCCTTAAATGGCACTGTCTGGGATAAATGTACTGAATTTCAAGGTGCAAACAGAGCACAAATCACAATTAAAACTCACATTCATTTGAGAGAAGTGCACCAATCCCTTGGACAATCAACTTCTCTTTATTTTCTGCAAATAGTGTCTGCGAAGAAGAATCATGCAATAAACATAACCAAAAGATTCTTTTATTGCATAATTTTTGCATTTAGCGTGAATTGATAAATATGGTGCCAAAAGTGGGCTTGTGGCACAATTCTACCTATCGACCTAAATACTTCAGATTCAGGTAAATAGCAAACATTCACCTATTTTTTGCAGCTGAGTAAACTTAGCTTTTTGTCTCAAAATTCATAATCTCCAAAGTGATTCGCTGGTCCAACTTTATATATTTATCTTTCAAAACATATTATTTTTAAACCCTTAAATTTTACAGCATAATTCATCATTGAAAAATAAAACCACAAGATTCATAACGGTTTGTGAAAATAAATCTCATTAATTGCAGTCAATTGAAATCAACTGCATTCCTACCAATACCACATCGTGGTCTTTGCTTTGAAAATCAAGACAATTCGCAATACACATTCTTCGGGAAAAATAAATATCTTCCTGAGTAACAATGCTATTGAAGGCCAAAAAGGAGGACTACTGAAAAATGATGTTCACTCACATCTTGTGTAACAGCATGCAGTAGGCCACTGTAAGCGACGTTACTGTTAAATCTAGAGACTGCATCGAAAAATTTCCCTAAAGAGGAATATAAACCGGTTTACTATAAAGTATTTTAGATAGAGCCAATCATTGACAAGTTATGATTCATTTTAGCTTCTCACTTTCGTTTACGATAGATTATAATTTACAATAAAGAAAATTCTAATGGGTTACTTGCTTCTAAGAAGCCAAATTAATGAAAAGCATTTTTACCAGAAATTGTGCAGTAGCTAACCTTATTGCTTGAAGGGCATACACATTTCACAAAAAAATCAACGTTAGGTTACTCTAGTTTAAGATTTTTAGCTAAAGAATCGCTTACTCTGACTTACCAGGTGGTGCTTGCAAAAATTTCAAGTGAGTACTTTCTACCTCCTCATCAACTGTTTTATAAAAGGGAGCCATTCTTTGTCCTAGGAGAAATGCTAGAAGTCAGTAAGAACGAATCCAGTCTGTGAAACTAAGACCAAATTTTCTCAGCTTTGATATGCCATTGACAGTCTGCTTAATTACCAAATCATATCGTGGAAATAAATCATCCGTCTTTGCATAAAGTTTAGGTGATCGGGATATCTTGAGGTAGAAAAATATTAATAAAGGCATAACAGCATAATTTTTACAGACTATATTATGCCATACCAGTTTCAGAAGAATATAACTGAGGTGGAGGTAACGAAGGGACATAACAGATGTTGAAGGCAAATATGTCAATTCGGTACATGTAATATGAAGTAACTACACTGGTCTGTTACTTTTTATGATGAGTTTAAGGTTCCATTAGCAACTGATTGTTGTGATGAACTGAGGGGGGAAAGCCAATACATGTTCTGAGTGTCATACACATAACAGCCCGGGAACCTGCATTGTAAAGAAATAGGGGTCTTATTGGCAGTAAATTTTATAACTGACGTGTATGGACCTATCAACTCAACATCAAAAAGCGGCATAGCAACAAAGAGCCCTACCTCGTTTCGTAGGTGTCATTTTCACGTGGATGTCTTGATTCCCACTTGCTCTGACTCCATCCATTAAGCTTGCTAAAAGGGCATCCCTGTAGGCAAATACACATTGACAATTAATGGATATTTGGAAGACAATAAAATATAATAAAATACAAAAAAACCATGAAAACAGTACCACACGTACAAGGATAAATAAATTCCGGTTTCATCAATTTGAACTTAATGTGACACACTATAGCGTATAGCTCAAGACGGTTATAAGTTGAGACTCAGAGTTTTAAGCTTAGTGCGATAATCAGGCACCATGAAGTTAATTTGATATAAAAAGCCCAAGAAAGAGATTGAACGGTGTCAAGTGAATCAAAAGTAAAAACTTGGATTTCAAACCTTTCAGGACAGAGATATTGCCGTGAAGTACCATTTACATATTCAACAGTAAAGAGCTGGGGCGTTTCTGGGTGTCTGATCAAGGCAAAGACCTGTAACAAGAATTTTTGACTAGATAGTCCTCATGTAACACAAAGAAAAGTACAATAACGAAAAGTTGCAAAATTTTCACATGTGCATAAGAAAATGGAAAGCATTTTAAAGACCGAACAGTTACGTGTTATTTCTTTCAAACCTACTGGCATTGCCCTGAAATGCAGGGACATTACAAAAATTTCTTTACACGAAACCTTCCTCTGAATAGAAAATAGATGTGCTCTGGGCATGAAATATCTAGTTAAGAGATCAAAGTACCCAAAGAAGGCTTATACGATCGCCTCTGACATGCTTATGAATAAAATAAAACAAAATTAGATCAAATGGTTTAAAAGAAATAAGGTTTCTCTTACTGATGACAGTGGCTGTAGCGATACAATATGGTACGTTGCTGGATCTCTTTCTACAATGCACGTTTCCGACAAAGAGAACACTCTAGTGACTGGGTCCTAAGATGGAGCCAAATGACGTCATAATGAGAATTTGTCAAATAAAAGCAATCAATGATGCAAAATAAAACGTCAAGAAACAGATGTTAGGAGAACGTTCAATGAGATGGAGGGGTTTAATCTTTTTCCAAATTTATTGAGCATGGAGGCTAGACCAATTTTTCATAAAAACTGATCTTTTTATGCAAACGGGGAATGTCTAAGTGGGAAAAGAAGATTAAGTGGAGGAGTTAGAATAAACGTGACACGGCCCGGGAAAACATTTACAAAAATAAACAACGATTCTTGATCTACAAAACCATGACACAACATATATATGACATCACTACAACTGTATAACGTAAATGAAATGTCCAAATGAATGAGAACTGTAAATTTACAACAGGGGCAAGCCAAGCAGCAAAATTTGTAAGCTGTGGAATGCAGAACTTTTGAAGAAGATTGCACCGCAAAACAGATTTATCTTAATAAACATTCTTTTTCTGCCTGACATTCGCAGTGTACTGTGAGAGGGATTATGACTCTGAAGCCGCAAAGATGTAGCCAGATCAACCAAGCAAGAAGTGACTGAACGAGGGACAAAATGTGTCACTGGTATGTTGTCGCCTGCAGGCTAAGTAAATACAAAATAAGGATATCCAAAAGAACATTTTATTGCTTAAATGTTGTGTTTGAGATATGCTTGCTTCTGCTTGCTAAGTTGAACGATTTATCGACGATAATTATGTCTTCACTCGTGGCTTTGTCTGAGATCTAGTTGAAGGGTAACAGTACCTTTGATCACTCTGAAACATTGTAGGAATGTATATCAGGCGATCCTAGCCTAACATGTTGGAAAACGACCCCGGTAGCCATTCAATAAAAAGAGATAAGTAAACAAGTACAAATAAATTGTATCTCTTGTCAACATTACCGAGCTTCTGGGCGTGACCTTCTGTACTCTAAATTCTGTTAACGAGGTTACTGATTCATCATCGCTGTTAAATAGTGAGAAAGAAAATTAGGACCTCGCAAAAAAGAACTGTTATGGATTGTCTGCATAGAATTAATCGGCTGCACTACTGCCAAAATTGGCAAATTAATTAAAATATTAACTAGAATTGACAATGATTAGAAGTGTGATAAAATCACAATTTCTCTGCATAAATTCAAGGAGTTTATTGGCATTAGAGAATATATTTTTATCAATGGTGTAGCGTTACCTGAACTTTCCAAGTCGCTGCAGCATAAACACATTAAAAGTAATCGGCTCTTTCTTCTTTCTGTAAAGCAAGCAATCAATCGATATTAAGCTGAAATTTGACTTTTTTAGTTGTAATTGTGGAAATCTAGCAGCATCCTCTGCACCACACCAAAAGAAGTTAAGGAGTCAATCAATTAGCTGTTTACGGTACCCGTGTACCTTATTTGCTGTAAAAAAGGGTACCGGAAAATATCAAAATGCTTGTTCAATGGAACTCTTTCTGTTTCAAATATAAACTAGAAGCATACAAGTTGTCATTTTCTACCTCACGGCCAGAACTCACCAAGAAGCTGCACGTTTGAAATATAATTATGACACAACATCAAATTGGTTTGGAAACAAACACTTGTCTTGAAGATAAAGATAGGTCGCTAAAAACCAGAGACTGATTATCCAAGAGGGGAGTTAAAAATGTTTTTCATTGAGCGACCTGAGCACATGATCTTTTTCAAAAGCGTTCTCTCGTGGTAAGAAACTCTCAGATGGGATAATTATGGAAGGTTCGCCCCTGAAGTTGAAGGAGACCAGACAGTCTCTGATCAAACTTCAATAGTTCTAACAAAACAATGCACATTTTTCTGGGTTGTAAAGAACTTGGCTGCCAGATGATACGGGCTGTAGAAAACTTTTCAATAACTGAAGTTCAAAAGCCCGGTAATAACAACAGCTCCAGAATAAATGTCGGCTGCACATCCACCCAAATGAAGGTAAGGCCACTAAAAACAGAGAATCAAAGGTATATACTAATTACAGAACACCCTATGTTTTTAGGAAGGCTAAGCTCATAGGACAAATGGAGGGTGAACGACTGAAAAACTGTTGTGCCGTAGGTTGGGAAACAGGCACTTGAACACGAAAGTCAGACTAACAAGCTAAAAGCTGAACGGCTTTAAAATGACAAAAAAGACAAAAAGTAATCTTATTACTAACTGTATCGATATGCCAACAAAAGAGATTGCAGTGTCCATGACCTTCTTGATAATTTCATCTCTTTGCTCACATGCAAACAAATGCTGTGAAAAGCAACGAAAAAACCCGGTGAAGCTGAAGTCTTGCAAATACACACATCGTTTGTGGTAAGAATGCTGTTTTAAGCAGTCATACATATAAGCCCTTATAGCAAAAGCCTAATACTTGGTTTAAACGTTTAACTAACCACCCCCATTTGAAAGAAACCTGGAACCAAGGTTGTAACAATACTTACGTTCATAAATTTTACTTGAATTAAAAATCTGAAGCAATAATTACCACAAGCAAATGTATTCCAATAAGAAGTTGTTTTCTCAACCCCAAAATAATCTGACAAAAGCAAGTTGTCCTAAGCAATAATAGTTAGGTGCTAACTCAAAGGTATGTATGACTACCTGACTGGGAAAAATATGACTATTTGGTGGTTTATTGGCATCGATTTTTCAGCAAAGGAAATTTAGTCTTTTCGTGTTGTAAAAAAAGGAATACATTTTTTTACAATGAGAAAAAATGGAGGTTTAGACCGTCGAAGCCAACAGAGAAGGAATTGATTCGTACATTAGTTAAGTGAGGATGGGGGTAACATTTTAATATTTTTAGCGTTGTAGTTAGCACTTTTTAAGCAGCGTTCAAATCTAATTGGCGCTAACCCAGGATAAGACGTCAAAACTTGACTCAGCTTTGTTTAACCTAGGCTAAACCAATTTTGTATTCCAGGTTGCTTGAGCTCGGGTTGAATCAATGTCAGAGTTCGCAAAGTTGTCAGTAGTTTGTCATTAAAGACATTTGTAAAGGAAAATGCATAGTCTTGGCATACATACAAGTCTACTGAATCCTCCAGTTATTATGGCGAATCCCCCTGGATAATCTGATAGCTGAAATAAGGAAAATCACAAGATCAACCTGAAATCTTGAAAAAAACATCGGACCTATATCAAGCAAGCATTTCAATAATATAACAGAACAATACTTCATTGTACTTCTCAAATAACCTGAACCGAAAAAAGTTTATTTTTAAAACTTGAATGGATCTTGAATGGCTTCTCTCCTATGGAGTTTTTGAGTCAGGACTTTGAGTTAGGATCAGACGTGATATTGACCCAACAGGAGTGGCAGCTGCATTTCAATAGTAATTCCTTTGACCTACTCGATTTGCAGATCATAAAAAACATGGCCTATATTGACCATTCCAATTCATAACCTTTTGATTATTAATGATCTTTGCTCTAACTTCACTTAATAGTAATAAGGAAAGCTCCATCAAAAGGGAATCGACAGCAACGAAGTGACATAAGTCATTGTCTATCAAAGTTGGCCAATCAATAAACGTGATACAACTCACACGGTTACTGATTGGCCAGCAGTTAATTGACAGATACAGTCCTAAGTGTCTACAAAGGTTATGTCATATGGCAGAAAAGTTCAAAGTTCTGCTACATACCAATGTTATACCCTCCATGTCTTTATAATCATATGAACAAAGTTTCTTATTTGTAGAAGGACTGATTTGGTCCAAGGAGCATGCTGTTACTTGAAGAATTGTTGATACACGATTATCACTCCAATGGTGTTTAAATGCATTGTATCTCTAGAAGCAATTATAAAGGAAATATTGGAAATAATCTATTGTTAAGCACCTATTTAATAATTCCTTGTTACAATTCACATGTAAAAAATAAAGGGCTCTTATCTTGATGAATATAATTAAACTTTGGTGCATAGAACAGGGTGGTCCTAAGTTACAAATTTAAGTTCAGCACGAAATAAGAACAACAGGCAACTGATATGATGTACAGTATAGTATATGAATGAACATAAAAGGATGAAAAAAAAACTTTTCTGACATTAGAAGCATCTTTTTCATTTAGGTTACATGGTTAAAAAGATTAATTAATATTCAAAACTACCAAAAGATTACATAGAGAAATACTTGAATAAAAATGTTTTCAAGAAACAATATTAAGGAAAAGTCGACATCAATTAAATTAAAGTTGAAGTAAGTGCCATAAATATATATATCTTATACTCACAGGTTCTTTTTGACCTTTCCATTCTGCAAAATTACTTCTCATTCGCTGGTATTTAAATGACAAAAAGAATTAAACATAAATTTGAAAACAATGCTTTTGCTAGAAGTGGAAGTCAGCCATAAAAACACAAACTGTAAAACATATGTAAAAACTATTATGATCATCATGATCAATGTGCCCCCCTAAGAGAAACAATTTTTCCAAACATCTTTTGTTCTATCAACCATTTTAGTCAGTCTAATTTCAACCTATATTCTTGCTAAAGCAAAAGATTTATAATAGTACTCGAGCAAGACCAAGGCATTCAAAGCCACCCAAGGGACACAAATACTAATGAGCAGAAAACATCACCAAGGCTCCTAACAAAACAAATGTTAAACTTTAGGCAAAAGCCATTTAACTAACACTAATTAGTGAAAAATAAAGTATAAAAATTAGGGCCCTGTTGTGCTACTAGCACTCTAAACATGACAAAATCGCACAAACGTAATCCCTATTGTCTTTGAACAATAGGTGTAAAACTGCTATGCAAGTTTTCTAGTGCACTAGCAAAACTTGTTCTGGCTGGATCCCTCAAACCAGATGGACCCCAGAAGCAGGATGAACTCAAGATATGGAAAAATTTATTTAAGTTAACCATACCAATGCATCTGTGAGAAGTTCAGCTCTTTGGTCCAATGAAAAAGTCATAGACTGTGTCTTTCTTCCTTCTTTACCTAAAATGTCAGTAGAAGTGACATAAAAAGCATAAAAACTATAGTCAATTGAAATAATATAGAAAGCATTAAAATTGCAAACTCTGATATTAACACACACCAGATTTCTTTGCATTATAATAGCAAATGCAAAATCTTACTTTCAATTAAATGACAATTTTAAAGCATTAAACTAACTTTGTCTCAATGCTGCATATTGAAAGCTAAAAAAAACATATACCTTTCTTTACATTGATAATGAATTCACCAGGCGATTTTGCACTTGGGCTGATTCCATAAAACTCATTGTAAGGCCACTGAAAAAAAAATAATTTAAAGTTCACAGTTTGATCAACAGAGGGATTTTTCAAAAAAAACTTCAGCTTTGCACAAGTGTTCCAACAGTTTTGGCAAGGATTGTAGACACTGGACCAAAAAGAAGTGACAGCAGCTGGGTGTACAAATAAAATCTTTCATTGTTGTGGGCAGTGAAATTCATGGCAAAAAACATGCAGTATTTCAAAAGTCTTGAATGCTTATATAAATATTTGTTTCATTTTTTATGAGTACATTAGCAAGTTTTACCCAGCTAGTCCCAAATTGAAGTATTTGAAATCTTCATCAAAACATTTTTTGTGATAAAGAGTGCTGCATGGTCCGTAATCAAAGTCAAATAAAACTTCAATTGTTTCCAACCTCTGCATACATTTAAATCAGTTGGGGAGGATAAGGAAGAATACATTTAAATTGGGTACATTTAGAAAAAGAGCAAAAGAGATAACAATGAATATTTGGCTTTTTATATAAAAAAGTCTTATTTTGTTTCTAGCAGGTTGAAAGACTACTGGACAAATTTGATTGCTTTTTTCTTATATCTTGATTATCAGGAAATAAAAAGATCATATTTTTTAAAATAGTTCAAATATATGCTTCACTATGGCCAGAATTAGTCTGATAAACTCCTTGTTAAAGTTTTCAATATTAATAATTTGGATACAGTGACTTGCTGGTATTTCAAAATTCTTACTTGCTTTTTTACAATACCAATAAATTTGCTATTTCACTCTTGGTAGTTACCATTTGCAACACATGTATTACTATAATATAATATATGTATACATACACATATCAACACAGGGGCAGATCCAGAGCAAATTTGAAGGAGGGCAGTTGGTTGTGGGGGCACTGGAAAGTTTTCAGAAATTGATGACATGAGTAGGCTGTATACAACAATTTCAGATACCTTTTTCAGAATAAACAAAATAACTTTGAGGTAATCCTTGAAGCAAATTAGCCTATCGGTCCAAGAACCTTTTTTATCTGATTCTCATTCTTCAAAAGGGGCGCACAATTTCCAAAAAAGGGGTGCCAGACTTGCTTCAAGTCGTTGAGGGAGGGGCAACTGCCCCTAGTTGCCCCCCCTTGAATCCACCACTGTATCAACATAATTTCATGCAATTTCATTGACCCCATTAAACCCACCTGATTTGTCACTTCAAGGTTGACAGGGTTGTATGTTGTAATTGCCTTGGAACCGATTGAAAAGATTCGTTTATACCTAAGAATTGAAGAAAAAAGTTGAAATTCAAATATTTAACAATGGAATGTATCATACATGATGCATAGGGAAGTGAATACAAGCAGCAACGATAACTATGAGAGCTTTGCACTTCTAAGAGATTATGCGAAGCAGCCTGCAAACCAAATTTTCAAACATTTATTCAGAACAGATAAATTAGCAAATCTAAATGGATTACTGAATTATTTTTGCTCTACATGCTAAATTTATTAAGTGGATCCAAAAGTATAAAAAATAAGTACTTTTTATTGACAATTTGTGCTAAAAATGAGATTCAGAATGCTTTATCAGGAACAGAAGGCAGAATTGAGAAAAAACTAATGAAAAGTACACAGTGATTCCTATGCCAATGTGTACTTTCTGGTAACAACCACTAGCAAAAGAGAAGTTGTGTTATCATCACCATCATCAAGTGTCATCTTCGATCCGAAGGTTGACAACAAGATTTCTCAGAAAAAAGTGGCGGCTCACAAATGTATTCAATGTATCAGCCTAATACATAAAATTTTCGAATTGCACATGAAGTAGCATCAGACCTGGTTTATTGTTAGTTTGTTGAAATCAAGAAATTCAGTTTTCTTGTCTGAGTGCATTACTAAATGGGGTGCTAACAAAAGAAAAATTGTGTAGCATTCAAGCACAATATGAGTGATAATAAAAAATTGTGCTGTATTGAATTGGTGGTAATTAACGCAAGTATGGTCCCAGCAAAACTGCTGAGCGGCCTCAATGATATCTTTTTTTAATACAACCAATCAAAATCTCTTTGTGTTGGATGTTGGAGAGCTCTCTGTGGCGTCTAGTCTTGTGCTACCTGTCCATAAGTATCTGCCTGTGCAGCAAATGTATTAAATCTTATTTTCTAATACACTAGAACTACAGCTCTGAGAAAGCGGTACCATATTTCAACAAGAAGCAAGTCTCTGATAGCATCGGTCCTAGTTCTTTGCTGCTTTCCTCTATCTCTCTTTCCCCCAGTGTACCCTTCCAGCACCAAGTCTGCCATCCTTCCACGTGATCCCTCTTCATGTGTGACCTGCATAGCTCACTTTTCTTTTAACTAGTCTATTTGCTAGATTCCTTTTATTCCCTTTTCTTTTTTCAATGGTAGCATTTGATACACTGTCTTTCCAGCTGACTTTGAGGATGCTGCGGTAACACCAGAATTCAAATGCAGTAATTCTGCTCAATGCTTCTTAGCTATGCATCCAGCTTTCTTCTCCATTACCAAAAATGGATAATATATAAGTATGAAAATCTTTCTTTATTTCTTACTTTAGGTCTTTACTCAACAGCTCTTTCAGATCTCAAAATTCGCTTTATGCTCAGCCTATTCTATGTTTTATTTCTTCGGCACATCTGCCATCCTCATCTTGTGTTATGGAGTGTGGTAAATATAAAGTTAAGTTGCTGGAGCATGGTATGAAAGTCCTTGAAAGATTGTCAGAAAAAATAGATCTTAAGAGAATTATCTTGAAAGTCTGTAGGATATAATTTGGTTTCATGCCTGATAGAGGGTCAGTGGGTGCTATCTCCATCATAAGTAGAGTTAAAGAGTACTACATTGGAAAGAAGCTATTTATGTGTTTTGCTACATGGAGAATGGATTTGACTGGGTTCCAAGAAATATATTGAATGGGTTTTGAGCAACTGGAATGTACCAAAATGTTTAGTTCAAGCAGTGATGAACTGGTACAAGAGTGCAAAGATGAGGGTACGGGTTGGGGATGGATACTCAGTGTAGGTGTTCATCAAGGAGCTGTACTTTCACCACTTTTGTTTGCAATTGTCTTAAGGTAGGTCTATATGATCATTTTCAGGTAAAATTTCCATCATATTTACTCCACATTTTTTAGGTGATCACAGAATGTAATTGTGTAAATGATAATACAAGTTGCTTGAAGTTGCACAAAGCAGCAAGAATTAAATCCCTTTTAATTGCTTGATAATGGGCCATCACTGATTATGCATTTGAGCAACTTGCATGGCTGCTTAAATGATCACATTCTGTGATCACATAAGAAATTTGAAGTAAAAATGAACGGGCCTTTAGATGTCATGTGAACGGGCCTTTAGATTGTGATTTCTAATGAGGGAAAAAAACTGTCAAGCATGAATTGTTGTACAGAGACAAATAAGTTTTGATGGCAGAAACCATACAGAAGTGTTGGAAACTCAATTAAGCTGCTAGAATTCAGCTTGTAAAGTGAGTAAAAAATGGTCAAGTTAAATGCACAGTTCGAGTCAGAGGAATTTTTTGACTAAAGGCAGTAGAGGAAGGTCATAGGAAGAAGAAGACCAGAGTTGAGTATGAAAGGATTGGTGGAGAAGGAGTGTCCTAAAGTTGGAAATGAATTTTTTTGAGGGTGGGAATGATCTAGTGAAGATGCACCAAATCATGGAAGGAAATTTAGGTACCCCTTGGAAAAGGGGGGATTTATACTAATAAATGACGATGATGATAGTGCCCATCGTAGGCAGAGGAAACAGAAGAGCTTCCCTGATAAATGCTCATATGCAAAATAAGAGATCAGTTGGATGCTCTATATAAAAAAACCTTGATAGGTACCAATATAAAAACATTTAAAAAAGAACAGCAGCCATAATTGGAACAGGTAATTTGGCAACTTCTCTGACAAGGCTTCAGGCTCTGAGTTTGATAGATGGATCACATGTCATAATTTGTCACCATGTCATCAATGATATGCGAGCAAAATCCACATACCTTCCCCTCCAGGAATGTTTTGTGGTCAAAAATGAGGAGACATCATCGTTTCCCCACGTTGTAGCCATTTTTATCGTTGGAAACTTTTCACATCACGACGTTCGTTCTTGTTTTTGGTTCCTCCTCCTGGTCGAATTGCTCAATCTTCCTTGTCATGGGATACAGCAGGGATAATACAGAGAGCACTTCTCCAGAATCAAAGCCAGCTTCCCTGCAATACTGATGAAGCTAGTTCTAGTAAATTCATGAAAATCGCAAAATAGATATCAATTCTCCTAGCTCAAATATATTTGCTTTCCATGGTTCCCTTTTAGCTCTCTACCATTTTGAGGTCTTCCGATCGCAAGTGCAAAGTGTAATGCGCCTCCCCAGCTACGAAATTAGTTAGTTCCCAAACCTTTCTTTTGAGATATTTCGATGGTAATCGCAAACATATTTGTTGTCAATGTTTTGTGTCTCATCGAAGAAACCATAATCAAGAAGTTATTTTGAAGTTTTACAACAAGCACTTAAAAGTCCTGTGGTTAAGAGAAAACTGTCGATTTTGCTATTTTTATAGAATATAGTATATTATCAAAAGAGGATGCTTTCAAAATACTTCATTTTTGACTAATTACTTATGACAAGGATTTATTCATACACTCTTTTCTTTACGAGAAAACTATAAACTTTCCAGCCTCGACATTCTCAATAAATTTTCGTTTTGAGCCTTAATATACTCTTAAAGGATTGTCATTTTAAGGGGAATATACTACACTCGTGAATACAAACCACGCTTTTTGAGAAGCAAGATATGTACGTTCTGTTATTCCCATTCAAGAACATCGACTGGCAACTGCTGAAAAACGAGACAAAAATACGCAAGCTAGCTAAGGCTGAGCAATATTCTTGTAATATTTTAGATATTCTTATGAACAAAACTGTTAAAAAGGGTGTAGCTGCTGAAATAAGAGACATACAGTTTTTGATTTATAAGTTACATATATTTACTCTAGATCTCTGCTATTCCTCCGTTCCTCAGAGTTTCCAAAAAATTTCAGTTTTCTAGAGATTGGCATTTCTAAGTTTTACAAGAAAATCAAAGCTATCTACATCAAGTATGACATTTCTAAAAAGAACTTCGTTAAAAAGATTAAAGCACGTGACCAAAGGTGTAGTGAAAGGGGGTTAGGGCGGCTGATTAATACCAAAAAGCTTCTGGTTTATACTTTTGCTATTGTTTTTGCAACATTTTGTCCAAGAGCCCCCCTCCCCTTGTTATTTTGATAACACTACACGCCTACACATGACTACCTTAACTTGGCAATTATTTTCACATTGATCCACAATAACTGTTGCTTGGTTGAACTTTAAGGAACGAAGGTACACTCAATTTCAAAGATCTTCTTAACATTTATTAATTAGTGTTAATAAGACATTCCTTTATGATAAAAAAAATAATTTTTCCCTGATTTGGTAGTAGGCATGACTTTCTATTGGGGACATATATTAGTGTCTTTTCAGCAGTTAGACGAACCTTTACTCATGGACATTATTCTTTAGCTTTTTATGTCTTTATGGACATGGTGCAACTAAAGTTCTCTTTTTCCAAAATAATCATTTTTTCCTACATTTGAAAGCAAAATGTCCCCAATAAATCTTTGATGAATTTCCTCTTTTATGTGCTGCTTCTCTGTTTGTCACAAACACATAAAAAGCAGCACATAAAGGCTTAATACGAGAATGAAAGCACGAGCCTTCAACGACCAAAGGTAAATAGTAAAATTCAAATAAAGTAAGAACCCTTTGTAAAATTAAATTCTACAACAGCCCTGGTGAAATTAACTTCGGTAAAGTTTCATTTGATCAGCATTTTATGAAGTTCTTTCAAGTAATATGGTTCAATTCAAGAAGTTCTAACCAAGGCTTTTACGATGTCAACATCTAGCAACCATGGTTCTTTCTCTACAAATGAACCTAATGATGACGTTGCCAAGCAGTTTCTTGACGTCGCCAAGTCGACTAAAGCTTATGAATGTAAACTCGTTCATTTATTCTTGTTAAGTGAAAGTTTCTTTTCATGCCCTCGTTTCATCAGAACGCATATAAAAGAAAAAAGCTCTCTCCAAGCTTGTAATATCTCATCGCTATGAATCTCCCCATGAATCAAGTCTTGAACTTGACTGTCAACAGCACTGGCAACATTCTAAAAACAAAAGATATAAACATTGAGAATCAAGGGAAAAAGCTTTTACTTTAGAAGCGTTTCATAATCATGCAAATAAATCGATAAAACCAGCATGCAATATTTGTTTCTATTTTAGGTCATGCTGATTTTCATCATGGCTAACAGGCAACGGGACTACAGCATGACCTAAAATATTTTTTCTGGCAATTTTGGTCGTTTTTCATATTTAAAAGTGTATAAATTGCCTTTTTGTGAATTTTTTTCCCCTTTTCTATTTTCGAATGATTTTTGCGCGTAGCAATGAACGTAGTGCAGATCTTCCAGTCTTGCGAACACACGTCGGTACAGATGATGCAAAGGCGATTTGCATGTACCATGTAACCTAATGCTTATGCATGACTTTTCAAAGACAGTCTATTCAAAGATCATTTCGATAGCTTGAGCATAACATATAGAACACCCAGACATTTTTATAAGACTATATTCATGCCAATTCTATTTAATATCCCCTTAGCCACCATACCAACCAAAAAGAACCCGATAACCAGGCTGTATTTTATACAAACCTTAAGCTGTTCTGTGCTTATAGCAAATTCAACCATCAGACTACCAACATACTCCATTTTTGAAACAAACAGACCAGCATCATTTAGAGATGCAACAGCATCTTGCAGTGTGTTAACGATGATTCTAGGATGTCCGGACAATTTTTGCTGTTGAAGCATATTATCTAAATCCTCAACGCCTTTGACATCCGGGAACATATTTGCCATTTCAGGTTTTGACAAAAACATTCTAGAATTGTACATAGAAATAATAAAAAGCTCAAAATTTTATATGTAATTTATTCAGCTTGCGTATATCAGTAAAGTTACGAATTCTGTCAATAACTGAGTGTCAAAATGATGACGCTAGGAAAACCCTTTTTAGAATTTTAAAATTCTGACCATGTAAGCTGAAAAAAGGCCACAAAATGTCTGTAAATCTTCAAATCAGTTAAATGCATTACGAACTGGTTGATGCATGGTCAGATGCATGGTCACACAAGAACAAGCTTTTTCCCTACAAAATTACTGCAACAGGATCGTAGCTTTTATCGTTTTAGGGAGAGGCTATTGTGTCCTCCCTTCTAAAACTATTTGAAGTCCTTTATTTTCAATGAACTGTCCTTTTGTTCCCATTGGTTCGAAACAAGGATCACAATCATTCAAGCCATCCTACGGTATTGACCGATAATTCGGCTTGGTTTTAGCAACAATGAACAAGATTGAAACAACTTCTTTAAAAAACAGTAAAGGTGCTAAAATATAGATATTCTGCCATCATCACTTTTCTGTTCTGATTATATGAACAAAGTGGCGAACATGACATACTTGTAGAAGACTCCTGTTCCAAAAATCAGTGCCTGGTTCTCGATGATAGGCCAAGATTCCTGTACTAATGCTTTCTGATAAAGAGACAATGGAAAGACAACTGGGTTCTGATTGACTGTCCTTTCTTTCAATACGGATACTTTGCAGCCCATTTGCGCTAGCAACAAGGTTGACCCTGCAAGAAATAATATTTTTAAAGGCATTATTATAAAAATGCTTGTCCTTCAACTATGGCTCTTCTACAAATGTGCATACATTTAACAAGTATTACACCCTAAGGTAGCAGCGGCCCATCAGGTGAGCAAGCACTCTTCCCCATCAGGGGTATCTGTCCACCGTATGGGGAAACAAGGGTTTTTGTCGTCTTGATAAGCAAAGTGCTATTCTAAATCCAACATGGGAGTAAGTGCAAAACATGATATCCAAATTTGCAAGGCCTGGAGCTATGGTGGTATGGAGTTGTGAAAGTATAGAGACTTTGTTACCTATGTAATGGAGCCAGTAATGTAAATGACCCTCATATTAGGCTCTTTGGTCCTGATTAAGCCTTTTTTGTTGATATTTTTTACTTAACGGGTAGATGAGCATAGGCCTTACCTAACACGACTTGCAAAAATTCTTTTCATGAACTTTGCAACATTTCTAAAACATTCAAATGCGCAGTATCAGAAGAATGTAGTTAATAGTAAATTCAGACTTGCTATATAAATTCTCCTATCTCTGAAACACCAGTTTGAGATATGAGTGATTTATTTGATAAAAATCTGCATAGTGCCTTCATAATTTCTGCAAATCATATTACACCGGTATTTCCTGTGTATATATTAAGGCGCATCTGTCAAGGAAAAATCCAAAAAGTTATTGAGTAAAATTTGAAAAGAAGGGGACCAATACATGCTCTCTGAAAAATGATATACTGGGCCGGATTTTGCTGTATTTGTATGCTTTGACGCGGGAACATTGCTTTCTTTCTGGCCCGATTTCTTTAAACAAGTACAGGAATGTACTGGAACTTAGCCCTAGGATGCTTTTACAGTATGGTTGTCTTATTTCCTTGTAAACACATCCTCAGTCCCATTTCTCGTTTTTAGGCAAATAGAAGTGCAAGTAACGTCTTTCTGCTGTCAACATCTGAAATTCCTTGCTACGTAGAGCTTCTGTTATGGATGGTCGTGAGCTCCTCACACTGGGCACCAATGTAATAACACTGAATAGTGCTATCGAAAGCGTGAGCCCTAGTTCAACGAAACGTTCAAAGAATCTTCACGCATTTATTGGATTAAACAATCTCCCTGACTCCATAAAATTAACGACCACAACTGCACAATGTCAACTTTAATCCAAGGTTGCGATTGTACGCGACGGCAACTTGATCCCCGCTCAACTTAATAGCTAATTTTACGCGACTCAATCCACAAACAAAACACAGCATAGAAATCACATGAAAAATACACCTTAATTTGGCTAGCATGATTATTACTTAAAACAAAGGGACTAATAACAGCAATAATGGCAATGCCATTTTGCAAAAACAAGAAATGTTAATGGCAAGGTGGCAAACAACGAAACTAAAAGTAATATTTCAAGAACATGCAATTGAATATCCCTCAACAAAAAATAGAAAACAGTATTATTGCAAAAGCATATATATTTTGCATTTGCCTACAAATCTTTTATTCATAACGAAAATGTTTGCATAACACAAATTATTTGTTGTTGTCTTGTTTGCAATATTAGTTAGTACAAAAGTTGACGTTCCAATAGAGAAAATTAAAAATCTCCGTTTTAATTCAAACTAGAACTACAACCAAAGACCCTACTTTTGGAAAGACGCTTTTAACCGGTTGATATTGGCTTATAAAAAATAAACAAACAGTAATCATAATGTATGAATTATTCATTATGAAAAATATGCTTCTGTGTAAAGCAAAGGGCGATTTTTTCAGAGGATTTGATTGCCAACCTTTATAATATGCGGCATCATTCTATGAAATTTGATAAAGGCTAATTCCAAAATCTTAGATGTCTGCATTCTTTCTCGTAAAAAATTTGTTTGGTTGAACAGATGATAACAACTGTGATCTTTGATGGTACATTTTTATGTCGGGAACACATATTTGACATCACCCAGGGAATCTTTTAACATATAAACAAGTGGGAAAATCCCCCACTACAGGCGCGCAACCAGAAATTTCAGAGGGCAGGGGTCCAAGACACAAAAAGGGCACTAATTAAACTTCATTAAAGGTCCACCGGGGCATTTGTTTAGGTACACCGAAAATATGAGCAGTAAGTAAATCTGTAAATATTGTACGCCAGACAAGGGAAACTGATCAATAGAGAAAAGTTGTGGTGTACGGTTTATTTTGTGGTGAGGTGTGATGAAGTTTAGGAGGCCCGAAGGAGGGGGGAAATGGAAAAAACAATGCCTCTTGCGAGCGAAGCGAGCAAAAATTTTGCCACCATACCCTTGCAAATAGCTTAAATTCACTAATTCGTTTAAGATGTTTTACTTTTTAATTGTAATTTTGTTACTTTTAATAAATTCCATTTAAAAACGGAATTCATTGCTTTGTGAGGCTCCCTAGACCTCGAGGCCCTAGGGCAATTTGCCCCTTTGTCCCCCTCTCGGCGACCCTGCTGTCATCTCCTTTTCCCAGCGCCAGCTCACTTTTGAATAGCAGCCCATCATCTTCCATATCCGAAGACATTTTGCGCTTTAAAATATTATTATTGAATTCTTTGCTTCGCACTACAGATTGGAGGAGGTTGAACAGTTCCACGAGCCTTGCCTTCAGCTTGTTTCTGTCTCCAAGTCTTGCCTTGAGCTGATTTGTAATACTGACAAGGAACGGAACAGCTGAACATCAACTTTTTGTGTCATATTTACTGCTTGCTAATACCAGTCCGAAAATATTTCCCTGCATTCGCTCGTTTCATGCAAAGGTCTTCTATGACCCTGTCAACTATGTGACAGGCTTGAAAAATGTCTTGGTTTTTATTCTTGTAACTTTTTACCAGAGGTCGTAGAGGCTCTATCCCGTTCAAAATCCTGTGCCTTTATTTTGGTTTTTGAGTCCCAGAACCATTCTTCTTCAAAGCCAGTGCGTAGCGCATCATAAAACACGCTGTAGAGTTGGGGCTTGAAGATATACTCTATTACTGCAACATGATGACGTTCGACCCAACAAGTGCGCGAAAGTTCGACTAAATCATTTATCTGTATTCCTGCGAGGTCCATTACATCTCCGTAGTGTGTCATTTACTGTATGACCAACCATTTTAGCGTAATAGTTAAAATATTCAAGCAATTTTCCAGGAAAAAGGGCACTTTTACCCTTTTGAGAAAAAGGGCAGGGGTCTGGACCCCCAGGACCCCCCCCCCGTAGTTGCGCCCCTGCACTAGACCCTTGAATTTCCCCACCAGTTGGCCAATGATTCACCAAATGCCCTTTTGTTGAAAATTGTTTAAAAACCAGTTTGGCGTGTCTCCAATTACTGCTTGTTATGTCGTTTCCGTTTTATGTATGTCTCAAATTTTGTGTTACTTCTTTCGTCTCATCGTAAATGCAAATCTGACTCGGTCGGCACTAGAACATAGTCAGCTAACGAACATAGCGTCATGCATCTTTGAAACCGAGGAATAAGTGAAATAAAACGGAGGCTGCAAGCAATGGCGGAACTCGCCTGTGGTTTGCTGTGGCTTTAACAGGGCCCATGCATCCCTACAGAACAGTTAAATGTTTTAGGTGAATGCAAGACAATGACTGCAGGAAATCATTCTGTAGTTTGTTTGACCTACAGGGGCGTGTTTGCCACATTTTCTGCTTACTTCGTTCGGGGAATTTTCTGCTAAAGCTGGAATTTAGCTTCTTCTCCAGGGGTTTCAATCCAATCAAAAAGGCCCTGTTTTGAAGCAATTTCTTACAGTTGAATCTAAAGAACTCGTTCTAGTGCGTGTGCAGCTACGAAAACTCTCTCTTACGTTTTCGCTTGAGTTTGAGTAACTACCATTGATAATTATGTATGAAGCCGTTGCTAAAACTTAGATAACTGGTTTTGCCGCATAAGAACATTATCAAGCGTTTTAAAGAGTGATCCCCCGAGAAAATTTGCTGTAATCAAGCCTAAAGGCCTTTTTAGAAGTATTGCGTCAGTCTTCATTTTCCATATTCGCTTGCAGTAAAGTTTTTCATCAAATGGTTGGAATGCGATGACGTCATACTACCACTCATGCATTAGGATGCCGTAGTTTGTTTGACGTCATGTACACCAAAGCGAGGTAATTAAATTCACGGGAAAATTCTACGACGAATGCTTTGACAGTTTTGCTTGCATCATTGTCCTGCAAACATGCCAAGATCTGAACGCTCGTTATTTTGTCTGGCTTATATGTAACTTTTCGCTGCATGGAAGTAAGGACTGATGTGGAAGATCTTGTCCCGTTGCTTTTGTTTCTGCCATAAGTTGCGTCACGTGAAGAAAAATGCCCTTTTGCGTTTATTCCCCACCAGTGAAAATTTCTTAAAAGATCCCTTGACATCTTTTATCTTTCAACTTTACCCGAATCTTTTCAGGCACTTGTCTTTAAGCACCGAATCTTTCAACTTCATACTAAATCTATAAGACTTGCCACGTAGTCCCATTTGCGAGATAAACACAAGATCGATAATTCCAGTCATCAACTGGAATGCATAAGAAAACTCCTGACTGAGGTGTGACTTCATACAAATTTTAAACAACATGGAGACTTCTTCATCTGTTTTTTCACGATAGGCTGGTAGTATTGGGTTGAATTTACTTAACTCGTCCTTTCTGACTTCCTTTCTGCTTGGCTTGTCCTTCTCTTTTGACCTGAATCTTTTTCTTACCACTATATCCTTTATCTGTTTTGGTTTCACTTCCATCTTTGATGACATATTCCAACTGCATGGAACTGAAGTACATCAGGGATCAAGGTAACCTTGTCTAAGGGCATAGTCAATCTTGTCTAGGGTTGCATTAACATGGTTGCAGCACTGGCTTGTTCCTGCCATACAGCTACACCAGCTTGTTAACATTTCCACCGGGCATTTTTTAACAAGAATCCATGAGTTTCTTGTTACAGAAACTGTCAATGATGCTTGAACCTTGCAATAAAGGAAGACTAAATCTTTATTGCTGACTGGGTGGTACGTATAAATGCTGTCAACAAACCCACTGTCAAAGTATGAGTAGGCCTTCTGATCCTTATACCTTCCAATATAGTCATAATCAAAGTCTCTAACTTTAAGGATATAGGAGAAAATGGTTCCTACATCAATTTTTGGCCACTTTAAGACGTCATCACTCCTCTCAGCAACACCGACAGACTCTAGATCACATATATTGAACCTTGTTAAGCGATTTTCATAATCAATTTTCAGTTTAGCTTGTTGTTCTGCTGATGAAGCTAATATAGGCAGCTTCATATCAACTGCAGCAAAGGCACGAGCAACAAGTTCAACTTTTTTCCCAGATGTGTTCAGACCCAGGGGCGGATCCAGAGCAAATTTGAAGGAGGGGCAGTTGGTTGCGGGGGCGCTGAAAAATTTTCAAAAATTGTTTGCGAGAGTACGCTGTATACAACAATTTCAGATCCCTTTTCAGAATAAATAACATAACTTTGAGGTAATCCTTGAAGCAAATCAACCTATCGGTCCAAGAACCTTTTTCCTCTGATTCTCATTCTTTAAAAGGGGCGCACAATTTCCAAAAAAGGGGCGCCAGACTTGCTTCAACTCGTTGAGGGAGGGGCAACTGCCCCTAGTTGCCCCCCTCAAATCCGCTACTGTTCAGACCACGGACTGCTAAAAAATTCACTAAACTGTTCCTTCCTAATTCAAGGAAATCTTCATACTTGCTGAGTGCCATTGTTAAGACCCAAAAACACACCTGGAATGAAAAGAAAAAACGTTGTAAGGATAGAAAGCTTCTCTGTCAGCGAAAAATTTAACAATCAATTGAAATCGAAGGTGTCAAGAAGGTAAATGAAAGGTAAAGTAACGTACCGAATTGCGTGAAATCGCTTAGGCCCAAATAAATGGACGAAACTCTTCTTGGTCTTGTTTTCAAAAACAGATCAAAACTCCACAAAATTATGAAAAATAACAATAGATAGCGTAAAAATCTTGTCAATCTGAAAGCTCTGGCGCAATTTCATATAAAAAACGACCTAATATAAAATGTTCTCTAAACACACTATCAGTTTCCGTAGTCGGCCATTGACAAATTGTGGAGGAGCCACGCAGAGTTTGCCCTTCTTGGAATATGGCGTCGCGAGCTCCGAAATGGTAAAACAAATCGCAGGTGACATCACCATAAAAAAGTGTTGAAGATAATGGCTAAAAAATGTCGTTTGGTTATGAAATTTTTATTTTAGAAGAAAATAACAGAAACATTGAAAAGATAAAAAAGTGATTTGTGTTAGATTTGTGTTAGAAACTTTTATTAACGATTTGTGTTAGATTATGAATTATATACAATTTCTCACCTCAATGTTTGCAGATGTAAAAAGTTAGGAAAGCTTGTTTATCTTTCCAAAACCCAAATAATCATTTTAACTATCTACAAAACAGCTCAATAAATGGGATTAACTAAAACGAAGCGAATAGAAAAGCTAGGCTACAAAGCGAAGCGAGTCGTTTTATAAGTTCACTATAAATCTACTGCCACTCAAATAGTAAAATGCAGCAGTAGTTCAACAGCCCTGTCGCTTAAATTACCAGGAGTGCGACTTGCTTTAAGCAGTCGCATTTTTGCCGCGTTGAATTAAGTGATTGCAATACATTTTTGTCATGGACTGACTGGTCCATGGACAGCCGTCTCAGATTTTGCTTGTCATTCTTGAAATCTTCGTCTACTCCCATTAAATTCAATGTGAGCTTAGAAAAAGTTACCC